CAGAGTTTAGTTCTGGTGAAGGAGGAGGGGGTCCCGGGGCGGCAGTTGCAGGCGTCGCCGCGAGTGGCTACGAAAGTGCTAAGTTGCCTGAGAGTTTGATCAGCGGTGCGAAGCAGGCTGCTCGCGAGTCCAAGGCCGACGAGAACAAGGACGTTACCCCTGTGCCTGAGCAACCCCCTAGCCAGCCTGCGACTTTCTCCGACGCCGTGCCATATATCACCACACCCCTAGAAGCTCAGACTGCCCCCAACGGGACGATGGCAGGGGACCCCAAGGCTGAGCTGGCGGCGGTGCCGGAGGGGATCCCACTTGCAAACGGTCAGGCGACAGGGATGCAACTGGCAAGGCCTAAGCTGCAGCGGTCAGAATCGAAGATGGTGTCGGCGGTCAAGAACTGGAAGAAGGGAACAGAAAGGGTGAGCTGTTCATTCATGTGCTGAGTCTTATTGCTGAGGGAGGAAAGTGAAGTCTCTTGCAGGCTTTGTCTTCCCCAATGTGAAATGCCATAAAATGGACTTTTGTGTAGAAATGGCTCCCTGATGACCAGGCATCAAACACACCAAGTCAGTGGTGTATAGCTCTGGGTCTTCATAAAGAACGTGCTTTCAAATGTAGCGGACTCTTGTCGCTTGGTTTTCCCTACACGCAGCGCCTCCTCAAGTTGTTCTTGTGGTGGAGCTGTACTTTCTAGGAGAAAGTTTGCGAACTTGGAAGAATCTGCACGATCAATTCTCACATTTTTCTTGTCTTGATTCAGATTTGGGGGGCATTTTCAAAAAAAGAGGTTTTCCCCGAATTGGGCGCCTTTTCAATGTATCTTTTCTTCTAAGTACCTGTTTTGTAACATGTTCAAAGTAACCAAGTGATGACAACATTACGCCCTTTTTGTGCGATTGCTTACAACTATCAGTAGATCTGGTTACTACAGTCCTTGTGTCTGGGCAGCATTTACTGATCTCTGTGGTTAGTTGTCTGAAGGAACCGCTTCTACTTGAAGAGCACGGGATCTTTACATCTTTCATCTTTCGCCCTGATCTTACCCAAACACATTGTTGTCTCGACGCTTGTTCCTTAAACACCCATTCTCTTAAGCACTGATACCTGGGGCAGACGCATATTTCTATCTTTTGCTCTTAAGCCATCTTGGCTTTCAAGCGATATCAAAACCACATTTTCTCTTTAAAAAGGTATCACATTCTAAAGATGTCAGGGTTTCTCGCTTCCCAGGCGAAGATCCTCAAGAGGCTGGCGGCAGGGGCAACAGTTGCAGATGACTACGGGGTCTACTTTGACGATAAGAACCTGTCCAAGCACCACAACTTTGATGAGACGGATCAGTGTCAGTGGACCAGGCCGCAGTACGAGACGCTCAACGACGGCATGTGCCAGTCCCTCAGCATCTGCATCATGATTACTGGAACCCGGGGGGACGTGCAGCCGTTTGTCGCCATCGGACAGAAGCTCAAGGTACGGCGCCGGAACAACTTTATCTGCCAGGGTTGATTCCAAGTATTTCTGGGATATACAAATCGTCAAATCAAGCTGTTCAAGTCTGTGCAAGCTAGGTAAATTCGGCTGCACCAAGGATATGGTTCTTAAGGATCTGAGCCTTATCAACTCTCATCTGGCGGAGCAAGCATTTGTGATTTATACACAGCAGGGGCGCCTCCTTAGCTAACCACTCTGGTTGACCTGCAGGAGTATGGTCATCGGGTGCGTTTGGCAACACATTCCAACTTCCGCGACTTTGTTGTCAAGGACGGGGGCCTTGAGTTTTACCCGCTAGGTGGAGACCCGAAGATCCTGGCCGCATGTGAGTGGGGAAGCTCGTTCATCTGGAGGCTGATTCCTTTCATCCACCGACTCGGCCAACAAGCATTTGCTTTGGACACATTGATTGCACATGTTTCAACCAATCGAAGGCCCCGTTTCTATCTTCGAAAGCAGTGTCGGCTGTTTCCTGAAGTGAGACAAGTGTGTGTTCACGCACTTGACGATCCTTATTGGTCGGCCAATCATCATGCAAGTCGTACTTCGAGAGTGTCCAACACGTCGTCACGCCTGTTCCATCCTTTTAACTCTTGGTTGCCGAAGCTTCGGAAGGCGCTTAACCTTATCGCTGCGGTTATCCAAAATCGCTCTCACACCAATCAATCAATCAATCATGCATTGCATCCTTTCTCAATCGGCGGTGTTAATAAAGTGCTCTCTCCGGATTCTCCGCAGACATGGTGAAGAACAAGGGCATCATGCCGGCCAACCCCACCGACATCCCCGTCCAGCGCGCCCAGCTCAAGGCCATCATCAAATCCACGTACGCGGCGTGCATCAAGCCTGACCCGGAGGGCGGCAAGCCCTTCACGGCAGACGCAATCATTGCAAACCCTGTTGCATACGGTGAGGCGCCCAGCTGCCTCAAGGTGGCGCTCAAGCTGATTCGAGATGCGTTTGCCATGGACCCCTGAGCATCTTAAGAGTGCTTCCTGAGAGTCAGTGCTTTCCGGAAGTCAGTGCTTCCATTGATTCGCTGCGTGCCTGCCGTCTTCCAACGTCATCAAACGGGGTTCTAGCCTCAACGACTTGCCTTGACATCGGATACCTGTACACTGCGCGACGAGTTTCGGCGATGGACAGTGCTCGTTACAGGTCCCAATTTGATAATCAAAAGTATTGTGCCAAACTCCCGTCCATCAAACCAATGATTCACTTGTGGCTCCGTCAAGCCGCTCTGGCAAGTGTCAGCTAATACGCGCGAGTTCCTCGTGGCAGGCCACATCCATGTCGCGGAGAAGATGAAGATTCCCCTTCACCTCTTCTTCACGATGCCCTGGAGCCCCACCACCGCGTTTCCCCACCCCCTCACGCGGCCCTCCACTTTCTCTTTGGAAAGCAATTACGTAAGTACTGTCGACCTCAGCGTGGAATCCACCGGGTTAAAAAAGTCCGTATTCAAGATGCATATGGTGGTTCCGGTGGTGCAATCAGTGGCAAGCTCATATCGTTCTGAGCTCGAAACGGCAAGCTCGCTCCGTTCTGATCTTGGAATGGCAGGCTCCTCCCGTTGTGAGCTTCGCATCTAAACTCCGCGGTTCCCAAGGCGGTAGGCTCGTAGGAAGGTGCTCGCTGCAGATATTGTCACGGCGAAAGGCCGCCGGTTTTGCATCCAGTGGCAATCTCCGCAGTCCTCTGTGCCGTCCATTCCCACATCAAGGCGCGCACAGCCCCCTATTCTCATGCATCCAAACTTTTTCCCTCCTCCGCTTCGACCCAACCCTGACATATGCCTTGCTTACCCCCACAGATTACGAATACGACAGTTGACCACTTGAGGTTGAATGCTAAACACGCGCCTTCTCACCTCCCCAGATGACGTACACAATCATTGACTACTTGATGTGGCTCGGCACCAAGGGCATTATCAATGCGTTCCGGCGCAAGCAGTTGGGGCTCAAGCCGGTGGGCCTCATGGACCCCGGTTCGTCGCTCATTCACCAGAACAAGGTGCCCTTCGGCTACATCTGGAGCCCGTCCCTCGTGCCAAAGCCCAAAGGTGGGGACGCCTATTTATAAAACTTGGAATCATTGCGTTAACATTCGCCAACCTCTGGGAACCCGTTTGCAAGGTGCCTCAATACCTACAACGAAGAAGAATGTTGAGAGGAGCCTTTTTCGCTTTTGGAAGCTTCTATTTCTGAGTTAGAGCTTGTCTTCGGCTGGGCTTTAGGGCTTGAAATGGTCGTGAGGGGTTTGAGGATCCCGTCATCCGTCATCGTCGAGCCAACAAGCGGCAATTCGTGTTTCTGTCTGTTGTTGAAAGCTGGCTTAGGTTTGCAAGTCGGCCAGGGATGTCGGAAAGGCGACCACGGATGAGGGTCGCCCAGTGAAGGTTCGTGTTCTGGTCGGGACTCTGCTAAACGATTGTCAAGTCGCCGATTTCTCCTTTTGTCTCCTTCAAAAGCTGTTCGTTTGGTCGCCCGATTGGAGCATCTGCGGTTGTTAGACGAAAGTGGTGCACTCATGGATTACCAAGGAGACGGACTAACTGTCCGCTCAGCTGGCGATTCGCGAATGCTGTCACGTTTTTGGTACATAAGTGTTCTATCTTGGATTCTCCTCAAGGGCCGTTTGTTCGCTGTCACGTGCAGACTGGGGCCCGCACATCGACGTTGTCGGGTTCTGCTTCCTGGACCTGGCCAAGAACTACAAGCCTGAACAAGAACTTGTGGACTTCCTCAAAGCGGGGCCCCCGCCCGTTTACATCGGGTTTGGCAGCCTGGTGAGGAGGTCTCTTCATTCCGCGCTTTACCAGACCAATAGGAACACATTATCTTTTGGTATCTCGACCAAAACCACCGGGCTTGACAGGTGGCACGTTCGTTGTAACTCTTGTGTGCAAGAGTTCTTAAGGTCCCTGTTTTCGTCGTCTTTGCAAGAGGCTTTGCCCTTTTTTCGTTACATCTGACAGCCTCTGGTTTCGCTCCCAACATTGCAGGCGGTTCCGCACCCTGAGAAGACGGTCCAGATCTTCTTGGATGCTCTCAAGAAGACGAACTCCCGGGGACTCATTTCCAAGGGCTGGGGAGAGCTGGGCGAAGGTGCGTTCACGCACGCTCGAATCTTGTTCTACAATAAAAGCACACTCAAAATCCGCGCTGAAGGCGCACCGTTGTTAGTGTTTCAATCTTCTGCAAACTCGGTTCATACCCTGGCGCGATGATATACTCCCTGTGTTCGATCTGGTCCAAGTCGACCCCTTGTTTACCCCAATGCCGCTCGCAAGAAGAAGCGGAGACTGCAAGGGAGCGTGTATCATGATACAGTGTCTTTGCTCTGGTTAGACGATAAACAGTAACCAGACATTTTGCTGAGTGGCGGTAGAAACGTTTGCCAGCGCCCCTCCGCGAAGGCATAAGACGTTTTCAACCCTTCAGTGGTCCTCAAGCATTGGGCCTGAGCATGTACTTATTTTAATAGTCTCAGTCGCGTGGGGATTCAAAGGCTCGAAGAAGTGAGCACCGTGCTGGCATGTCTACAGGGCTGGACATTCCGGACACGTGTATGCTGTTGGGCAACGTGCCGCACGACTGGCTCTTCACGCAGTGCCAAGCGGTGGTAAGCACTTACACGAATAGAAACGACATCGTAAACGCTCCATCTAGACATGACAGCCTGTTCTACACGACAGCGTGCCTTATTCCTGCTGCAGACTTCACGAAGGTATTGTCTTCTTGAGAATGGTTTGGGTTTTTTTGTTGTCTTAAATGAGCAGGCCAAGACCAGCGAGTGGGAGAAACTTTTCAAGTTAAGGAAAGCATGACAATGTGCATCGCTCTGTTGATGGGACAGATGCAGTCAGGAGTGCTAAGAAAGCCTCCACTTGCTGTGTTGGCGGTTGTCCAAATCTCTTCTTACAGCGTCAAATGCGCAGAACTTGTGAAATGTTGCTGAGTCGAGGTGGGCATTGACTACTAGTTCAAGGATGGAGGGCATGAATTTTGTGGGCCAAATGGAAGATCGCAAGGCAGCTTTCACAACCGGAAAGTCTGGGGTTTGGACAAGCGCATACTTTCTCGGTACGTCGCTTCTTTGCTCTTCGCATGGGACGCTTAGAAGAGTCGTGGGCTTCGAAGCCTCTTCCGAAGCTTTGCTCCGCCCGTTTTCTTGCAGATCCACCACGGGGGCGCAGGAACGACCGCGGCCGGGCTCAAGGCGGAATGCCCGACGACGGTGATCCCCTTCTTTGGTGACCAGCCGTTTTGGGGGGAGCGCTGCCACGCGCAAGGAGTGGGGCCCAAGCCCATCCCCATCGGGCGGGTCTCAGTGGACAACATCGTCGAGGCCATTGACTTCATGAAGAATCCGGAGGTGGGTTTGAGGGAAGGAAAGGAGGCGGGTGCTCCCGTTCCTGGAGCCGTTGCTAGAAGTGCGTTGTAATCTGCTCTGAGAGAATCTGTTGCGAAAGCAGCTGGCGCTCCGTGGTTTGCAAGACCTTCGACGTTTGGGTGTCTCATCGCCGGCAGATGCCGCTTTGGGCTAGGCTGAACGGACGCAATGCCCTCGCAAGCACGCCTCGTTTGTTTATCCTGACCTTTCACTGTTGCTTTCCCCGGTACGTACCAGACCACATGGTTCTACGAAATATAGGACAAAATGTTGCGCTGCTCGAGCAGCTCGCTTCCGTGAGCTGCTCCAGTGATGCATTGCAGAGAGAAGAGGATGTCTCCGGAATCTCTGAGCCTCTTGCGTGCAGGTCAAGGAAAACGCGCGGAAGATGGCGGCCAAGATGCAGCAGGAGAACGGCGTGGAAGGGGCCGTGAAGGCGTTCCACAAGCACCTGCCCAAAAATCTCCGGTCCACGGAGATTGAGTGGGGACTCAGCAAATCGCGGAAAACTCAGTCGGGTCTGTTGTCTGCGTGTGCGTGTACGTCAACACCGAAGACGGTGGATTAGCGGGCCGCAGGCTCCCGTCTATGCTTTGCAAAGCGTCCACTCCAAACACGGTGCATGATCAGCTGGCACTACGCTCGTGAGCATGCAACGCATCAGCCGTTCATAGCGGCAGGCCTCAATAAGTGCTCTTTGAAATCTCAATTGGTCGCAAACTGAGGTGGAGAGTCCTGCGGAGATGTGCATATAGATACTTCGGTAAACTTGAATTGCTTGCTAATCAAGGACTTTGTTGGTTAGTGGTCAGCTAGCAATAAGCTCGATCGGATAATCGAGCCAAGATTCTACACTGGCAAGAAAGTTATTAGGGTTGACCCTCTAGATCTGACTAACTGAAGCTTTTGAGCGGGATGCATGACCCGGGGAGTATGTTTGGGTCACTCCACCGAAACCGGCAACACTCAGTGTTGCTACTGTTATTTTTTGTGGCAACATCATTTGACCACGAAATCTGCTGCAAAGTGGCAATAGCTGTCGTACTGTTCCGAACACAAGATGTTGATCGATCTAAAATGTCACCTCAGCATATCACTTCTCAATCGGCTTCCCATGACATACATAGTGCTGTTCTATGACTCTCGTCCGCATGCCGGTCGAGCGGATAGCAGGCAGTGGTTCACCATGTATTCCAAAGCGTTTGACAACACGTACTTAATACGAGAGAAAGGCCTGATGCTTTTGAATCAATCAGACTGAGATCGTATGCTCTGGCCCTGTACTGATTGCTTGATACTGTAGTAGACTGCAACAGAGGAGCTATCCACTCCTACCGCGTCACTGGTCAGCTTGGTCACGTCGGACTCATGCCTTCGCCCGCGTTGTACAGGTAGGACCTGCCTGTGCGCAGTGAGCGGTATAGGTAGGTATGCCCGAGTTGGTACCGGACTCGGGTACTTTTCCATGTGGCAGTAGTCAGTGACGATGTCGACACGGTCACTGTCCAGTGTCAGTTCGAAGATGTTGACATAGTCACTGTGAGTACTTCAGAGTCATGGCCCATGCATGATGCGCCATATGGGCCATGGGTGATCCCGCTTCCCAGTGTTTCGGAACAATGGTACCTACACCGATGTTCACTGTTCTTATTAGGTATGATCCTGAGTTGATAAGTCTGCAGAGCGCCTCTTCAAGCACTCATGAGTCATATGCTGAACTGCACGCAGCTCGACCTACCGCGTTGCATCTATCAGCATAGACCTTGCATCGTCTAGCTTCACTCATTTGCCCAAGCTTGTATTGAAGACTGCAGCAAACTTTGAGCACCAGCAGCTCACAACGTCCACCCAAAGCTCCTAGGAGCCGTTGGCGCTATGGCCTTACTCTCGCTTGCAGTTCCTCGGCTCCAATTGGTGTCTACACTCCTTGCGGTTCTCGTCCTGTTCCTAGCTGGCAGCGGGGCTCCAACCCCTGTCCTAGGGGCAAGTGACGATAAGGTGCAAGCTGCGGATGGCGCAGCCCTCCCCACAAGCTCACGTGGTTTGGAGCTGTTTCGTCAGCATGAGGTAAGCAACAGCGCTGAGCAGATTGCTGCGCTGTGCACTGAAAGGTACCAATATGGAGGACTACAAAGTCTCTTGGAAGCTTGTGAAAGGTTCCCATGTCACTCATGAGCCTTGGATAAAGTACTAAGCGCTCTTCAGCCAGCACGCTGATCACAGACAGGACTTGCTTATTGTGCAAAGAGCCACTTTTGGCTTCTGTATTGGCTGTGCATGTGCTCTTCCACCTGCATGGCTTCCTTCCAGCTGCTACTAGTAGTAAAAACAGTGAGCGCAAGCACGCTGGCTGGCCCCGGTCCTAAAGAATGTCCTACATTTAAAGCTTGGGCACCAGCAAATGCCCAGTCTGATATTTAGAGGGTGAGGTGGTTCTTTTGGCCCTTCGTATTTAAGAGCTCCACGTTTTCTAAAATCTGTTGATAGAGCTGAAAAGTACTCAGGCAATGGTGTTTGTAATGGCTGGCTGCAAAGCTGGAGGCCCTTCCGCCGTAATTCAGTTTGATCAAGCTTGTATTGAACATGCATTGGGAGTCATGATTTCGAGGTTTTGATGCAGGGAATGAAGCCTCGTGCGCAGCTCTCGAACAGACGGCTCTTGCAGTCCATCCAATGTCCTGACGGTCAAGTCCAATGTCCCAGCGGCATCAAAGAGTGAGGGGTGTGGCTGTAGCCATGCTTTTCTTTCTATCTAACCAAGGAAACGCTGCACTGTATCTCTATGTTTTATCCCACAACCTCGCACAGCAGAAGTGTGCTTTGCTCAATGCTTTCGTGGGTCATGTCACTCAAAGCGCGATGGATACATCAATTTCGCTGAGGATTTCCTCACGTTTTCGTCGTTGCAGTGGGCTGACCCCATAGCTCCGCAACCGACCCCGTACTGATCCACTCAGCCATAATTCTTCAGATTAGGAGACACTGTTCCGTCGACGTTCCTCGTGGCTAGTGCTGGCTCCATCCTGTTTGCTTCTTTTGTGCAGATGCTTTTATTCGAGTGGGCAGAACTGCAACGGCTATAACGGTAAGGTTGTCGAGAGAGCGCACTTTCTGTCCTCCTCAATCTTCCTGATCTCCCCAAAGAAGCGTGGTAGCCATGTGTTCTTAGGATCACCTGCGACAGAGACTTGAAGTCAAGACCTGTGTTGCTGGCGCTTTTCCACATGAGGTTCATATCAACAAGAATTGGATAAGAGTGTGGACAAAGGAGGTCTATCCAGCGCAATCTCAAGTACTGCCGTACGTTAGTCGGACTGGACCGCGGCAATCGGACTTGTGCTACCTTAACGTTCTTCTGTCGAGGCTGAACGCCGAATCGGTTACCTAAGGTCCAAGGAGTGTTCCTCGAGTCTGAAGCGATTGCTTCCCATAGTCTGCGCGATGCTCTTGAGTTTTTTTTTTCCTGATTAGATTAGGAGCATGCAGGATTCTTCGAAGCACGATGATCATCATTGAAAGAGGTAGATTCCAGTTTCCCTGTGTACCCCGATTTGCAAACACTTGTCATTCTTGTGGCCGCATTTGCAGACTGTTCCGACGGCAGCGAAGAGGACGACTACTACTGCGCAAACGTGTCCACCAGCTGCGTGTTCCCTCGGCTGAAGTGCCCCAGCCACAAGTGCTCCACCCAAAGCGTCATCAACGGCAAGTCGGGGGCAAACATTGTGAGCGCTCTCCCCATGAATATTAGACTGCTGCCGATGCGGGGGCAATGCGCCAAGACGCATCACTTCTTCATTTTCAAGAGTAGTAAACCACTGACTCTATGCAACAAATCGTGGGATAGCGCTTTCCCGCCTCGTTCTGCATAGAGCCAGTCGAAGGGGATTGCCTGAAGTGACTCAACATGGATTGTGAGGATTGTGTCAGATTTTGCTCTATAGTTCATAAGCAACGCAGCGTGAAGCAATATCGATGAAGCACCCTAGTCTCTCTTTAACCCACAAGTGACACTGCTTGGCACTTCTATTTCTCCTCCTAACCCCGTTGCTAACCCGCATTTCCTCCTTCTCTGCAGTTCTGGTGCGATCGTACAAGTGAGCCCCTACTCTTCATCCGATCCCTCGCAATCTTTCGATTGTTTCGCACGGCTTGTCGAAGCGTGTAGACTGTGGTCAGAAACATTCTGATGTTCTGGTCATTCAAGCTTGAGCAGTCGTCTACGAAAACTGTTGCTGGTTACTTCTCCTGTCAAAGACGCTCTCTGAAGCTTGCCAGTCGTCCGCAAAAGCATAGCTGAACTTGTGCTTCCGCCGAGGTGATCAAAAGTGCACCCGGTTGGAACTTTTCTTGGTGTAAACATTTCTGAGTCCATTTGTGTGCCGCAGTATCTCTAAGATCGCATCCTCCTCCTGTTGATCCTACTTGCCAGTCGTAAGTCATAATTCTCAAGAAAGATATCAGTAAGCAAAGATAATAATAAGCTCCGACCAAACACTAAAAAACCCTAACCCAAAAAGATACCTGCTCCGCACCCATACCCGCCCTAACCACCAAACCAACCCTACCCGTCCGTCCCAGTCCGATTACCTGAGTATTATCTCGGCTTACTACTGTTACTTTCGTGAGTTCGAGTCGAAAGTCCCTTGCGCACGCGCCTACTCTAGTTCTTAAACCTTCCAAACCCGCGCGCTCCTCCAGCCGACTGCTTCGACAACAGCGACGAGGACCCCGCCTTTTGCGCGTCCTACGACTGCGCGAGCCAAGGCGCTGCGCGGTGCCCCGGGTCGATCCCCCAGTGCATGCCACGTGTCAGCACGAGGGTTGCCTACTTTTCAGGACGACCGTATCCCGGGACGAACGGCCGCGGACAGACCTTTGGGCCCATTCCCGATGACGTCCCCACTGCCATGTGCGACGGGGTGAAGGATTGCGAGGTGGGCTTAGCATGACCGACTAGATGAGGATACGTTGACCCACTTTTCTTTTCTCGGAGATGACCCGACGATTGCAGACTTCATTGCCTTGCAAAAGCTCGGATTTTCAGCCGTTGGGTTGCTGTCGCATGCTTTGCACGCTTCGCATGCTTTGCATCCCTTGATACAATCAGGTACCGACACAGGGAATGTTTGGAGTCAATTCGCCGATTAATTTAACCAAAGCTGCCTCCGAAGCCCCATTCTGCGTTGTACCAAATCTGAGACGATCTCTTGGCCGGTGCATCGAACCCCCTCCTCACAACTTCGAAAGCCCTCCACCACTTGGAAGCTCTGAAATTCGACGCCGAGTGACGGTCACGCCGCTTTGACGAATCAGAAAAAACCTACTCGAACTCCTAAGGAGAATCTTTACATGCGTTTAAATGACACGTGGGCCCTCCGCACCGCAACTGGGTGCAAGGCATCGAGTGATTCTGCGTCCGCCCCTTTCAGCTTAAAACAGGTTAAAGCTGGTACAAAACTGGTTTCAACCTGGGTTAAAAGTGGTTTTCAACTGCCCTCCAGGACGGCAGCGACGAAGACTTCGAGCGCTGCTTTGGCCCGGGCCCGACCCGGCCACCCCCTATCGGACAGGGTGAGTGCATTCATAGGGGTTTAGGCCCTTGACCAAGGCTGGTTCTGGGCTTGTTCTGGGCTGCTTAGAAACTGGTCAAATGCCCAATGACCAGACTTGGGCGATAAACAGCCTTCGAACACGGTTAAAGCGCGGTTACGTGTCCAATGACATAACGCAAGAGTCAAGTCTAGTAGTCAGTCGTTTTAGCAGCCAAAACTTCCTGTGCATGTGGTGCCACACCTCACGAACCGCACCTTTCCAGACACTGCTTGCATTGCAGACTGGTCTTGGAGGTGCTTTCCGATTTGAGGTATTACTGGACCGTAGGTTCACTGAGGTTTTCCTTGAACGAGCTCGTCATGGGACTCTGGTAGCGGTGACTGTTTGCGCGCTTACACTTCGTAGTAGCACTTTCGATGCACCCTTTGGAAGTTCCAGTATGTCTTTGACAGAATTAACAGGTATCACCACTTCGATCTGCCGCCAAAGCAATGAACCGGCACTCGTTGTACAGCCGTCTCAGTTTCTCATCTTGTCGCACATCAAACTGCCGTCTCGTTATTTTCATCCAAGCTCCAAATCCACGATTTAACCGTGACCTAAACCCCGACCTCTTTTTCAAGCAGAACCGTCCCGTGGCCAAGTTTCAAACCCTCGGTGTTTCCTCCGCTAAACCCCGGCCTCTTCTCTTGGGCAGAGACGTCCCATGCCAGAACTCGAACCCTCGGTTAACCCCTCCCCTAACCCCGGCAACACAGGTGTTTGTGGCTCGGGGCCCGCGTACTTCTTTCCCGTCCGCTGCTGGTTCAACAACGACCCCATGGGCCGCTACGTCTGCTGCGATGATGCGGGCTGCGATGGATTCAGCGCCTATGAGAACCTCGTTCCTCGCTGCAAAGTCAACGGCTACGCGCCTAAAAACTTTGGGCTTCCCGACGAGACGACCACATTCCCCAAGGAGACGACCACATTCCCCAAGGATACCCCCTGCCCCTTGGTGGGCGGTTTCGCCAGCAACAGCTGCTTCAGTTCCGACGGTTCGTACCACGTCTGCTGCGCCAACCCGGACTCGTGCGCCGCGCCTGGGGCAAACGGCGAGCCTCGCTGCACCAACGATAACTACGTTTTCTATAACCCGTGATTGCACAACCGCCAGGTTAGGATCAGATTGAGTGTACAGTGGTGTTGCTCGTCGAAGTAGAGTTCACGTCGTCCGCCCTGCTAGCAATTTTGCTCACATGCCACGCTGTTCCGACACATAAATGGTTGTATCGTTTTCGAGACACAGGCTAGAGCTAGGCATTGCCTTCCCCTCCTTGCGTTGTCAGGTTTTTCGTTGTAGCTGCGCTGGTTGATGAGACGTGTGTGGAGGTAGTTGCAGGACAATCAGGCAACCATTGTGAGTCCGCACCCAGGTAGACTAGAAAGCAAAGGTGTACTTTGCAAGCTTTAGTTTTTCCTGCAATCGAAGGTCTACCCCTACTTCTTTTCAACCTCGTCCCCGCACACACTTTTGCAGCATGCTTTCAGCTATTTTCTACATGAAATGCATCAGACTTAGAGTTTGAGTCTCGATCAACGGCACCCCCGTACTTCTCTGCGATGATCATTGTGACATGTCTTCGAAGACATGTCACAATCCGATAAACTGTTGAGATGCGGAGCTCTAATCTGCTTCCGTGCGGTGTGGTTCTTCCTCTGTACTTCGCGTGCGGGGCATGAATCTGGTCTGATGTTTAGTAGTCTGCAAATGTGCAATAAATCTACGATTCCTTCTCATCATCATGTTGAAAGACCTGAGTGCTCACGTTCGAGTGGCTTGATTTGTCGACGTTTTCGAGTTCTAGCTCGAGCTCGTGAGATTTCATTTGAGCAGAATGTTGTGACGTCCTTGACAACCATCATACATCTTGCTTCAGAGGAAAAATGATGCACGAGAACGGCTGTCCCCATGCTGCTTCTAGCAATGCATTCTGGTGGTTGCTCCAGACTTGCGAAAGGGGACCCATGGGCGACTCATCCTAGCTCAAGGCTTCGTATCACACTTACGGCCCCGGGCGCGGGCCCGTTTCAATATTTTCATGGTCGATGAGTCCCAATTTGTTTTGATTCTGAATGACTATAGAACATGACTTACTGCTGGCACACGACAATCTGGCGTAGTATCAAAATGCACGCTTGATTATGTCCATATAGCGACGGTAGCTACGAATCTACATCGCAGTTGCCTGTGCGTGAAATTATTACATGTGCACCGTCTATCCATGGCGGCAGGCAATTATAGTATCTTTTATTAAGTTTGAAATTTGGGCGTAGTGACATGCAGTGACGCATGAGGCATGTCTAGTCATCGGTCCAAGTCGATCAGTTCAAGCTGGTGACATGCTATGTGGTTCTAACTGCCCGCGGCATGCCGCCTGAGGAGCTAGTATGTCCTCATACATGTCACGTGTGCACCAGGGTGGCCGGCCGAACTTATGTGTGCGAATGCAAGCCTAAAGTTTTCTCAATCTTGTGTCGACCTGAACAAAACTAATACGCAGATTGCCAAGCGCGAGCATTGCAAGTCCGTTGTTTCTCGAACAACCCAGACCACCAATAAATACTCCCAATTGCCAACGTTCTTGTGTCAAATTGTCCAAGGTAGACTCTACCTAAGCAAGCACGACTATCCTATTCTCATCAATACATAGAGTGCGATTATACCAGAGGCGCAAGCCCCACTTTGACTCGGCACAACACTTTCGGACTCAACCATCTGCAAACATGCAGTAAGTACGTTCTCCTAAGTAACCACTTTCTGCTCCAACTGCCTCAACTGTTGCTCCATCTCGTCAACCCGCTGTGCCATTCCCCGGTGCTCCTCTCTCACTGCGAGAAGCTCCTCCTCCAACTCTTCCTTCTCCTCTTCGATCGTCTCCAAGCGCTCCAGCTGCCGGTTCAAAAAGTCCTCGGCCTGCTTCTGGGTCGCCATCGCCACTTCGTGCTGCTTGCGCTCCTCCTCTAGTTGCGCGCGCGCGCGCTCCTCTGCCTCTCGCAGGCGCGTCTCGAGGGCCTTCACCTTCTCCGAGCTCGCGCCCGTATCTTTCGCGGCCTTCTCGAGATCTTGCACCCGGGCCTTCACCGACGGACTTCTCACGAGGGGGGTTCTCTCCGCTTCCAACTCGCGGACCCTTTTCTCCGCCACCTGCAGCTTGGCCGCCGCGTCCGCGACCCGTTTCTCCGCTTTTCCAACGGACTCCCGAAGCTCTGAGCCCAGCTGCTGCGCCCGCGTCTCCGCCGTTGCGATCTTTGTCTCCGCCGCCTCCAGCGCTTCCTTCAGACCGCCCGCGTTATCACTCTGTTCCGCCAACGCCTTCTGCAGCTTTTGGATCTCCGTCTCCAAGTCTACCCTCTCCTTCTTCAATTCCGACAACTCCGCTGCCTGCTTACGACCCTCTTCCGATGTGCCCTCAGCTTCTGTCACCTTATCCACAGATCCATTCCGAGCCCCGACTTCCGCCTTCTCCAGCAACTTCCGAGTCTCCACTAGCTCGGCCCTCAAGTCTTCCAGTTCTGCCAAACCCTCCCTCGCTTCCGCCAACTCTCTTTCCAGAGCCTCGACTCTTTCCGCCGCGCCCGCCTCCTTCTTCAGCCGCTCCACCTCCCCCTGTAGCAGCGTCACCTCCTTCGCCGCCTCGTCGCACGCGTTCTTCCAGACGGCCGACTCCTTCTCCAACCGCTCCACGGCCTCCCGCTTCTCCCGCTTTGCATCGTCCACCTCCCGCTGCAAGCCCTTCCTCACTTGGACCGCATCCGCTATATCTTTCTGCAAACCCTTCACTTTGGTAGCGCTTTCCGTTGCCCCTCGTTTCAGCGTTTCAAGCTCGCGCTGCCAGCCCTTGGCCTCCTCCGTCTCGCGCTCCAGCTTTTTTATGAGCCCGTTGCTGCTCTGGAGCTCGCGCTTCAAGCTGTCGAGGTCCTTGAGCTTGCCGCGGTTGTCCTCGATCTCCTTTTGCAGCTTGATTGCCCGGCTGGCCGCGATGCTCAGCTCCTTCTTCACACCGTCCAACTCGCGCTGCGAAAACGAACCGGCGACCATTACATGCTAACCGGAGTGTTAACTTGTCCGATTTTTGATCATCCATTCAGATTCAGATCCTTAGGAAGAGCATGCGTGCCAGGTAATGTTCATTGTTCGTGAGCATCGCGCTTATTGGGATCTTAGGATTTTGTTGCCTCTTTGAGACCAATCTCGTCCAAGAGGAACGAATTACCCTTGAAGCCGGAAGGGCGAGGCAGCACGGATGATGTTCAGACTGCAAACGCCGCAAGAAAAGCCCACTTGCTGTCCTGCCAGGCCTGCACCTTTTTGAAGGCCACAAGGTTGTACGTTAAAGACGGAATGAACATAAAAGGTTTACGAAACTTGGTAGATGCTTTGTCTTCGCGAGGCAAGCGGATCACTTGTTGCACGCACCTGGACGGTCTTCCTCTCCTCGGCGTACTCCTTCTCTAGGTTGCGGACCTTCCCGCGCGCGTCATGCAGCTCCTGCTTCACCGCGTCTAGTTCCTTTTGCCGTGCCCGGGGGCTCTCTTCCTTCGCCAGCAGCCGCAGCTGGCCCCGCGCCTCCAACAGTTCCGCCCGCAGGAAGTCCGTCTCATCCACCTTGGCCTTGCTCTCCGCCGCCTGTGTCTCCAGCTCGTCGACCCGGATCTTGGCCGCAAAAAGCTCCGCCTCTAGTTCCCCCTTGAATCGAGTCGCCTCTTCAGAATCAGCCTCCGCCCGCCGCAGCTGGTCCTGAAGATCAGAGACCCGGTTCTCATTGTCGGCAGTGACCCGGTCGAGCTCCGAGCGAACGATTTCTAGCTCTGCGGCCCGCCCCGAGCTCTGGAGCAGCTCGATGTTGAGCAACTCGATCGTGCCTCTGGCTTCTTCTAACTCTTCCTGCAGGGCCGCGACCTCCGCTTTAGAATCGTCACCTTGGTCCTGGCTCTCGCTAGCCACTTGGGCCTCCAACTCCGAGACCCGTTTCTCAAGAACCGCGCGCTGATCGCCGTCCGCTTTCTGGGCGCTTTCCGCGCTCTCAACCGTCTTCCGAAGCTCGCCCACCTTTCCTTCCAACTCTTTCATCGCCGCTCGCTCTTTTTCCAGCTCCACGAGCGCCGCCGCGGCCCTCTCCTTCGCGCCCGCCTCCGCCGTTTCGAGCTCTTTGCTCCGCTGCTTCGCGGTCTCCAACTCCTCCGTCAGCTTTTCTAACCCGGCCTGCTTCTCGTCGACCAAGTTCGAGAGCCGTGAGGCTTCTGACTCGAGGTCTGACAATCTGCTGGCCACTCCCTTGACCGCCTGGGCCACTTTCACGTCCTTGAGCATTCCCCCGTTGGGTTTGTTCTCAGGAGAGGTAGGCGGCTGCGAGCTTGACCTCGGCAGGACTGACTTTGGGTCGCGCACGGTGTCGCCCAGCTTCTCTTGCAGGAGCTGGAGGGTGTCCGTCTGCGAAGCACGCTCTTGCGCAACAGCCGCCTGCGGAAGACACGAGGCTTTGTGGATTCGGAGTGTACTCAGGGGATCACCAACACTTCTTCAGCTTTTTGATCTGTGCAGAATCTTGCACTCAGTTGTTGCCCCTCCCTGTTACTCTGTTCTTGGATCCGAGGATCTTCCAGAAAGAGAACCAGGAAATCAACCTTGTTTGGGCCCTGCTTCCAGATATAGAATCTGCCGAAATCAGGAGTCGGATCCTCAAGAAGTACTTCCGACGTTGGGTCCACTTTGACGAACGTACTTTTACTGAAAGATTCACAAGAGCGTACGACTAACCGTAAAAACTCAGAAAAACGCATGTAACAAAGCAAAAGTTCTTGGTCCAGTCGCTCTGACTATTTCAAGGATACAACACCAGAAGTCTATCTACAACGTAAGATTTTCGACTCAGCAAGAGTGCCGTTCAGGCCTTTGGATGCCAATTCACGAGGGTGCCGAGTCGAACGCACGCAACTCGCCGAGCCCTGCTTTCGACACAGATTTACGGCATGTATACGTCAACTCGTGAAGGTGGGCTTTTCTGCTCCATAAACTTTCTTACAGCGACAGAGATTAGAGAACCTCCGGGGTAAGGTGCAAGGCCGGAGGCCCATAAGAAGCTATCGCAAAAACAATGGGAACTGATGAGCCTTGTTGCATTTAGATTGATTTCACTGCATTGGCTTTGGAAGGCATGAAACGGCCGTACTAAAGTAACAGTCTGCAAACCAACTCCCCCTCTGCATAAGGTCGGGGTAGATTGACCACCGATTGAAGAAAATCACCGTAATCGAGTAGGCGTGACTTCTTGAGAGATCGACGGGCAAGTCGTTCTCGAAACTGCGACGAGACAAACTTCCAAGAAGACACTTGAGTCCGCAGCACCCGGCGGCTTGGAAGGAACCTCGTCTTGTTTACAGGAGCAGGGATGTAGATCATAAGGTTTAGGATCAGTGGGGCACAAGTTCGGTCTGCAGGAAGCTGACGACTTTGAACAAGTTCCCGAGAAACAAAATAGACCTCACCTCTGCAGTCTTGAGGGCGACCTGCAGCTCCTCTATCCGCTGAAGCGCCGCCTGATGCTCTTCGCTCACAATCTTGAGCTCCGTCTTCAAGTCCACCCTCTTGTGACGCAAGTCATCCACCTGCAGAATCACAGCGGAGAATCAGCTTCGTACGTCAGATTTGCCCAGCTTCAGGGCCTGTGTATGAATATGCAATCTAATTTACGTCATCAGACCGTAACATACAGAGTGTATGCCTAGCCCTAACGCTGGCAACATTTCTCCTTGCGGCAATCTCAGTTGAGTGGTTAACCTTGGTTAGTCCCAACCAGCTTCTGCCACGACCTTCGATGCATTCCAGACACCTTCCTCAAAGCACTTCAGAATGTTAAAGCTCTCTGCATCCTCATCGCGAGCAGTCACAAACATTGCTACGACGACTCTCGACGCACCTCGTGCTGCAGCGCCGCGTTGGCCTCCTCCAGCTGCGCCATCTTCTCCGCGCGCTTCTCCAGAGCGGCCTTCACGTCGCTGTCGAACCGCGCCTGCAGCTTGCTCAGCTCCTTTCGAGCCGCAGCCGCCAGAGCGCGCGCCTTCTCAGCCTCGTCCAGGGCGTCGCGCTTCTCTTTCTGAGCCGCCTGCATGATCGAAAGGTCACCGGCAGTTGGCACCGGAGACCGTGCAAGATGATGGTGCTAAGGCAGATCGAAACACTTGCACTCCGGAAGTGCTTTTCGGTAGGGTTCTCGAAAGAGTCGGCTCCGACTCTCCTCCTCTACCAATTCAGGCTGATGGTGTGTCTTAGGTCGAGACTAATCGGTCTCGGGATGGTATCTCAAGGCGGCTTGCAGGCCCAGGTTCGAAACCCCTAACAGCAACGGAAACTTGTGAGACCCACAGTAACTTCGAAGAAGATGCGTGATCAGAGGAGGCGGGGAGCACAACCCTTCTAAGCACGGTGTTTCGGTTTGAAAGAGCTCAAGACAACAGTTTACTATCCACTTAAAAGACAGCCACTTACCCTCACAAAGGACCTTCGTGTGACTCGTAGGTACCTCACCGAAATTTGGATCGTTAGCCGGCTAAGCACGCAATGGTCCCAGCAAACCAAATAGCACTGACCCAGCAGCACAGACAGGCGCACTCTTGTCGCGCTTACCTGCAGTTCCCTTGCGACACCGTCCTTCTCCTTCCCCGTTGCGCCCCGCTCACTCTCCATCTTCTTCAGCTGCTCCTCGAGCTCCAGTCCCCGTGCTTTCAAAGTTTCGGCCTCCATCTCGACGCTCTTCCGAGCCCCGTCCGCCGCTGCAACGGCCTCGTCCCTTGCTGACGTGGCACTTTTCAACTGGCCCTTAAGGCCCTCAATCTCCCGCTGCGACGCTTCTTGCATAGACGATGCGTCCTGCAATTGCTTCTCTAAGGCTTCTACTTTGGCGCGCGCGGCCGCGACCTCCGTGCGCAGTGCACCGAGCGCCTGCTCGTGTGATGACGTGGCGCTCTGGAGGTCGCTCCTGAGTTTCTCTGCTTCGCGCTGCAGGCGTTCCACCTCTGCCAGCCGTTCCTTCGAAGCAGTCTCGTGCTTCTCCGCCCTTTCCGTGAGGTCCCTGGAGACGAGCTCCTTTCTGCTGTCGCTATCCTTCTTCAATGCAGCCAGCTCCGCTGCCATTTTCTCCCTCTCTGAACCAACCTCCTTCAGCACCTTTTCCAGCCGCTCCACTTCGGCCGTAACCTTCGCCTTCTCAGCCGTGACCTTATCCACCTCGGCCAGCGCTCGTTTCCGCTCTTCGCCAACTTTCTTCTGCCCTTCGCCAGCACCGGCGTTCTGCGCAGCCTCGTGCGCCAGCCGTTCTTTCTCCGCGGTCCTCTCGCTCAGTTCCTTCTCCAGCCTCCGCACGTCTCCCTTCAGCCGCTCAACTTCTGCACTTTTCGCCTGAGCATCTTTTACTGCCACTCCCAGCTCCGCCTTCGAAGTCTCCAACCCCCTCTCCCTCTCCGTTAGCGACTTCTCGAGCTCGTCCGCCCGCTGCCCCTTCTTCTTCCACTCTGTGAGCTCCCGTTCCAACGCCTCTTTCGCGACCTTGAAAGTACCCAGCTGCCCGACAATCTTCTCTGCTCTTTCCTCCAGCCTCGCCGCTCTCGCCCGGTCCTTGTTCTGCGCTTCCGACAGCTCCTTATGCTCGCCCTCTAGACCCTCCAATCGCCGAGCAGCACCCTCACCCTCCGACCTAGCTCTCTCCAGCTCTTCCTCTTTCTTCTTCAGGTCGTCGCGAAGTTCCTCCAAGCTTTCGTTCACTTTCTGAAGCTCGGCGCTCAACGCCTTCTTCTCTTCTACCAAGCTCTCAATCTCCTTCTGCAGCGACGCCAGATGCACTTCCGTCCCTTCCTTCTCCTCCCGCAGATCGATCATTTCGCTCTCCGCCTTGTCGAGCGCACCCGCGATGCGTCCCGTCGTCGACTCAGCCGCGTCCAGCATGGACTGCAGCTGCTGCACCTGGATCGCGTAGTTGTCGCAATCCATAGAAAGTTCCCGCACCTTCTTCTTCAGCGCCTCCGTGTCCGGGCGGCTCGACGGGCTGCGCTCCTCGTACGAGCGCAGCGCCCTTTCTGCCTTCAGCGCACGCTCTTCCGCAAGCGCCACCTTCTCCTGTGGAGAAAGAATCGTGTGTTCAGTTGCTGCAAGCTTTCAAAAGGGCAAGAATTCCCTTCGCATGAACTTTTGTACACGAGAACAAAGGAATCCTATGCACAGACCGATCTTCCTCAATCGAGACCAGCAACTAGTAAGTACTGAGCCAGCCATCTCCGAAGAAAACCTGCTTCAAGGGGAAGCGGTCACAACAAGAGAAACTTTAATACCAGATCAGGTAGGCCGTTTGGGACTGTTCTGCGAAACAGTCAGAATCTCCCAGAAGCCGCTCATTTATGCAGCTGCTCTAAACAGGCTGGTACAGCGCTTCCTCACCTCCGCGGCCTTGACGGCTGCAACCCGCTTGTCCACCTCTTCCTCCGCCTCTCTGGCCCTCTTCTTTGCGAGCAGCGCCTCCTGCTTGGCATGGTTTGCAGCCGCCTCTAGTTCCTCGACACGCTTCAGGCTCTCCGCTTCCACAAAGGCCCGGGTCTCGCGCTCCTGGTGAGCAGGAAGGTCACTTCGTTGACCCTCGAATCCTAATATGCTTCTCACAATATTAGTGCCAAGCTTAGAGACCATCCCAGGGCTGCGGAGGAGTTGCAAGGCTCTAAATACAACTTCGCAGTGCGCAACTAGTGCCAAATGAGTGGGCTCATCAGCGCCCATGCCAGAAGATGCATCTTTCACCAACAAGTAGGCAACGAGAGTTGGCGCCCTGGACCTGCTTGCGGATAAAACGGGTTATTACCAAAGGCTTTGAAGGAACTATTGAAGGGCTCCTCACCTGTTCGACGAGCTCCATGAGCTGGTAGCGCTGATCCCGTATCTCCTGATGCAGGTCCTCCGCTTCCTCTTTGGCGCGCTCCTTCTCCTCCTCTAGCTCCTGCACGAACCGATGAGGGCACATTCAGGGCTTTTCAGCATTTTAAAACCCTTCGTTCAATCCGACACGCCTCGTCATCAGAGTGCCCACAAGAAGATCTTATCCATCTAACTCCAACGTCAGGGGGCTTAAAAACTGCCGACGGCCAAAAGTTCTCACAAATTGACCATCATACACCAGGATATGCACCACATGGAACTGAGCAGACAAACAGGACCCAATGTGTTCCTTCAGGCAGTCAATCTGATGATCTCGCATTCTCAACCACGTTCGACAACTTCCTACCTCGACGAGGCGCTCTAGCTTTCTCTCCATGTCCTCCCTTTCCTTGGTCAATGCCATCTCTGCCATTCTTGCGGCCTTGAGCTGACCCTGCCACACAACGCGTGCGAAGACAACAATGAGATCTGGACTTTGAGCACAAGCAGACACATCTTAAAGAATGTATAATCAGCCAAGGTAAGAATAAGGAGCGGATGTATAGATTGACTATAGTCGCAACTGGAGGTGAATGCGATTTCCCTTATAAAGCGTACTTAGAACCTTGTTTCGAGGTTGGAAACGCCGGCTGATATCCTGCCCGAGAAACCGGAAGACCTGCAAACACTCGGGCCTCCAACCCTTACGAGCACAAAAGCGTACCTCTGAGTCTGCAAGCGCTTTCTTGGCCTCCCGTAGCTTTGAGTCGGCTTCCCAATCGCTCTCTCGGGAGACTGTAAACGCCGGATGGACAGGTGACCATCCAGCGGCCGTTTCCCCCAACTCGACGAACTGCTGGAGAGCGTCGCTGCCGTTGCGGCTGGACTCGAAGTTGAGCCCTGCTATGGAGAGTAAGGAACATCTCAGGAAACCCGATTGTCGAAACCTCAGGAACTGCTTGAAGTCTGCTTTGCACAGGTCGTGGAGACTCCGCATTAGAACCTGAACGAAACCAGAACCCAAAATGACCGTTAACAGTAGCAGACATGACCTCAAGCTCAAAGCTAGTCCTTGTTGGAAGGAATACCTATTGTAGAAGCAAACACCTCCCTCCGACAAGCCTACGGACTCACATAAAACCCTTACCGAATGAGTGGGATGGAGACAGAGGAGGGAGCCCCGGAGGCCGCATGGGCGGCGAGCTCCCAAAGTCGCCGTTTCTGAGGAGCCTCTCGAGCTCCTGCACCCGCAGGCGCAGGTGGTCCCTCTCGACCTCTGCCTGTGCAAGGCGTGGCATATCGACGGTCCCACCAATGATGTTGTTTGCCGCGCTTCGAGCCAATTCGTCTCGGAGGCGCAGCACCTCATTGTCGAGGCTCGAATCCTGAGGAGCGAATGGATGCAGTGAAGGTCTGGCCATCTGCTCGTCGTTAACCCTCCAAGACGTTGTTGGAGGTTCGAGAAGCTGCGATCTTTCAAAACAAGGGCAGAGAAACGTGCTCTGAGAAAGTGCAAAGACCGCTCAGGGTCCAGAAGCGGAAAAAACTTCCAAAATTGCAGAATCGGCCCTATGTTGCCTGGTTTTGGGACTCTGAAGCCGTCTTGGAGCAGCACTTGGACCATGGAGTGACCGCATCTATTTCTGCTCAAGCTTACATAAGAACGCGACACAAGGAGTTTGCAACAGAGCGCAGGAAGAGACCGGCACTAGACATATCAGGTCGCTTACTCGATCTTCGCTCCTGTCTGTTCCGCTGTCAGACAGACGGTCATTGGAGCTGACCCGCTTCAAGATTGGGTGGTGCTTCCGGGACAGCATAAGTTGCAGGGCGTCTGAGGACCAAGACGGCGCAGGTTTTGTGAGAAGGTGACAAGAGGGTACACACGAGGGCATGTTGTTGCCTCGTGCCCAAGTGGAGGTCAAAAGAACCGGAAGATGCACTTAACTTGAACAGGCATAATAAGGGAAAGGTACTGCAGCGACGCTGACACAAGTTACTGCGAACTATGAGGTCAATCAACCACAGATATGCATATCTGTCCTGATCTCACCGTTTTGGTCTTGGAGCGCCTCCAAGTCCGCCTCCAAGCTGGCAATCCTCTCTTCAGCTTCGCTCGGGTTCAACGGCTGAAAGGAAAGTGAGAGAACAAATCAGCATGGATTTTGGCTATGGACAGACAGGACCGGCTGAGAGTGAGAAAATACCGTGCCTCCTGGAGAGCAAGATTCGAACTTTCAAACAGAAAGTTCCAGAATGAAGGACTTCAAACAGAATCTGCATTAGGGGGAAGTCAAGCAGAAGGTAATAAGTCACGACTTTTGACACTGAAAGTCGCAGCAAGTTGGCTTCCAGAGCAACGGCGAGTGTGTCAGAAAACAAAGACCGTGGAATGCAACTCTTAACAGCTTCAACTCGTTATGGCCAATTGTACCAGGCTACCTCGGCATAGTTGGAGTAAGGCAGCTGCACTCACTGTGGCTGGTGTTGCCTGAGACTTCATCTGCTCTTTCAGAAGCAACTCTTCCAGGCTGTCTCGTTCCTCCGCCAACTGCACACAATAAAAGATCATTTCTTGCTCTGCTCTGCCCTTAATCAGAATGAGCCAAATCTCTCTTTAGATAAGAACTTCTAAACGAAATATCTATCTTAATCACAATCAATGCCATCAAAAGTCAAAAGCTAGTACAAACTGACGTAGTTAAGCATTGCTCTTCAGGCACCCGCCCACCTGCTTGTTGATAGCCTCCAGTCGACCGATCTCTGCAAGGGCACCATCAAGGTCCATAGGGCTAAACGAGGTCCGGACGCTGCCTTGGTACGAGCTCTCGCTTCCAAGCTGCGCCGACAACACAAACATCAAAATCCACTCTCTTGCAAGGGGCAATCGCGGGTGACTGCTTGTAGAGGCAGGCATACTACGTGCTTCAGATTGGCGGGACACAGATCTTGTCAGATGAAAAGGCTGCAAAGCCAGCCATTTGTTGACAGACTTTGCAAGACAATCTATGCAGAGGTGGGTGTGAGGAAGCTTACGTTGCTCTCAGAAAGGCGTCGAACTTCCGACTCCAGGTTGTCTGAAAAGGAGAAACGCACTTGTTAAACCTCCCTCCTTTGAAGGAGAAAGTGGTGTAGGTCCAGCTAGTATAAAAATTGTGCAACAAGAAAAACCAGAGCATTCAACAATGAGACGTCGCTTTTGTAGCTTGTCAACAAAGCCAGAGGACACATTCATATAAGGTTGCCTACCATTGTTCCGCTTCAGAGTAGCCAATGCTTTCTGATGGAGTTGCAAGGTTTCCTCGGTCTCTGCCACTTTCTCCATCAAAGTGACGTTTGCATCTTGCAGCCTGCGATTCATGTCAGATGTTCCGCATAAGAAACATGACCAAGCAGGAATTGACTACTGAAAGGACTAAAATCGGCAGATGTCAAACTTGGTGACGATCTGCTATCACAGATCTTAGAGACAGGTTCCCCATATACTCAAGCAGGGTCAGCCATGAGCACTTCATTGCATTCCCAAGCATCGTGTTTGGCAATTGTTGAAGCTGACCTCTTACTTTTGTTATATGCTTTTCTCATCACAGGCATGTCAGTCCAGCATTCTAAGTTAATCAAAAAATGCTCACATGATATTCTCCTTCTCAACTTCAGCAAGTTCGCGCAGGGCCACGCTTCGAGGGCTGCTAGGCATCTGGAAAGAAGCAAGGCCAAATTGGTGCCGGCACCTCATCACTCGAATAAGGAGATAGACCTCATCGATCCTCATTGTCTTTGCTCCCAGAAATCTTCCAACTGCAGAGCTAGGCTAGCCTCAGTACCGGCACACGCTTTGTTGTGCAGATGCAGATTATATGAGGAAGGCAAGTCGAACTTGAGTGAGACAAACACACATAAGGACACATGTAGACACATGGTGCTGGGCCTACCTGCTTCCGAGCAGGAGAGCGAAAGGAGGCCGAACTCCTGCAAGTGCAATAGCCACCACTTAAGCAGGATATTAGGGTGGGGCCCTGAAAATTGTCAGTTGTTCGCTCAGGGCCTCTACTTGCATTGGCCCATGCTTTATAACTGCTCAACAACGAGAAGAGTGCTAAGAGTCATCTACAGTCAGTATGTGAAGCCCAAATGGCAATACAACGCGAAATGGCGGATACCCCCACCTGGTCTTGTCCTTCCCTTCAGTCATGTCTGCTGTGATCAGCTTCGGTCGAGAGCCCTGGAACGGCCTGCCACTGATATCCAGCCCCTCATTCCGCAGCAGCTCCGCAACAGTGGGCGGAATCTGACAAAAAAACCCTTGCAGAATAAGAGCTAAATGCAATTGAGCAAACTTATTTCCGGGGATCAGAATAGACAGACAAATGTGACGGAGTTAGTTTCGCACCCACAAGAGCGAAGACAAGGAATCGTCCACATGACCGATTGACATGCACAATGCTGGAAAACAATGCACAATGCTAAAAGAAACTCAAGACTGTATTTAAGAGAGACTGAAAGCCTGTTAAACCACAACGCATTTGAAGTGTCACAGTTAAGCAAAAGGTTGTCTTTCTTACGAACAACGAAACCGAATCTTTTCAGATCTAAAAGTCGAAAAATGAGTTAGCCAGCAATGCTGTCTTCCAGCATCAATCAAACTACAGCACGTTTGACAGGCTTGACGGAGTGCCAACAAACAAAGGGGCAGCAAAAAGCATACAGAACAATGCCAATGTCTTACATCAGTCTACATTGCCAAAGCAAGAAGTACCCAAGAAACTGCGTTTTCAAACTCACCTCCTCCTCCGAGAAGATTGTCCTACTCATGATGCCAAGTCCTGGAATCTCCGCCTCTTTTTATGAGTGACCTGGTCTCAACAGAGCCACCTTTCTTGCTTCAAGGATAGCAACTCTTCTATTTATTCAAACTATCTTTCATAACTGCCTAACTTGTAGTGTATCATCTGCACGGGGGATATGAAGAGAGGATGGTGCAACCTCAATAGGGTGTAAAACCTTCTGCGCCTGGTTACAAGTGTCAGCTGCTGTATACAAATCCAACATCCCTGGCTCGGAGAGAACCCCAAGCTAATCAAGACTTGCCGCTGACCAACTTCAGAGCGTCATTCTCGCAGCCCATCGGAGGAGGGCGCCAAACATTCTGGTGTACCACCATTGAGGACATTTTCGAAAAGTGTGGCTGTTCCCTCCAAGCTTCATGGCCACATGCAGGCCCATAAACACGCGCATCCGCAGGAGGCTTCAGCAACTTCTTGATGCAAGTTTCTGCCTGGACTTGTGACTGGAGCAGGCTGAGGAGACTCTCCAAAGTGGCGGGAATTTGCCTAGTGGACTCGCCGCTCACCGGAACTTGAGCGGAGCGCGTAAGCGGATCGGAATACCGGAATCCTGTAAAGGGGCGAAAATTTGCCGGTCAGATATTGAAGCAATGAAGGGTCTACCGTTCGTTCAGGATGTTCGGGCAAGACTCGTTCCTGCCGGGCCCTCGTTAGACTGAGGACTCCGAGAAGCAGGAGCTCCAGCAGGGCTGCCTTCTGCTCATCATGATGCGCTTGGCATTGACATTGCCCCGACATTGCATTGTTGCGGATGATGACGTTTGCGCTCAAAGGGACTCCGGACGAGCTAGCGGCGCAAGAGAGACTGGAGAGAGAACAAGTCAACACATGACTGCCCAGACAGCGCGTACTTGGAACGGGTGCTGACCGGAAACTTAGACGTTGACGCGCCCAATGCATCAAAGTACTTATGTAAATACCATTATATGTTGGCCAGTGACATTCGATGCAGCTTTCGCTGACTGAAATGAAAGAGCCGACAACGAGACGCCACAAGGGTCCTTCTCGCAGTTGGTAGCCCGGTGTCGTCTATAGCTGTCATGGCGCCGAGCCTGGCGCAGCTTGTCTCTTGTCCTTCCCTTCTCGCCTTTTGAGAGAAAGTATATTCGGGGGCAACAGAAAGGAGAGCTGCGAGGCCACGAACGCAAAAGTTGGTGACATGCAGCTCAGAGCTGAATAACTCAGTCTCGCCTCGCTTGAAGCTACATAAACCGACCTGGACTACTCTGAAACTTCCGTTCCTGCATGCCAAGTTCTCTTGTAAGTTCCAGCGTGTCCACTTACGATTGCAAACCAGCTTGCGGTTGACAGCCTGTAAATCAATGTTCTCAAAAGCTGAGAATTCACGGAGGCATGAAAGAGAAGATTGTCAGCCTATTGTCAATAGTACCTTTCACCATTTCACCATGAGCAACTCACTGGATCAGGGGTGCGGCACCCTTGGTGTGGAAAACATGCCAGGTGTGACGTACAATCATGCAAGACAAATGTGGACGGAAGGTGAGGCAACCAAGACAACTGCAAAGGTCGGCGCAACGTCAACGTGTTGCAGTTCGTCAGCTGGCAGCTTGAGAATGAAGCAACCAGAACACTCAGCGAGCAAGAGAGCGTTTTCAGGACCAAACTTGACCCGTTTGAAAGACATGATCCACTGCCAGGGCCAGATTGGACGGCTGGAAGCTACACGCTACACGTGAGTCCAGCGTTAGCGCTATGGAAAGCGTTGCATGCTAACGTGACTCGATGAAGTCGCTGAAAAGTTGATTGATGCACATAAGACACTGCCCTCAAAAACGGTTTGAAAGCAGCATATGGGGCAACGTAGAACAGTCATTTCTTCTCGACCAGCTTTTTCCTCCGTATCAGCAGCTATGGCGGGAGCTCTGCGCCTTAGCGGTCCGCCCTTCATGCTCGCGCTCATTCTGGCTGTGTTCTGCCTTTCGGGAACTTCTGCAAACCGGCGCCTTCTGACGGACCGGTCGAGCGACTCGTGCGCATGTGGCGATCCTATGGACCACTGCGACTTCTACATGGACGGCTACAAGGACAAGTGTCCCGTCTTTGACATCGGCTCAGGAACCGGTGACCAGGTGAGCTTCTGTTATGACTTTGCGCTTGAGTCTGCTGGATGAAGGAATGGTACAGGCATGGTTCAGCCGTTCTTCAGTTGCATCAGTTTTTGGTTTGCACTGTGCTAATGCGGTAAATCCAGCTCTTCGAAGATTGGCTGGACACCAAGAGAGTTTTCATTTCCCTTTAGGCTTTCCATGCTTCTCTCTACGAAAGGAAGGACCAGAAAAGCTCGTGGGACTATCAGGTTCGATGCTTTTTGGATGGCTTCGAACGCTTGTGACCGTTCGACGGTGGTTGAAGACTGCTGCACTTTCGTGCGGAACCCGAGAAAATGGCCACGAAGGCGAAAGGCCACTTCTCATGCGTGGTACTAGGACAGGGCTTTTGAAGACAACGGTCATGTCAGCAATTCAGAGCTTCTTCCGGTGCATGTAAAGGCTTACCCAAATGAGCAAGTCGTAACTACGCTGGCTGGGTCGAGATTCATCAAAGCCACAAACAGATCGATCTGCTCTGTCCACCTCCGGGAGAAAAATACAGCATAATTGGGCAAAACCAAAACGTGTCCCTTGTCTCTCAGGTGTACACCAACATGAGCCTGTGCGACAAGTACGGCAACGCTGTCACGACGGCCAACAGCCAGTCGTGCCGTGTCATGAGCTCCTGCTGCTCCGGGGATTCGAGCACGAGCTGCGGCAACCAGTTCTACGCCAACCAGAACCACGTGGCGTGCAGGACCATCCAGGGGCCGGTCCAACAGTTCCAGGTGAGGCGCTGCTTTAATATACTCTGCCAGAATGTGCGTTGATCCGCTAACGTGCGCGGGCCCCTGTCGACTGATGCGCGTTTTCTTGGAAGCATAGAACGCGAGCCCTTGACTTTCCTCACTGGAGCGGGTGACGCCTGAGCCTGTAATTCAGAAACTCACAAGCAGATTCTTCAAAAGGCAGCTTGAACGTTTCGAGAGCAGGGAAGAGATGTGCTCACTTCATCTTCGAATCGAGTCCTGGCAGTAACGTTTCCCGTCTCATTCCGCAAAACAGGGACCAGAAGAGCAAGTTCTCTTGGAAGAACGTATCAAGCTTTTGGAGGGAAAGGGACTTTCGTACGTGCGCGCTTTGCGTTTGTGCAGATTGAACCCAAGAATTTCGTGCATTCACAAAGCCGTTTTTTGCGGCTCTCATTCGTGCTGACGAACTTCTGCGTCATTTTTACCAGGGCCTGTGCATCAAGCTGGTCCTCACTTCCGTCGAGCTCGGCCCGAACGCCTTCAACCTGAACAAGGGGGACGGCAACAAGGACTACCCCGAGAAGCGCCGCTGCGTCATCTTCCAAACCGCCTGCGCGCCCTCCTATTCCCCCCCAGAGTCTTACTCTCCTTCCTACTCCCCCCCAGAGTCTTACTCTCCTTCCTACTCCCCCCCAGAGTCTTACTCTCCTTATTCCCCCCCGGAGTCTTACTGGCCTTCTTACTCACCCCCGGAGTCCTACTCTCCCCCCGAAACTTACTCTCCCCCTTATTCGCCCCCCGAGTCTTACTCCCCTCCCTCGTACTCTTCCCCCGAATACTACTCGCCCCCCGCATACTATTCTCCTCCGTCTTACTCCCCCCCCGAGTACTACTCGCCCTCTTCTTACCCCCCGCCCAGCCCTTACGGGTATCAGCCCCCCCCTTATTACCCCCCCAGCTACACCCCAAGCTATACGACGCCGCCCTGCACCATATCCTATTACCCCGACAGCTACGGCAACATGCAGCCCGTCACTGTCTGTCTGGGCGGAGGCACCCAGACGATCGGGCAAACGGTGAGGGCCTCCGAAACTAGGAGTCAGATCAAAGTCGCTTGCACGTCGTCTGATCATGGTGCTGCGAAAGCTGCCGTTCCAACATTCGAGCTCGGTTTCACGCTGTATCAACCGTTTATCTTTGCGCTTCGTACCGGGAGAAGCGGGCTCGTGCCCTCAGAGCAACAGGTGGCATCTTGGTTGGGAGCTTCACGTTCTGAGCCCTGGCTTTCGAGCGAGTTAAGCGGGCTGTGTTCATTTTTAGCCTGAGGATTGGTAGAAGGTGCAACTGCCCCTGGGTCTTTGTACGTAACCGTCGCTGTCGCATGGGTTGCAGCGCTCTCAAGCTGTTTCTTGTGCTGTTCGCAGGTCGGCCAGGGCTACAAGAATGACCCGTGAAGAGACGGTACGTCCTTAAGTTTCCCCTCTTTTCCCCGCTGTACTTGTATATATGAGCTGCCTTTGACTCCTCTGTACGCACGTTCTATTTGTAAAGTGAAAAGACGCCTGGAAAGAAATCTTCTCCTGTCAAGGAGCGAGTGTGTAGCCTCAAGGCTAAAATGTGGATAACGGTTTCTTGCGTCCCCAAAGTTGTACATTCGTGCAGGTTCTTGCAAGCACATAGCTACCCGTACGGTCGTATAGTCGGACCTGAGACCGACGCACTTGTTCTTCTGTGTTTGCAGGTTGTTCCGACGTCTACGAGTAGACAGTTTTCGCCTTTACCGAAGATCGTCAGTATACTACCTAGCTGAATTGCACCTCCTTTGGTCGCTCCTAGACGTTCTAAAGCAGTCTCGTGACGTAATTCTTCTTCGCAAGTTGATAGGCGGAAAGCTAGTCTCGCAATACAGCTGAATAAAGACTTCCTCAAAAGGTTCTGACTTCAACCAGACGCATCTTAATACGCCTCCACTGAATGAATCGCCTTCAAGTGGTGGAGGAATTTTGGATTGTTGCTTTCGTAATGATAGATCTGCAAGTTGACTATGTCCCTGAGCTGCATGCGCTTGAGCACATGTGTTAAGCTACCGCTAACATCATTGCTGTGGCCGTACATCTACAGAGTTCCAACCCGTGGAACCTTCGTGACTCATTACGTTAACATGAAAAGCAAGCAAGCGTGAAATCTAACAGAATCGGTTCACCCTCACTCTCTTGCACTCAACGAGATATAAATTTTCCCGCAACTTGCAGATTTTCGCAAAAAACTTTCTCAGATTTGTCTTCTATAATTTCGACTCGTTCAGTCTCCGCAGCGACATCCAGCGTCCGGTCAATACTACTTTCATACGCAAATACGTCTTCTTAATGGCTTCGAGGTTTCGACAGCCATTTGCCTGAAGATGGTAGATTTCCTGTCACATGTCGAGCAGCACGCACGACTGCGAAAATCCAGTACATCGTAGGACTAGCTAAAGCTCCTCTTGATGATGCAGAGTCGAAATCATGCATAAAGTCAGACGAACTGAAGTGCGTGGAAGAAAATCTCATACGTCACCGGTCATATGTGTCAAGAATAACGCATGGAACATTCAGAACGCCCACAAGGCTCAGAATCAACACGATGGAGTGTATTCCAATACTCACGGTGACGATCATGATAAAAATCCTGGCGCTTTCAAGCTCGGCACGTCAGCTTGAAGTCATCGGTTACGAAGCTCGAAAAGGGCGTGGCGTCATTTGCGGGCGTGGAGGCATTTGTGGGCGCATCCAAAACCGGAACGGAGCCATCATGCAGATTTTGAAAAGCGCGCACCTTGACCAGGCTTGACGAAACGCGTCGCGAGCCGTGACCTGCTACAGTAAGCGCATTTCTAGAGATCCGCTTCGATGATTTTCGCTCAACCTCACCGCGCGCGCATGTCCATTCTCGATTGGAATGCAAAAGTAGAATCTATTGCATGGCGCATTGCGCACAATCGGACTCTGTGGGTTGCTTAGGCAGTGTCCATGCACCCGAAGGTTGACGGTCTGGCCAGCTGTGTGCCACGTGTTCACCTGATTGTCTGCCTTAATCCAAGACGACTCACCACGGTGCTCTTCGTCCGTGCTGAATTGTCCTGCAGCTGACCCGAACTCGTTATTTTTTCCCATGCTTTTTGAGTTGCAAAGAAGCTTGGAAATCAAATGGTGGCCGCGTCCGCTTGTGCCAGCTCATTAGGTCATTGTTCGTCAACCCTGGCTTCAATTTTCGTGATGTCCGGACGGGCCACCAGCCGTTGCTTGACCAGAGCTGACCGTTTCAGCGGCGCCACACCAAAAGCCAGAAGGTCAAGCCCAAAGGGCTACTGCTGAGGGATGGGGCCCACGGTCCGAGACCGCCCATTGACCGCATCTTTCAGATTCCCCGCCTCGAAGATTTCTTCTGGGGGCCAGTAATCTAGGCTTCACTCTACTTACAAGCAGCAGATTGCCGAGCTGATTTCAAGGCACCCAACAGAGCGCCAGCTTATCTGGAAGCAGCATCTTTCTCCGACGGTCTTTTTCACCTCTAGCGCTTGTCCTCAGCAGCCATGGCAGGACCCTGGCGGTTCCGCGCCGCGCCCCTCGCGCTCGCGCTCATCCTGGCCGTCTTCTGGGCTCCGGGCATTTCTGCAAACCGGCGCCTCCTCCACGGAACGACCCAGCAGAGCAGCACGTGCTCGTGTGGCCAGCCGATGGACCAGTGCGACTTCTACATGGACGGCTACAAGGACAAGTGCCCCGTCATTACGTTCGGCCCGGGGAGCTGGGACATGGTAAGCCCTTTCTTGCATCAGCTCTCGACTACTGATTATGTTTCTAAAGGTCTGCTAAGCTGGAATAACTTTCAGCTGATTGAGGAAAGAAACGTGTCTGCTCCTTGAAGATGGATTTCCCAACTTACGTTATGCCCATCACAGGATTCAGCAAAACAGCGGTCGAAAAGAGGTGTGTTTGGTGTTCCTGGGTTTTTAGATGACATGAAGGAAATAGGATCTCTTCTAACAAACCTCGAAATGGAGAACGATTGTGCCCCGTTCAAATGCAGGATCGTGGTGGCCACCTCGAAATGTAGTCAACTTCTTTTTTAAGAGCATCTGATATCATGTATGAAGCTGACCGACCACCAGAAATATATCAGGACTGACTTATCAGAACTCTGCTTCGCCCCTGATAACGTGAAGTCTCAACATTCTTTCGTAGAACCAAGCAGACTAGGAGGCATGAGAATCTTTCTCAGAAACGCCTGTGAAAAGTTCCACACTTTTCTCCTTTGCATGTCTACTCGAGCATGAGCATGATGGACAAATACGGCAACGCGGTGGTGACGGCCAACAGCCAGTCATGCAGCGTCATGAGCTCCTGCTGCTCCGGGGACTCGAGCGTCAGCTGCGGTAACCAGTTCTACGCCAACCGGAACCACATCGCGTCCAGAACCGTCCAAGGGGCCGCTCAGAGCTTTGAGGTGAGAGGCTTCGTCTCAGAGGGCCCCTCCAATGAAAAGATGGACAGAAAGGCACCTGAAGCCTTTGTCAGTATGTTCCGCTCGCATGCATCTGTAACCGAGTCCTTCCGCTAACCGCGAGTCAGCATTTCAGGGACTCAGGGACGAGTACTCTGCGAGATGTTGGCGAGATCCTCGTCGGGGTCGGAAAGACGTGCGATCCAGATCCAGCAGTGTGCGGAGACATTTCTAAAGCTCGAGCTTGCCAACTCTCGCGACTCGCCGCCCTTCATGCTTTCCGGCGAACGAAAGAACACTCGATCGCAGATTTCAGCTTTTGTTGTCTTGAAGAATCCTTGTCAGGCTCGTGACTTTTGTCGTGTCCTTTTTTCCAGGGCCTGTGCATCAAGCTGGTCCTCACCCAGGTCGAGCTCGCGCCCAACGACTTCAACCTGAACCAGGGGGACGGCAACAAGCAGTACCCCGAGGAGCGCCGCTGCGTCATCTTCCAGACTGCCTGCGCGTCGTCCTACTCCCCCCCCTCTTACACCCCCCCTTCCTACTCCCCGCCCTCTTACTCTCCCCCGTCCTACTCTCCCCCCTCTTACTCGCCCCCTTCCTACTCCCCCCCTCTTACAGTCCCCTTCCTACTCTCCCCCTTCTTACTCGCCCCTTCCTACTCCCCCCCTCTTACTCCCCCCTTCCTATTCGCCCCCGTCTCAGCCCCCCCCTTCTTACTCCCCGCCGTCCTACACCCCCCCATCGTGCCCTTCCAGCAACTGTCCCCCGTCCCAGTCCCCCCCCTCTTATTCCCCCCCAAAGCCCTACTCGCCTCCGTCCTACTCCCCAAAACCGAAGCACCCTCCGCCCAGCCCTACTCAGTACGAGTCGCCTCCCGGCTACAGTAGTCAGAGCGCCAGCCAGACGGTGAGCGTGTTTAAGACGCTTTCGACACATCGACTTTTTGTCGTATCAAGCAGGGGTGGTCTTATTTCAAGGTACATATTGTGGACGTTGAACAGATTTCTGATAGGATCATTCATGCTCTCAACCGTGATGCAAACGTTTCCTGAATACCTGCATGACAGACGTCTCGGACCTTTAATCGCGAAAATTGAAAGGGTTTTCCACATATAGTTCGCGCGCCATTCTTGTCCCACAGTTTCGGAAAGCATGTGACCAACGAAGTAGGTCTTTGTGGACGAAGTCCGGATCCTGCGGTGCTGACAAGTTACTCTTTTGTTCGCTGCAGATCAGCCAGTATGGAAATTGATCACGATGGAAAGGAAAGGGTAGGGTGAGTCCACGAAATTTGTTTCGTCGAAGATACGTTCTTAAAGGTTTTGCTTTTGAGCGCGACCCCCTTCCCTTGACCGAATTCGAATCGACCCGCGACTAACAGTCTCCCTTGGGCAGCATGGCAAAGATTGTTGAACCAGGAAGATTCTGTTTTATCAGCTAGTATACCGTTACGTTCGACGTTTAATTGACGTACCGTAGGGCGGTCTTCGTCGTTTGAGGACTCCAAAGCGCTCACTAGGTTCTTACCGAATGGACTAAACCAGTGCAGCACACAGGTACACGGACAGGCTGACTAATCAGATTGCTTATCTTCAGGGAGCCCAAGTCAGCGCGTGAGTCGGCGTCGACCGATTCCTAAGCATAGGTACGTCGTAAAATCCGCGGAGGTCAAAATGACTGCGGCTTGAACCGTCCAAGCTCTGAAACTACGATGAAGAAAGTCTTTGAGAATGTCTCCTTTTGATCTTAAGGTACAAGCAAGAAACTATCAATGTTTGTATGCAGTGCTGTTAGCAGTACGCCGGAAGTGGGTACGTACCAGGCCGTTAGCGGTACACCTAGAATTGGCAACGATAGAGAGCAGGCCGATAGAAGGCTGAACCCATAGGCAATTGCATCTTTGGCCGGCCCGTCAAACATCTGACATCGAAATCGAAATCAGGCAAAGACGATCCCTTCAAAAGTTGCGTGTTTTCGTCCTGCACATGTCATGGCGAAAGTCGTATTTTCTGAGTCGCCAAAGTCGTATTTTCTGACGAGGCAAGGACTAAGTTTTGTGTTCAGCCCACCGGGCGCACCGCAATCCTGAGTTGTATGCATGAATGCAAAGAAATTGTGACCAGATACTCAATTACTCTACTCTTCATACTACTTGCATGGTACATCCAAGCAGCCGTAGCGTCATCCAGATTAGTTGTTGGACCTTGCGTCTGCAAGCTGTGGCATGTTGATTCCTTGAAGTCATCACTTCATGCATGGCTCGTGTGTGGTCGCTGGCTAGAACAATAAACTAAGGAATGAAAACCTGCGATGAAAGTTCAACTCGAGTACGATGCAATGGAAACTTGAAACTAGATCTGTTTGATTCACCTAATCTGGGTGATGTTGCAGCATGCAATCCGAAATTATACGCATCAGCGCACATGTTTTTTCGAAATACGAATTGTATCCTTTAAGATCGTACAAAGGTATGATTCTGGCAAGATGAGAGGCTTCTCGATATGACACATCAGAACAACATGCATGGCTATGGCAAATCTTCCATGGCCGCATTCAAGCATCAACTGCGGGAGATCAAGCCATTCAGACCCAGCTACACAAAAACAGGAGAGGCTTTAGTCGTCGCGATCAATCCCAAAGATGCCAGCATTACAAGCAGATCAAATACTCAGTGCCAACTCAATCCATGCCTGGCCCACTGGCTCCAGGTGACTACAAGGGGGCTAGTTACGCAGCCCATGTGCCGTCAAAGCCGGGCGGGCGGGCAGCCCGGGTGGTTGTGGCCACTCACGGCCACTTGCCTGCCGCGTAACTTTGACTCAAGGTCCTCGATCCAAAGTTCTTGTTCTTTAAATCCTTGATCTATTGTGCTCAAGGTGTGCTGCAGATTCTCTAGCTCAAATCTAGCTTCTGCAAAACGCTGTTTCTTGGCAGCTTCAAGACTTCTGAGTTTCTGGGTCTTTCTCTCAAGTTGACCCTCCAACTCCAGTTTCCGATCTTCAAGCTGAAAGCGGACCCTAGACACTTCGAGCTCAATTCTCCTTTTTCGAGCCTGCTCTTGCTCAGCCTGCTGAGCCCTCCCCTTTTCTCTGGCTTGCTCAATGGCAGCCGCGACAGCACACTGACTGCTGATGACAGATTGTCTCTCCCAATCGTAGCAGGTATTACACAGGGGGACTGCTTGGGGAGCTGCCGGAAGCTGGCTGATGTCAGCAAAGTGGTGGATCCCTGGCGTGAACGTGGTTATGACGATAGCAGCTGGTTTCAACTTGCAATGGGAGCAGCGTGAAGCCAAAGATTTACGATGGAGACGGGGCACAATGGGTGGATTCTGTTCATTGGTGGGTGCGGCAGTGCTGTCTGCGCAAGCGGCTAGCTTTGACTTTTTCAACCTAGCTGCGTTGGCAGCTTTTAGAGCTGCCAACGATGCCCTCTTGGCCTTGCTTAATCTAGGCATGATGCCACAGAGTGCCCAGTCTTGCAAGTCCTTTAACCCTTTTCAAGCAAAGAGGTGCTGGCGCTGTATACAGCTCCTGTGCGGCGCACCAGTGAAACTTTAGCAAATCAGCATGTTCGAACTTTCTCGACCAGTACTCTGTTTGATGTTGAGGGCGTGATGCAAATTTGAAATGCATTAAGAGAGAGCAACTCTGTGAGAGAGCAACTAACTCAGCAAACAACATTGACGAAGAAGAGAAGATTCAGATCTCCAAGAACACAACTTCAACTTCAAGGTTCGAGACTTGGTTGAACTTCAACTTCAAGTTGAAAGCAAGCGTCGCGTTGGCGATGTCAAGCTCAAGTACGTCTATGCCAGTGTAGCTGGCCCATTTCAAATTCAAGCAGATTGGCGCGAGCGGTCAGCAGAATGCCTAGCCTTAAACCCAAGGGTTTCAGGTTCCTGGCTGATCAGCAGTGTGGGAATTCTAAATCATGGATGATGGTTTGATTAGATAAATTTGACCCCTTGCATGCGAGCTCATTTTGGACGCTTCTGAAGCATTGTTGCCGCAATCGGACGGTGATTGTAGGGGTTGAAACCTCCTCCATGCCGTACGGTTTAGGTTACAGTAATGATGAATTGGGGTGTGCCGGGCGACGGCCGCGCCGCGGCAGCCGCGCTACTACTTGTAGCTAAGTTTGCAGAGTACGTGCCGCGGCCGCATTGCAGATCAGCCATTTGCTTCTCTCTCAGGCTGACATCAGCTGTCTTTTCCTGTCGCTCTGCGGTATGTTTCAGCGGCTGGCCGCTCATGGCAGCAGCAGCATTGCACAGACAAGCACCTGAAGCAAGTCTGAGATGGCGATTTGCTTCCGGTTCACATGCCTCTATTTCTCAAGCACCTGATGTTGCCACAACTGCCTTCAATGAGTGGTCGTGGTGTGCCACTCCGTCTGCGAGCGCAAGGAATGTTGTTGAGTCGCATGGCTGGCTGGAAAGAGCTCTGAAACTACAGTTCAAAAACCAGCTGGCTGCTTCTCAGTCACTGGCCCCACAAAGACCACTAGCAGCAGGCCAGGGCAATATGATTCTCCGGAAAAGGCAAAGGGTGATTGCCAATGCAGCAGACAGTGGCGCAGTGGAGATGGAAAGCACATCAGATGTTGGTGGGGGTATGCCGATGTCCGAGAGAACCAGACAGGTTCTTAGCATCGTCAATGAGAGTGTGAGTATGCCTTGTCTTGGGTTCTGACGGTGAGGGACACTCAGGTGTCTAGAGTGATGTTCCCAGGAATCTGTTTTGTGGTGGTCGACTCAACTGGAAAGAAGACTACAGCAGTGGCATTGTTACATTTGTGGTGGTGGTGTCAAGGTCTTGCCGGCATGGTGGCAGGAAGTCTCTGAGGATAAAGTGTTGGCCTTCATTGGCATTGCTGCCTGGGAGAAGATTCACGCACTGTATTGTCCTGAACCTGGGCTCTGCTTGATCGGATATCGTTGGCAGATTGAGTCTAGGCCTGCACTTTTCAGACGATGAATCACTTCGCAGATTCATCTTGAAGATACTTTCATACAACATCTTGTAATAAACATCTCTCGCACAATTCTTAACCACTCGCACATTAAGATGCTGCTGCAATTGCAGCTTTCTGCCCCAAGTTGCCCTGAAGGATTCACTAGAATGAAGAGACCTTGTTGTCCTCAAAACACGCACTAGCTGGGCGAGCACGCCCTTGGAGATAATCAAGGAGCTCAATAGTAGCCTCTGTTGGCTCATCAGGGCACAATTTGGCTTCAAAACACATCATTTGCAGTGGTGTCCCCAACTGCTCTGCATTGTTGGGGCTTTCTTTCAGATGGACCCTTGACTTGACCCTTGAATCTCCCCATTTCTGGAAGCCTACTCACGACGTTCACTTCTGTTCCATTCATTTGTTAGTTCCTTGGCGTCATAACTCTCAAAAGTGTTTTAGGCAACCCAGGTGGCTCCTTTATGTCCTGCAGACTAAGTGGGCAGTCTCTGCTGCTGCAGCTGGGTTCCTTCTTTGGAAACACAATGAGCGGGCTGCATGGTGCATCCTGGGGTCCATCTTCAACAGCGTTACGGGCAAGATCCTCAAGCGACTGATCAATCAGGTGCGGCATCGCTTCCTGGTTGACCAATGATGCAAGTGTGGTCAAGCAAGCCCAGAGCATGCTTCTAAAGAGAGACGCGTGACAGGGATAGAACTCGCTTTGATTCTCTCTACATGAAATGACCTGTTGCCACAGGTCAGAAAGCCTGATACCGCATATGCTTTCTGGAGTCCCCATCCCACATCTTGCGACAATGAGGTTGATTGCTTCTGACCACAAGACATTCACTTGGAATGAGTGCACTGGCTCCAAATGCTGGGACACTGGACGTTGGAGAGGCACCAAGTCCAATCGTTCTGAATAGGACTTGAGTCTGCTGAACGGTTGTCTTTGGAATCTCACTTTTCTCGAAACATTGCTTTCTGCAGAGCCGGCCTCCATTGTCCAGAAAAGTAGACCCTGGCATGCCTTCCTCACACGCCCTCAGCCTCGCCTACTTTGGGACTTACTCCTCTCTCACAAGTGAGCTCTCAAACCTTTGCGACTTTACAATCAGAACCGCCCTGTTAGAGACGACTTAGAGCTCGTTCGAAGCCAGTCGGTTCACTGACACCCTGTTGTCGTCCATATCCACATGCGCTGAGGCTGGGGTTGCGCTTGGGACGCCTTCACAGGAAGGCCCTTTTATTGATGTTGCTCGGATATGCAACTTGGACAAGTCGGATCAACCAGCGTTTTCAACGATGTTTGTGCAGAGATTTTCAAAGCACATATACTGGGCATCTCTTGTTGATCACTCGTCTTCTAAGATTCGCGACTTTCAGCCACGAAAGTTTGCCGTGCTGGAATGTTTCAACCCCGCCATGACCATCGTCTGGCAGATTTGCATCGCGAGCAAGCCGAACTTCACGTTGTCAAAAAGCTCAATCAGGCTTGTATCATTCTGTAGGTGTCGTATTTCAGCAGAGAGCTCCCCTTCTCAGCCCCCGTTGGCGAAAGGCTTGTCAGGTTCGGTGACTTACTGCGTGCAGACAAGGGAAAAGGGTCTGACCTGGATTGCAACTAAACATTCTATCGGCCGCCTCTGCAGTTCTTCTATGGCAAGGTCTCAAGCCTTCCGCTGTGATAGCCGCCATCTGTGCGCAAGCGCTGACCGCCTTCTTCGTAAGTTGAATGTCTGACATGGTTGGCCTTCCAAAGCTCGTAGGGGCATCTGTGCAATGGAAAGGACAGGGTCATTCCTGCCAAAGCCGCACCAACCAATCAGTTCATTCATTAAGACCAATACTTGTTCAGTCAGGCGTGCTTTCGACTCGTTCCGTTCCTAAGTCTGTACTTCATCATCCAGGTTTTTCTCCATCGCATTCGAGTACTTTTTCGAGGCCTCTCGACCGTAGACGTATCTTGAGTCTCTTTTCGATCCTTTCCGCAACCAACGGATTTTCCTGCTGCCTTCAACCCAATTTGTTCGAGCACAGTCGCCCGCTTGATTGTGCGTACTGTCCACATACTTGCATCGTCGGAACGTGAATCCTTTTGACAATGTTATGTGCTCTGCAGGCATGGTTACGGATTGCGCTTGGGTACCACACGCCCGCCCAAGTATTGGTAGGATGTGCTGTAGGCAACGTGGTCGCCATCAGCTGGTTAGCGATTGGCGAACGCAAGGTTCTCCCAGCCATCGCTTCTCCGGATGGCGCTCTCCTTCGGGTTGCTCTATTTCTTTCCACCACGCTACTTGTTGTAGCGTTTGTAGCCTATGCATTGCGAAAATGGACGCAAGACTTGCCTTTCTTTGACCGATGGCGGCGCTAGGATTTGCATCGTCTGTTTATTGTTCTGTAATTGTTTCATTTCACTGGGTTGATCGAAAAAGCTACCAGACGTATCCAGATTGGATTGTGTGCATTGAGTGCAGTACTCGATTCTAGGCGCCTGCGCATTCGACACTGCCAGTTCAAGCTGCATTTGTCGGCGCGGCAGATTGATTGGTCTCGTACTGAGGTGCCTGTGACTTTCCTATAGATAGTCGTATCATTGAATCAGTTCGTAAGTCGACAGCAGCAGGCGGCAGGGCGGCTCAGTACTTATTCGCCATCTCTGTAGATGAGTATGTTATCAAACGTCCTGGCAGAGGCCCGCTAGGCGGCTAGGAATTCTCAATCTGGTTCCACTGTGCTTACATACAACCATTCTGAAGTCCGGCGCGCTGTTAGTGTTGACCATTGTCCGGCAAAGCACATATTTGTGCCCACAATCGAGACCACTTTATCCAGCAGATTATTCAGGGCCCTACTACTAGTGTTTAGTAGTGCCAAAATTTTGGTATGGCCGCGGGCGGCCCTGTGACACACGGGCCGGTCGCAGCCGCATCGTGCCGCCGTAGAACATTGTACCAATCAGCCTTCAAGCTAGCAATATATGCCGAATCAAGCCGTGATGACATATGTACTGAGGCCCCTAGCTCAATCGAGACGCGACCAGTCATGAGACGTGTGTATACTTCAATATCATACGTATGTAACTAGCAGTCGCGGATCAAGTGCGCACTGCCATGGCAACTAATCAGATGTTTCCGTAATTTGGGTACGGTAACATGAGCGGCCCATGGTCACTGCCGCGCCGATTGCAAATGAGCCCGAGAATAATCTACTATATACCGGTAGACGAGAAGGCATGGGCGGCTATGCGCATACCTAAAGTCGATAAGCGTCGAACGGTCAGATCGAACGCAACCAGTTAACGTTGATCTGATCATGTACACAAAGGAAGGACTATCTTTGGTACTAGTCACAGAATAGTATACAAATTGCAGGGAGCAGAACAACGCATGTCCCAGCCTACTGGTCACTTGTCATGATCAGACAACCTACCAGAAACACTCGACGCTTCCTGATCACATCGCTAACTCTTCCTGCGTGCACACCGAGTCCAAACTCAAGGGCTTAGGGCTTCTTGGAAACTGTTCTCCAATCCACCCCCGAAGAGCTCCCTCCCGTGTCCCTCTTAGGCCTTCCGCGTCTAGCTGTGGGCTTTGCAGAGGGCTGGCTCTCTTCAAACAATCGGCCCGGGTCAAGGTCAGCGTCCTTTGGCTTGCTTGAGTGCAGCTTGGCCTTCATAAGGGCCTGCTGTGCTACACCAAGCATTTCCCCACGCCCCTTGAACTCCAGAAGCTGCCCTGGTGGCAACGCGCGATCCGACCGCTGACTGGCCGCAACACCATAGCTACTTTTCAAGGCTTCTTCCGCCTCCAATTCTGTTTCCTGCAGCCTCCGCTCCTCAAAAGTCTTCGCTAGACTGCTCTTCTTCTGCTCTTCCGCCTCGTCCCATTGCTTGACCCTCCTCCTTGCGCGCCTGGCCTCAGAGGGATCCTTAATCACCCCAGCTTTGACCGCCCAGCGCGCCGCCTCCTTCTTCTCCTCCTTTTCCTTCTTGTCCAGCTCAAGCTGAATGTCCATGCTCTTCAGCTTGAACAGAGCGGTCCTGTAGACGTCCTGGCCTGACTCCGCGCCTTTACCCTTGCCTTGCATTGCAGCTTCCTGCATATCGTCAACATCGACCTGCCTCACATTGTTCTTAATCTCCGGCAACTGCAGCACGATAGCTGCCATCTCACCCACGTCAAGTGTCTCTTCCTTGCTGCGGAGCACCACTTTGTTCAGCTCCCCCTTCTGCAGGGGCTTTATCGGCGCAGCGCTCGTTGCCAACCACTCAAGATACTTTTTACTGACCTCCCGCAGCATTTTCCCTTTGTGCTCGCCCGACGTCAACCGATAGTTCAGCATTCTGACAAGCTTTGGGTCAGTCGTAATACTTTTCCCTCCCCCAATGAACTGTGCATACTTGGCAAGCTTCTTCTTAACCACGGTCCGCTTGTCCAGCCGCTGCGCACTTCCCGGAGTGGTAAAACCCTTTCCTTCACAAAACTCCCGAGGTTCCGGCATGTCTTTCCAGTATCGAGGTTGTATTTTTCTAGGCCAGTCTGCAGCTGACGCCTTTTCTGTACCTTTTCCATCACCAGGGCCTGCCGCTGCGAGAACAAATAGCCCAGGTCTTATCTGTGTTTGAGCTCCACCTATCCGAACTGCAAAGAGACTTGCAGCACCTTCAAGCATATGACGGGCATTCCGACCATCTTGACTACCAAGCGCGAGCGTGCGGCCAAACGAACATTCCCGAACTAATGATGCTTGTGAGCAAACCTCAAAGGCCATCCTTGCAGGTCCAGGATACCGTAAGTGGCCCTAACCCTCCTGCTTTGCGCCCTTGCCCACTTTTCACTGCCCTCCTGTCAAGTTTGGAATTGCCAATGCTGCCATTGCTGGCTGCGTCCAAAAGTTGCAAGCAGACTCAATGTGGAAAACTACCGTACCTAGCATAAGGGATGGCAGCGGCAGAGTCGCAGCCATCTCACAACGATTTGATGACTGACGGCCGTTCGACCAAGACAACATGGACGGTTCAATATGCTTCTTGGTCCGACGGTGCTCGCCGCGCTTCGTCCGCAAATCGACGGCCTTTGAAGTGCGCCAAACTCTTCCTGGCTGGATCGAGAGTTCAAATTTGAAATCGTGCTCTAGCCTTTAAGCTTGGACTCGTCACTCTTCTTCTCTTGCCACAAGACTCGTGGACGGTGGCATTGAAACTTGAAAGCAATTTGAACGGTGCACAGGCAGCAGTACCTAAGGTGCCTAGTGACTAGTCCCAGTGTCTTCTCATCTCTTCTGAGGCGGCAGGCATTCATGTTGAATCTGCTCTTTGCGCCAGCCTTTTGGCAGGTGTTTTTGCATGGGGACGTGGTTCAAGGAAAAGTGCCAACCCGTTAGCGAAGAAGAGTCCAGTGTGTGATACAGAACGCTTTGTGTAGGGACATGGACAAAGTGAGGGCAACTGAAGCTGACTGATCTGTATTCTGAAAGCAATACTTTTCCAAGTCTGCACTAGCATGGGTAGCGCAGGGGATTTGGCGGGAGCCATGAACAAGGTAAGCATCTAACATCTACATGATCATGTTCATAGATGCCTGTGGACAGTCAGTCGACCAAGACCGTCTGCATGAGCATCAGGACGTCAAGAGCTTGGCAAGTCGGCCGCTGAAGACCGATCACTGACTGGACGGGACACTCGAACCTCAAACACTGACCTGGCAGCCTAGTATGCTTGCGAGAGTTGCTGAAAGACTTACAGCAGCACTCTGCTGCAACGCAGATTGCGTCTCTGGAACAAACGATAATTCGTCTAGAGGGGGATCTAGCACGGAGACGTGTTCAGTTTGAGAACCTGGAGTCTTCACTCCAAAAAGGACAGAAGAGCCTTGCAGAGGAGAGAGCAGAGAGAGAAGCCCTTCAGAAGGTACAGAAAACTTCCTACCTCGCATCCTGTTTCCATAAAGTGCTAATAGGCTTGCAAAAGTCCGACCAACACTTGCTTTCAAGGACATGATCTGTGTATACAGGAGCAGCCACGCAGGGGCCAAAGTAGGAAGCAGATCAGGTTGAGCCCTCTGTTTGAAGCATGATCTGGGACCATGATGCACGGAGCAGTACGAGGCTTGTGATGATCGATGTTGCATCCCTTGGCTGCAAGTTTGAGAAGCTTGGCCGAAGTTGTCATCCACATAATCCCCCATGCAGGACTTCCTCAGGCTGCAGCGACGAAACGATGAGTTGGAGCAGTTGGGAGAGGCAAAAACCAAGGTGCGCATTCGTTCATAAAACGGCAGACTATGACTAAAGCGAAGACCTGATCACATTTTGATGTCGATCTGCTGTCAAATTGGGCATCCATTTGCTATCGAAACTTACTTTCTCAACTTATTGAGATTGTTCTTGGATTTCTGGTTTCTGGCCCTTCCTTTTTCCACCTCTTTAGTGCATAGTTGCAGCACCACATCATGCCTCTGCTTGACTTGACACACTGCCTGTCAAAATGTGGTTGTGCAGGAAGTCCGTGTCCGCAGCGAAGCTTGCTCTTTACTGGAAATCCAATTGAAGAAAACACAGCAAGAGAGAGACGAAAGCGCGGTAGCAGAGCGCCACCTTCGGTCCAAACTCGCTGACTTGGCAGAAACAGTGGATGGGCTTTCACGAGACAACAAGGAGGTATGCAGGCTGACTATTCATTCCTTCAAGCTTGCCATTGTCCTCTCTGCCGCAAGTTTTGCACTGGCCCACAGCATATCGCATCATGCCTGTTTAATAAGAGTGGATGGCTTGCTTTCGACCTCTTCAGTAACATTTGAGATTTGTTGCTGTGCAGCTAAGGAAGCAGCTGGTTGGGGAGAGGAATCAAGCTGAGAACTTGCAGAGACAGGTTGAGAAACAGAGGGAGATTCACGAACGATCTATCCACCAACTAAAGTGCAGGTAAAGCCAGTCTTCTTCTGCAACGAAACTGTGATTGAGATAGTTTTAATTCTTGCAGAGTTAATTCATGCCAACCTATGTCCCACAGCATAGCGCACACGCTTCATGACATGGGCACTTTCCTGAACGCACATTTTATTCTACAATTAGATACTGGATTCAAAGAGACTTCGTAAACTGCTTTCAGTCCCAGAATATGCAATTTAGAGCGTGTCTTTCGGCGTTGCAAGCAAATGTATCTGACTACATCTCTCTTTGCTCTGGACAGTCTCTCAGAGAAGGATGGGAGCCTCCAGCAGGTCAACCGCACCCTTGCTTCACAGCAAGAGGAAGCATCCCATGCAGGGCATCGTGCACAGCAAGCAGAAGCGAGCGCCCAGAAGCTGCGCACGGAGCTGGCGGCAGCACTGCACGTCACAAGCAAACTGCAGGAGCAGTGCGATCGTCTCCAAGAGCAAGTGGCGCAGGGGGCTAGTTCAGCACAGCATGCCCAAGAGGCGCAAGGCGCTTCTGAGCGGAGGTGCTCGACATTGGAAGCAAAGGTGAGGCTGGCCCGCACATGTTGAGGCACTGTAATAGCGTGATATTTGTCAAGGGGGTCCGCCGCGTGGTTTGAAGAATGTGGGTTGGACGTGTCCCAAGCGTAACCGGTGTTTAGAATCGAAAAGTTGCGCCTGATTTTTGAAGGGTGACTGTTCACGAACGGGGTTGCACTTTTACTGCTCTTCTGAGATTTTACACTTCTTTACTGAGGTAGCTTGCAAGAGAACTGGGAAACTTTATACTCATTCAAACATTTTCTGACTGAAAAGACGCCAGCAAAGATTGCACCGTTTCGTCCTTCTTGCAATCAGGACGAAACTACCGTAGTAAAAGTTGCAAAATAGTAGAGTAGTAAAGTCGCAACGCAGTTTGGCCTAAAACATTGAAGCAGTCTTCACACCAAGACTCAAAAGCAAAGATTTCAATCTTGTACCTGCGCTCTTGAAGCCGGCTTCCCCAGATACGAAAACTGGTCCTAGTAGCATTGCCAGGTGAGGCAAGTCAGACTTCCAATCAACGATTTCTGAAAAATCTGCTGCGCTTTTCCAGGTGGCAGAGCTGGAGAAGGAGCTGACTGCCGCACTTACCGAGCGTTCAGCCAAGGAAGCGGCCTTTGCCGGACAGAGCCAGATGGTCGAGGTTCTCTCCGCTGAGAAAGTCAGTCTCACCAACGCACTTGAGACGGCCCGGAAGGATGCGGTCCAGGCAAAGGACGCTCACGCAAGCGCGGCCAAACGGGTTCAGAGCCTTCAGCAGGAGTTGTTGGATGCTTCAAACCACTTAGAGCGCCTGAAAGAGGCTGAGGGTTTGGTGGCGCAGCTGACAGCCGAAGTGAAGGAGAGGGAGGAGAAGTGCGCCGCCAGTGAGCAAGCGGTGGTGAGCCTGCAGTCGAAGCTCGGCACAGCGGCGGTCGAAAAGAGGGATTTGGAGTCGAGGGTTGGAAAGCTGGCGGACGACTTGAGTGCAGTGACGGCTCTTCTCGAGGATGCGCGGGTGCGGCTGGGTAAAGAAGAGGAGGGAAAGAGGGTGCTGGAGGCTCGGCTTGAAGCCCAAACGGAGGAGCTGAAGAAAGCGGCTGCACAGGAGGGGACGCAATCCGCAGAACTGGAAAGGCTTGCTAGGGAGCTTGAGCAGTCTAAGGATGCGGCGACTGGCTTAGCGGTTCAGCTGAAGGAGGTCGACGCTCGCTACCGCGAAAACGAGGCGAAGCTGCTCGAGTTGCGGTCGGAGGCGGAGGCCAATTTGAAGCGGGTGGACGATGCGGAAAGGGCGGCGGCGGAGAGCCTCTCGGCACTGGAAGAAAGCCAGGCCCGGGAAGCCGCCCTCGCGGGCAGGGTCAAAGAGCTGGAGAGCTCGAGGCGGCTGGGGGAGAGCTTGTCGGGGGCGCTGAAAAGGGAGGTCGTCGAGAAGGCACAACAGCTGGCGGCATGCCGCGCCGAGCTTGCGGCCCTGAGCAGCGGGATGGAGTCCGTCAAGGAAGGGGCGGACCAGCGGGCGCAGGAGCTCGCAGGCTGGGAGGAAAAGTGCTCGCTTCTGGAGGCGGAGGCGGGGCGAAAACTCGAGCAGCTGCGGTTGGAGAACGGGGCTCTAAGCCAGCAGTTGCAAGCGCTGGAGTCGCAGCTGCAGGAAGCGCGGGGAAAAGTCCGCCAGAACGAGGAGGCGGTTCTGGCTCAGCAAAGGAAGGTGTTTGAGTTGGAAGGACTGGTTGGGGCTGCGAAAGAGGAGCGGCTTGCACGGGAACTAGAGCGGACGGCTCTGCAGGCGGAGCTTGACACATTCGGGGCGCAGTTGCGGGAGAGCAGGGTCGCGCTGCAGTCCAAGACCAACGAGTGCGCGGAAGCTGTGGAACGGTTGCGGACGGTGGAGAGCTTCCGAGCAGAAACGGAGGGGGCGCTTAAGGGCGAGGTGGCAAGACTCGAGGAAGCCCTCTCAGCAGCAGAGCGGACAGCTGACGGCATGGCCGAACAGAAAAAAATAGTGGAAAGGAAGTTGAAAGAGGCCGAGATGAAGCTGGAAGCCGCAACGGGGTTGAAGGATGCGTTGCAGGGAGAAGCGGAGGAGGCCCAGATGCGCCTCGTGGAAGTGGAAAGCGAGCTTGAGAAGACACGTGGCACCCTTTTGGAGACCGAAGAGAGGCTGTCCGTGACTGCACGGCTGGCGGAGGAACGCGCAGCCAAGCTGGTCGAGGCTGGGAAGGTGGAAGCGGTCTGGCGGGGAAGGTTGGAGGGGATGGAGGCAGACTCTCAAAAGAAGGAAGCAGAAATGCTTGGGCTTGTGCAAGAAGTGGATGCTTCAAAACATCGCTGTGCTGCTGTCGAGCAGGAATCGGGTCGGGCCAACGAGGAGGTGGCCCACTTGCGCGGGGAGGTGGCAAAAGCGAAAGAGAGGAGTGCGGCAGCGGAGAGGGAGACGGAAGAGAAGCTGGCTGCGCTCGAAGTCGAGCTGAAGAAAGCGCAGGGAGAGTTGGCCGCGAAGTGTGAGGAAGTGGCAGTGCAAGCGTCATGCCTGGCCCAAATGGATGCGCTCGTACTGCGGGCGGAGTCTGCTGGAGAGGAGGCGGCTCAGACGGAGAAGCTGTTGGAAGAAGCGGTTGCCAGGCAGCAAGCTTTGGAGGAGTCGCTGTCGAGGCTGAGCCGGGAAAAGGACGAGAGAGAGCGGCGGGTGCGGGATCTGACGGAGGCTCTGGCGGCGAAGGAGCGGCTAGTCGACGAAGGGGAGCGTCGGGAGAGGGGGAGGGAGGCGGAGCTAAGAGCGAGGGAGGAGGCTGCGGCTGCGCTGGAGAGAAGCTTACAAGGAGCGCAGGCCGAAGTCAAGGCGAAGGCAGACAAGCTTGCTGAGTTGGAGTCGATCCTAGCGGGTGGCGAGAAACGGGCGGGGGAGTTGGCGGCCGTGAGCAGAGCGCTCGAGGAAGAGAAGGAGGCCCTTGTGCGAGACTTCGAAGCCAGGGGAGGTGCGCTCGAGCGGGCGGAAGCGACGGCTTGGACTGAGAGCGGAAGGGCTTTGGCCCTTGAGGCTCAGCTGGCGGAACTCACGGCGGCTGCAGAAGCCACTGCCTCTGAGGTGGCTCGCCTGACGGGGGAGAGAGACGGGCTGACGCTTGAACTGGAGGCGAGGACGGAGCAGCTGGCCACCAGCAAGATGGCGGTCGCCTCGCTGACCGAGAAGTTGGACGCAGTCGAGCGGGAGCTTTCGGTCAGGAAGGCAGCGGGTAAGGAACGAGAGGAAGGTCTGCAAGCGGAGCTGAGTGGTTTGGTTGGCAGGCTCGACGCTGCTGAGGCGGAGCTTTCGGCGGGCAGCGATCGGTTGGCCGCCAGCGAAGAGAGGGAACGGAAGCTCCAGGGAGCGGTGGAGGCGCTTCGTCGCCAGCTTGACACGTGTCAGATCGACCTGGAGGCGGGGCGCAAGCACCTAGTAGCGGCAAGCGGCCAGTTGGCGCAGTCTCAGGGACAATTGTTGGCGAAGGAAGCTGAGATCCTGGAGCTTAAGGCGCAATTCGAAGGGCTGGAAGCAGTGCACAGCCAGCAAGCCGCGCGGTTTGCAACGGAGAAGAAGGGGCTCGAGGAGAGGGAGGCGGAGGGGCGGGGCAAAGTGGAAGCCATGGCGGTGGCCTTGGAAGCGGCGAGGGGTGCGCTGGCGGCCGGGGGCGACAAGGAGGGGTGCATGGAGGCGCACATCGGGGTACTGGAAAGGCGCCTCGAGGACAGAGAACGCGAAATCGAGACTCTGTGGAAGGAGGTGGCGGCTGTTACGGACGAACTGGGAAGCCGGGAAAGCGCGGCGCAGCTGGCGAGGCTCGACAACGTGGAAAGCAAGATGAGGCTGGCGGAAATTGAGGCGGCGCTGGCTGCAGCGAACGAGCAGAAGGCGCGGCTGAGCGGCGAGTTGGCGGCGGCGCGGGCGGATTTCGAGCGGAGCGGAACGGAGCTAGAGCGGAGCCGGGAGCGAGCTTCGCAGTTGGAGATGGAGCAGAGGCAGCGGGAGGAAAGTTCCGGCGCGCTGAGTGGAGCGCTGACTGCGGCGCAAGAGAAGCTTGCGGCGGCGCAGCGGGAAGTCGGGGAGTGCCGGGCGGCACTGGGAGCCGCGCAAGCGGACGGAGAGGCCAAGTCGGCGGAGCTCGCCGCGGTCAAGCTGCTGCTCGAGAAGTTCGCGCTGGAGGTCGAGGGCCTGACGGAGAGCCGGGAGAAGCTGGCGGGCGAGGTCGCGGCCGCCCTGGACGCGCAGTCTGGCGCTGAGCAGCAAACTGCACAGTTGTGCAAGGAGCTTGAAGAGTTGGTGGAGGCGAAGCGGGAGGTTGACATTGAGATTTTGGGGTTGAAGTCGCGGCTCGAGCAGGGGGCGGTAGTTGCACATCACATGGAAGAGGCGAAGACGGAGGTGGCGCGGTTGGAAGCGGAGGTGCGGGCAGCAGAAAGCCGGTGCTCCGCACTGGAAAGGGCGGTCAACGATGAGAGGGCGGTTGTTGCAGCCAGAGACGAGAAGATCGAACAGCTGCAAGAGGCGGCCCGGGTGAAGGAAGAGACGACGGCAGGGATGCGGAGCGCCTTAGACGAGGCTTTGGAGGCAGAGAAGATGCTGGAAGCGAGCGCTGAGGAGCTTTCCGCCCAGGGTGCGAAGGCTGAAAAGGAACTCTTGGAACTTCAAAGGCAGCGGGAAGAAGGATTGGGGAGAATCACAGAACTCGAACGTCAGCTGGAGTTGACGCAGGCCACCTGCAAGGATATCTCGGCCGAAAAGCAGGCTTTGGCGGAGCAAGTCGAATGCGGGCAGGCCGAGAATGCGGCTCTGTTGGGAAAGCAGCGCGATCTGGAGTCCGCCATCCAGCAGCTGAAGACAATCAAGGAGCGGACGGCGACCGAGCTGCAGGCACAGCTAGACTCGGCGGTCGCCGAGAAGGCCCGGATGTGCACGGAACTAGAGGCGGCGACTGCTGACGTGGCGGAGCTGCGGGCAAAGGAGAAGGTGATGGAGGGCAGCCTGCAGCAAGTGGTGGCCCTGGCTCAGAAGATCGACGGCCTGGAGAAGGAGAAAAAGCAGCTCCAAACGGCGGTCGGAAAAGGTGGGCAGGATGCGGGGGCGCTGAGCGAGGCGCTGGCGGCAGCACAGGAGCGGGCGGAGAAGCTGCTGTGGGAGCTGAACGGGAAGATTCAGGTGGGGCTTCGCTTGCAATGTGGGGACCGTCGGTCTGGTCAGCCTCTTCGCATTTCACCAATCTTCGGAAGTAGGATGAACAAGCCCGTTATAGGATGTTCGGCTCATCACCTTTTACAAATTCAATGTAACTTTTTTTGCGTTCTTCACTTTCTCTTGATAAAGACAATTTTGCGCGAAAGTGGGGTTCGATCAGCGCACATGCTGGGCATGCAACGCTACGGTTCAAGCGCTTAGCTTCCGCTCAAGTATAACGGCCAGAGAAAGCAAGTCGTAATTCCTCCGGCGAAGACAACTCTTCAGTTGCCACGCTGGCCAAGAAGGCACATGATGCTGCCTTTGGCTGTTTCTTCTCTCCCTTCTCTCTTCTAAATGCAGTTACTTTTGAATAAGTATTTTTCCACGCTCGTACTGCTAACGAAGGCAGTCGAAAGCTCACGCAGCTTACGACAAGTTACTCCGCTTGAGTTGCTGAATTATCTCGCTCTGCTCTGAAACCCTACCGATAACGAGTGAACTCCGTTTGGTCAGGTGCTGGAAGCCAAGAACGGGGCCCTGGAGCACATGAGCGCTCAGCTGCAAGGCGCCGAAGCCAAAGCTGAAGAGCAGGCCGCCAGCTTGGCTGTACAGGAAGACCAACTGCAAACCCTTCGTGAGACTATCGCTCATCTCGAGGACTCCCTCCACTCGTACAAGGAGTCCGGAGACAGCCTGCAGAGGACGATTGGCGAGCGGGAAATCAGCATCGAGACTGGGAACCGCGATATCGAACGGCTGCAGACGCTGCTGGAAGAGAAGCGGGTCAAAGTTGAGGGGATGGCGCGGGAAGCGGCAGAAGCAAGCAACAGGCTGGCTCAGGTCGAGGAGTGCGTGAGCGCTTTACAGGCGCAATTGACCAGTGCCCAGAAGGAAAGCAACGGGACGGAATCCAGTTTGAAGGAGCTAGCGGCGGCGTTGCGCGGGAGAGAGGCGGATGTCGACAGTCTGCGCGCGGAGAAAGCGGCGCTCTGCGGCGAAGTTGAACGGTTCAAGGGGCAGATGGAAGCGGCCCTGAAGCGAAGGGAGGCCGTAGAGAGTGGCGCGGCGCTGACGTCGGCAGAGCTGGAGCGAGTGGGGCGGGAGTTGGAGGCGATGCGGGCGACGGTCTCGGCCCTGGAGGTGAAGCGTAGCGAAGAGGAGCTTAAAAGTCAGCAGATGGAAGCGGCGCTCGCCGACAAGGACGGCCACGTGGCCGAGGCGCGTGCGGCGCTCGAAAGCGCGCGCGCCGAAGGGGCGCAAATCGCTAAAGAGCTCGACGCTTCGCGCGCAGTGGTCGGCCTCCTGCAAAAAGAACGGGGGGTGCTGATCGACAAGATGCATCAGCTGGAAGCGGTGGTGACGTCAGCGAAGGCCGCCCTGGCGGAGAGCGAGCGGCTGTACTCAGAGTCGCAGGAGGCGGTGAAGGACGCGGGCGAGCTGAGGGGACAGCTGGCGGAAGCGACGAGCGCGCGTGTGGAGGTGGGCCGGCAACTAGAGGAGGCGCTGGCGCAGATCGAAAGAGAGAAAGGGGCGGCGGACGAGTGGCAAAAGAAGGTCCGGGTGAGGCAACTGATCTGCAAATCTGCCGATTTTAATGCCGATTGGCTTTTCTGACTTTGATCGCGACCATAGTGGACACCGATAAGGCAAGTTGATCAGTGCTGCTGTTTTCAATAGCATGACTGCCCTGGTCAACCCCTCATAACAAGTTGATCCATTACGAGCTCCCTCAGGTCCTCTATCAGATCAGGCTGATTGACCCCAATCGCTTTGAATCTGGTATCTTTGACGGACTATTAAAATCCAATGTAGGTTTCATTGAGCCCTGATTATTCATCTTGACGTCTTTGCCCCAACGTTCCTCCATTTCAGGAGAGCGAGGCAACGGTGGCTGCCCACTTGGCCGCCCTGGACGCCCTCCAGCTCAAGGTCTACCGCCTGCAGCAGTCCGTCGTTGAGGGCGACACCCAGAGGCAGCAAGCCGAGCAGGCGGTCGCCCTCCTGCACTCCCAGCTCGAGGCCCTGTCCGGAGAGCAGAGTGCATACGCCCAGACAGCGCTGCACCTCTCCCAGGAGGTGGAGCAGTCCCACAAGGCCCTTTCTGCGGCGCAACGGGAGCTGGAAGCGCTGGAAGACGGGCGGAGGGGCAGCGAGGCGGCGTGGCGCACTGAAAAGGAGACACTGTGCGAGGAGATCAGCATCTACATGACGCAGGTGGAAGAGTTGAACGGGGAGCTCAAGGCAATGCGCGTGGAGAAGGCGGAAACGGAAGCGGAGATAGCGGACATGCGGGCGAGGCTCGAGCAGGTGAGAGTGCTGCCCTGAGCGGTGCTTAATATAACTCTCGCCGGAAGTAGCCGTTCATGATTCCGTCCGTCCAAATGACGCTCCTGTTCTCAACGGAGGGACTATGGGGTCCTTCTGTTGACTGAATCAAGTTCAGAAGCCCTAGGCTGTGCCTTTCAGGGAGCACGCAAGTCGAACACAGGCAACAGCTTTGTACAGATCTTGTGTCGAAAATTGCATTTCATGGTGCTGGCTCAACAGTCGAAAGCTGGTCCTCCCGGCGTGTCACCCTGGCTCGTGCCTTGCTCTCGGGGCTTCCGCAAGTCGTAAAGGTGAAAAAACTCCTTGCGTTCCTCAGGTAGGGCTCATCTCCGACAAGCTCCACGAGATTCAGCGGGACAGAGTAGAGGAGAAGCGCCAGATGGACGCCACGTCAGAAGACCTCGAGGTGAGCCGTCAACCAGGAGTGTCCCAAGCAGCACGGCTAGAAACTCGTAACCAACCCAAAGTCGGATTTGCAACGTCTATTGGCACGTTCTTCATACGGTACATGGGGCCGACTCGATTCCATAAAGTAAGGGCTTCAGAGACGTCAACAACTTGTTCGGCTAGTTGTGTCCGCAACCAGAACGACCCAGTCATGGGCCCGTGCGTGGTGGGGTTTCACTCCGGCCCGCTCTGGACCGAACCTGTTCACATTACGTGTTCGGTCCAAGCACATGCGTTCTTGGTTTCTTCCTTGTCAGCTGGTCCGCAAGGAGCTGGCGCGCGGCACGGCCGCCACGTCGAGCATCATGGAGCAGCTGGAGCGGACGCTGCAGGCAGTCACCGCCAAGGACAAGCACCTCGCCACGCTGCAGGTGACCCCTCTTGAACCTAAAGGGCCTTGAAAAAGACGACTTTTGCTGGATCGTCAGACAGGGCGATCATTTTCATTGAGGTGCATCTCCTGGCCTCAAGGTTCTGTTTTGCGGTTGGCTTTCTGTCTATTTCCACTCCAAAAGCTTCCACCAAAGCTCTTGAGTTGAACTTTTCCTTTCAACTGGCAGAAATCCATCTAGATTCTGATATCGTCAAAGTCAACTGATTTCCTTTTCAGTGCCAGCTTGCAATTCAGCAAATCATCATTAACCCTTTGAAGAAGGACGTTCTCATAACCTGTAGCGCTGACTCAAAGCCGTCGCACCGGTGCAGGCGGACCTTGCCGCAGCGGAATCCGTCATCCTACGGCAGCAAGCGGGCTTGGCTCACGAGTCCCGCACCGCCGCTTCCCTGGTCAGCAAGCTCAAGCAGCACCAGGAAAAGGAGCGCCGCATGGAGGCCGCGATGCACGCCCTGCGCGCGCGCCTCCTGGAGTCCGGCCAGACTGCTCCGGAAGCGGAAGTCTTCCAGGTGAGGATGGTTGAGTCCAGGCATAAGCTCCTAGTAGGAACATCAAGCTCCCAAGTGACCTCAAAAGAACCGAAAACTATTATTCTAGCGGCTGCGCACCCTCTCCCAACCTATTCGCACACGTCCCGGGTGATAAGTCCTGCCACTTTTACAATCTTACATTCGACACTCGTTTCCAGGTGGGCAGCCCGGTGAAGGTCCCCGGGCGCCCCTGGGGCGAGGACGCGGCCGCGGAGGAGCGGGTGGTGGAACAGGAACTGGCGCTGAGGCTGCAGCAGGCGCAGGCGGAGCTGCGGCGGGCCAACCTGGAGATTGACGACATGCGCACCAGGTGGGTTTTCGCTGACGATCCACGTGGCGGGATCTGGCTTTCCCTTATTACGGCCAAGGCAGGCCCCCGTGGCCATGTCAGGCGTCCTAGCCAGAGCCCCATCCGAGGCAGTCTAAATTCAAAAACTTTCCATCAACGGGCGCCGATGGTGAACAAATACTTCACGCAGATGCTTGGAAGTTCAAGGGCTTGGAAGTGCCATAAGAGACAGGTATCGAGACTAGTTTTCGGTGGTGCTTCATATCCATGATCAGGAAGTCACAAAAGTGTGTAAAAGCCATCGGACGCTTTAGCAGAGCATCCGTGTTCTGTTCGTTTTTGTAATGCGTAGTCGCTGTGACTAGTTGCTCAAATGCGACGCAATCGCTTTTTAGGAATTTTTGCCTTTCTGTGAAACCGAACGATCAGCCTCAAGTGGCCTTCTATCAAAACGCAGGGATGCGATTTGTTCTTGGCTTGTCCGTACGGCCTTAATGCGTGATTGTGGTTCTGTTTGCATGAAGTACTAGCGCAGGCTTCGACGACTCACGTCTGAAGGCGGTCTTTCCAAAGCTTCTCTCTTTCTTTCGCAGACTGTACGGCGACCGGACGCCCGCCACCGGGAAGCACCCCCGGCAGGAGGCATCGCCCGAAGAGGTGCAAGAGTTGCAGGTGGCCGTGAAAGACCTGCAGAGCGAACTGGCGCTGGAGAAGGCAGCGCACAACGCCACCAAGCAGGCGCTCATTGAAGAGCAGGGCCGCTTCGCGACGCAGCTCCAGGAACTGCAGGTGGGAACCGCTCCGGTTGACGTCTTTGGAGTGTCGGAATGTACTCGAGCGCTGAAGCATGTATGCCTCTGCTGATCAAAATTGTTTAAGGATTGCAGCAGGTCGAACAGCAGTGCCACGTCGAATCAGTATGAATTGGGACTTGGCGCTTCAGTGCAACGCCCAAACGTTGGCAACAAGACTTTCGAGCAGGAGTTGTGACCTAGTCAAAGTTGAGAACCAGATGTTTTGCGCTTAATTGATGTAACGTGCATTTGTTTCGATGAAATGGTCTGTCTCCTTCTCACCTTTCAATCCTGCAGACTGTCCCAGTGCTCTGATTGATCACGCACTTCCACACGATCCGGAGGTTCGATCCAATCTTTTCTTTGCAAAGAGTGTTTGTTATAGGCAGATGGTGAGCCATTCAATCCCTTTTCTTGTCGCAGGAACTGATTCAGAATATGAACGGGGGAGCTGCGGGCGGTGCTTCGGAGATGCCCCCCATCCAGGAGCTGGCGATCTTGAGGGCACGTGTCATCGAGCTCGACATGCGTCTCGCCATGGCACGCTCTGACGGAGACGGGAAGAGCGGAGCGATCACCGGAGCCGCAGGCCAAGGTGTGACTTGCAGAGATCAAGCTTTTTCTTTTAAAGAGTTGTCGAACATGATTGGTTTGCTCTGTTTGTTTCCAAGTCTCCATTCCCAACAAAGCAAACAACCAACAAAGGTGAGGGGTGTTTCTCAGGGACTATCGACTCCGTTCCAAGAGCCTCGGGTCAGTGGTTTATCACCTTTTCGCAAAGCTGGCTCTGCCGGCCCTTTCTTCACGCCCGACCTTCAACCTTGAGCTGCAATCCTTTGTTCTCAAGCTCCCTGCACATCGTCTCATTTTGTATATTGCGACACGCAACCGAGTCCGAAAATGCTAAGAACCACAAGCTTTGCTCTTCAAACCAGCTCCTCTCTCAACCCGCCTTCCACTCGTCCGCAGACTTTGTTCTCGACGCTTCCGTCGAGGACGGGCGCGAGGACGCGGCTGCTGACGGCACGCCTGACGTGTACGAGCTTCAAAAGATGGTCGCAGCCAAAGAGGAGGAGCTCAATTACTTCGTGGAACGATGCGAGTCGCTCATGAGGTGAGGAGGCGTTTTGCCATCTGGTAATCAGGGAACGGGTATAACAAGCATGTCCAGGTTTTTGTAGTTGTTTGCAATGGCCGAGCTAGTGATTGATTATCGGATTCTGCAGAATCTGAAACACTGGTCGGAATCCATTCAAAAGAAGCGACATTCAAAATCGAACTCGTGACCAAGCGATGTCAAAGTGAAAAAGTTCCGATCAACGAGTTTTTATCTCAAGGTCCGTATCTGTCAGTAGTCAGCTTGTTCTGACTGCAGGATGACTTTTGTGTGTCATACACTCGTGGTACCCAAAATTATGGTTCCTTTCGTCGAAACCTTGGTTCTGCCAGCCTGACTCTTGGCGACCCCTACTTATCAGCTCTGCTCGTGCCACTTGTGCAGAGAGAACACGAGCCTCAAGAAGAAGACGGCCAGCTTGGAGAGCCGCGTGCGAGGCCACCAGATGCGCCGGAGGGCCGCCGCTGACGCGGCGGGCCCTGCCCCAGCAGCCAAGCCCACAAACCAGCCGGCCGCGCCGCCCAAGGACGAAGAAACGGGGCCTCCAGGCGCTCCGATTGAGGACGGTGCCCTGATTGCAGAAAGAAGAGTCAGCGAGGGACGCGTCAGCCCTTTGGGCCCCAAACCACCGATTCAAAACTCGCTGTGTTCAGGGAATGTGTCCAATGAGGGGTCAGAGGGGGGGAAGTCTTCGCAGAAAGAGTCTGACCAGGAGCAGAAGGCTGCAGTGCTTGACGGCAAAGTCCCTCAGAACACATTCCAGCCGCTGTTGGGCGTCTCTTCGTTGCGAGCGGACGATCTGCTGGACCTTGGGCCGGAGGAAGGCGGTCTCGACCTGATGCCACGTCAGCAGAGCGAGGAGAGCCGCAAGCGCCACGTGGCACGCGGGGTCGGGGGCTACGAGGCTTCCCCGGGCACCGCCCGGGGACTGAAGGTTGCGAGGACTCGGAGCGTGGGGGCGCTTGTGGAGGCGCGGGGGCTGCAGGCCCTGCTGTTGGGAAGAGGGGGATCCCCCGAGCTGTCTGGTCGTATCAGCTCCGTAGACAAGCCCTCGCTTGCGGTGAGCGACAAACGCGCTTCCCTGGGGGCTGAAATCGGTCCCAAATCGGCGAAGAGTTCACCGAGCATGGAGCGGTCGCCTCTGGCAGTCATGCAGCTCTCAGTGGAAGAGGCGAAGGCTTCCCCGGGGGGCGTTGAGAAGGTGTCGCCGAGGATGGCGGGGCCGGCCATTCAACCGCTCCGTCTGTCGGGCGAGTTTACCAGCCTTCTCCAGGAAAACCGAGACGTGTAGATCCCCGGACATGAGGAACCGGTGTAAAAATGGCGTCTTATGCGACAGTGATATTCAACTTGTACTTATAGTGGCAGCAGTAGAGATGAGAATTCCTTCCTTTGTTATGAACTTGCCCAGATACTAGTGGTTTCGATCTGACCGAAGGACTTTTCAAGCCGAAAAACTGGAAATCTGTTCGTTCTTCGTCTTTTCAGCACGTACTGGCGCGGACGTATCCGCTGTTCAGATTGTCTCGCATCATCCTGCAACATGACGTGCCATGCCCAGCTTTAAATCCGTGGCTACATGCATGTCGCGGTCAAACGATTATGCTCAAAATCTCTTGGCGCTTTTCAGAGCGAAGGCGGCCTGCATGCTTCATGAGACTCTCGGGCATTGTACATGCGTCAAGCTCCAATTGACGGCGCCATGGTATGGAGCGGTTTAATGAAGCTTTGAGACGGTGTACTACATGACCTATCTTCTCTAGCTCCAAATACCGTTGCATGTTCGTGTACGGAATAAAGCGGTCACCAGCGATCCGCGTCACTGTTGTACCATTGCAGCTCCATATGCCTACGCGTAGCTTTGGACAACAGCTTCGATGCGATGAGCTGCAGCAGATCAACGGGAGATCTGCGCGCGCAATCATCGACTCTGAGGGCCCATGCAGAGTATGCCCCCTTCGAAGTTCACTGCATCATCATATCAATGCTTAAGACTGCACAAATAGTTCAACTCTACGGTATCAAAATTCACTCAAAAGCTGCAGAAATTTCCGGTATCCGGGGCCAGCTCCCTTGATTATTAAGAATGTCAAGGAAAGGGTCGCTCGTGTGAGACCGATGGAAACAAGGGCTGCCTCCAGAGTTTGAGAAGCATTAGTATATGACAGTGGAAGTCTGGGACACCCCAGCGATGCAGAGAAGCTGGCGGCAGCCAGGGAGGATGCCTTTTCAAATATATCAGGGGAAACGAGACCAGGGCACGGTGTTCGTTCACTGCGTGGCCGAGGTTTCAGGAGCCCCACCGTTTGCTGGGCTTTATCGATGAAGGAAAGAGTGAAGAAGCTGGCTCGCAAACACAGGCCTCAGATTTCTTCGAAGAGGAGCACTACGAAAGCTTGGACAAGGACGGAGAGGCGCGGGAAACAGAACGAGAGCCTAAACGTTGCGAACGATTCACAAACGGTTGTCTTCAACAAAGAAGCTGCATAAAGACAGCCGAAATTCCTGTTTGGGTATGCAAAAATCATGAGCTTGCAGACTTCCGTTCTTGTACACCGTGAGGTAGGTAATCATCATCCCTGAGTTCGGAGCAACGTTATATCTTCTTGTTGTCGGCCAGTAATAAGCCATCAATGGGCCATGCGACTGTGAAAAAAGTCCTTCAGGGGCATTGGGACGTCTTGAAGATGTTCTGGGGGGATGGCTGACTCCTGATATCAAAAATGAAGGACCTTTTGATATGTAAGATGATATAGAACACGGCTGTGAACGCTTATCTCACGTGTTTAAGAGCACGCTGCTGTACCTTGTCTGCAAGTTGAGCGGCACACTTTCATAAATTGAGTGCTAGATACATCAGTGCGATGGCCGCATCGCGTTATATGCCACACGAAGTCGGAAGCTACCCAATCCAGATAATCCAGGAATCTTTAGGAGTGACGCGCAGCACGCGCGTGACGCCAAGCCGCTCTAGAAAGTACGGCCGCTTCACACCCGCCAAACAGCAGGCCCTCCGACGTCATCGTCTCCGACGTCATCGTCTCGGATGTTGTCCTTCCACAGCAAACACCGGAAACTTTTGTGGTTTCTCTACCAAGGAGCTGTCCCTTCCTCGCCCAATGCTTGGTTCGGCTCCCCTGCAGCTGTAAGCGCTTCCTGATCAGGCGCCATACTTTTTGGAGCTTTTTACCAGTGGACAGCCTGACGAAGTGTTTGCAACTTTCCAGAACCAAAATAAGGGCGTTTCACACTAGCTCTCACACGAGAGCCGATGGAAGAGACGTGGCATCGACTTGTCTCGATTCCATGTTGACTAAGGAAGGCGCCCGGTGGACTGGTAGGGTTGGTTGGGGGGTTAGGGTGGGTACGGGTGCGGAGCGTGTCAATTTCCGGGTTTAGGTTTTTAGGTTGGTTTTGTTCCCGAGCACTGTCCTTAGTCAACATGCTCTTAGTCAACATGAAATCGAGAAGTATGTGGTATCGGATCGGACTCGGTCGAGTGAAATCTGGACGGTTTGACCGGTACTCCTCACTGCTGGGTTACTGTCCATTGCCGTCAGTGGCCATACCTATTCGGATTTTCGAAGTTTTCAGGGGGGCAATGCAAGACGATTTTGGATTGAAGCCAAGTTCATCCGGGAGAGAATCGAAGCCTGTTTCGCTTTTTCCATTTCCAACTTGCATAGTTTGCAATGGCGGTGGAGTCTGGAAAGCTGGTTTGAGAACTTATGAAACTCGATAGAGCTATTTTGACCGAGCTACGCGTTTAGTGGTTCGTTCTTTTTGCATCGGAGTTTGTGTTTGAGTGGCTTGTAAACCGGTCAACAAACACTAGCTGCTCGGCTTCGTGATTGTCAAGCTGTATGGATTACAATATGGCAGAAGCTAGCTGCACTTGCTAATATTTGAAAGGAGCCATAGGGACACGTACTAAAGTATTTATGGGATTTGTCGCAAAATCTTGAACAAAACCTCCGTTATACCGGTCAGCTACAAAAGAAGGACATGGTCGTGGTGCACATTTCCACAAGGAAGAGGCCTGAAAGCTATGGTGTGAAAGGAAAACCCCCGACCTGAAAACCCACTCGGTAACACAACGGCAGAGCGCAAAACAGACCATAAATTCACCCGGGGCTTGAGGCCGGGTGTTTTGTTGTGCCCCGTTTACATCACTGTCAGAATCAGCAGCAATGGCACATGTAACCGTTGGAATCGCCGCTTGCGCCATGGATACTTTTGGGCAAGCAGAATTCTGTTTCGGCAAAAAAAGGTGCAACATTGTTTGGAACATGCGCTAATGATGTCAATTGATCACCCGTAGCGCGTGTTCCCCAGGACCGCAGCCTGGACCGGGACCGCAGCCCGGTAAGGAAGTCAGAACCCAGGGACCGCAGCGCTGAACGCCTAGCAGGCGTTGGATAAGGGGTCGGAATTCGTGTATATAAAGGCCTCTTACGCGCAACACAGACTTTGTGGGCCCAAAGGCACTAGTCAAGACCCAACCGTCCGATGATGCCATGTGGCAGAATCAACGGCTTCAAGGAAGGGCACATGAAATTTGACGAGAGTCGGCCACGGCGCGAAGCCGCGAGGACAGCTTCCTGGAAAGCTGAAAACAGATGGTCGGCGAGCACAGGAAGGCAGGTGATTCAGAGCCGAAGCGGAAGTGACCGTACAAAGGACGGCTCATATCATCCAGGGCAAATCCGAAGGGTTCGGTACATTTTTGATGATTACTAGGTCCGCTTGCTCTACCTTACGATTTGTCACACGATCTTTGAACCCAAAAGCATGCTCCCTGCCCGTAAAGATGATACTTCCACGCGTCTGATTGCGCCCGAACGCTATGAAGGTCCGTGCTACAAGCGAATCTTTCTGCGGCTTGTTTCAAGAAGATGCGGCGTTATGTTGATTCTTCTCAAGCGTTTGCCGCGGCGTTTGCGAAATCTCTTGCCGGGCACATGTCATCAAGGCTCTCGCGCCCGTTAACTGACGTCTTGCATAAAAAGTTGTCTTCAACAAGTGAACAGGTGGGTCAAACAGTCGCGGATGTGTACTAGGAAGTGGACTCGGGCTCGGAGTGAGGAACATTGTGACACGGGAATGAAATACTCTAACGTTGTTGATACCGGTGTTGCCACGGAACGTAGGTAAACTCGTCCTGACTGCAAAATCATTTGGCGGATTTCATGTCCACCTTGCAAGTAGACATACCTGTTAGTATTGAGCACGTCAGCAAGTAGACGTACATGTTTTGAACTGAGCAAGTCACCGTTACTGACTGATTGAGTAGAGCAAGAGCACGATGGAAAGATCAGTGGTCTTCCAAAAGCACAGTCTTACTTTTTAGGGTTTCTATTCTGGGGTATCTACAGTAGCAACCTTGCCTCGTAGCAGATGATTTGGAAGCTTCCGCTTCATACAAGGCCTGCTGCGAATATGTCCTATCTGACTACGTTGCAATCCAGATGGCTTCGGACAAAGTTATATAGCAGATCCGCCTCCAAATGACTGTTTGACGACAAAGTGGGTCAGCTCCTGTCAATCTTGGTCCCTGATTGTCCTCCAATCACTTTCCATCTGCATTCTGAAGACGTGCTCGAGAGCATGCATGTGCTTTGCGGACTTGCTCTACTTCTTTAAATTCAAGTTTCTGCTCACACGAGCCAGCTCGACACATGCCAGCTCATGTATCACCTTGTCGAGCTTTCGGATAATCTCGTCCGCTAGGAACATATATTCTGTCAAACCCCGTTCGCGCCCGGTCTAGCGTGCGAGATAGACATATTAGCAACATACCCCTGCGGCGTCCTGCATGGAAATCGACATCGAGCGGGATCGGATTGTTGACCGTAAGACATGCACTGATGCAGATGGAACCGTATTTTGGCGGCCCCACATCCGCGATCAAGGCCTCCCGCCGCACGTCGGTCCACATGGATCACGACTGGAGCTCTAGGTCGCGCCATGCAGTGCACTAGCTAGTCTCGTATATATAGGCAATGGAAGCCAACGCTGGTGCAGAGCCCCATGACGGTCCGCAATATCTCATTCCAGATCATTAAATAAGGCCCGAGGATCGCTCGTATTGACGCATTTACCTGGACTGCAAATCGACTCAAAACAAGGTTGCCATGCATGGCTTCTGAATACTAAGATTCAGTTTTCAAAAGCATCATGAGCTCTTACACTTCACATGTAAGAAAACCGCACAACTTGAATCAACTCACATGATGACATGATGCTCTTGATCGCGTTGGACGTACACGGGTCGGCGCAGGCCGTCCAACCTCATTCACTCCGCTCGTGTCATAGTTGCGTTCTGAGTCGCTAGCACGTCCAAGATGACGTGTAAGGCCCTGGGCCCGGGTGTCACGGTGAACAGAGCCTCAATACAGTCGAAATACGTTGGCCTTGCGTCCTACAGTAATTCGGGACACTTCCAACCTATGCAGCTACTCAACTTCCGTATCATCGTACTCGTCCGGTCAGCAGATCCCGCTGCAAAGAGAATCGTCGTGATGTCAGGCAATTTGAGAGAGTATTCTTGCATCAGGAAAGCGAATTGGCTCTGCCCAAGTAACGCTCATATAGCTCATCAGAAGTGCATGGATAGGTTGAGAGTGGAATTGGAGCATTTGGGTATGCCAAACTAGAGCACCGATACGAAGCTCAGAGGAAGAAGTTGGTAAGCGAAGTCCTCACTCTGTTTGGCGGCTTTGCTAGGAGCTTCTTGGCTGGCGCGTAACCGAAGCCCTGACCGTACGCTTTTAGAAGATCATAAGCAGTCAGGTTGTCCTGCACGGAAAGAAACGAGCAAAATCACCTTCTCAGACACTCGTCGAAGAGACTGGCACAATTGTTAACCGACCCCCATACAAAATCGCCGCTGCACGCTTTCTGCAAGAAATTCGCCGGACGTCACATGTGGAACTGGACTCACCCGGTTGCGTGCCTTTGGATCGGCCCCGTTCATCAGCAACGTCCGTATTGTGGTCCTTTGTCCGGACTGCGCGGCGACGTGCAGCGGAGTCCAGCCGTCCTGCAAAAGCATGCGAGTACGTCAGCATGTGACAAGAGCTCTTGCTACGTGGCATTAAGTCCAAAGAGATCTCGACACCTGCTCGCGTGACTAAAGAACGTTTTCTCTGTAAAAAACGGTACTTATATGAGAATAGCAGCCTCTTTAGGCGGTCCTGTCAGGCCAGGTCATACACGGACAGAAATCGGCGGGCACAAACGTTCGGCGGGCAATTTTGAGGGTCAGAAAGCCGGGTTTGATTACGGCAACTGCGCAGCAATAGCCCTAACAAGAACGACAATGATCGCGCATACATGACATCGAGGGACGTCAGAGGAACGCCGTTACTAGATTCGAACGCTGCGCTATCCGGGTGCCTTCCGTATTCCGTCATGATGGAACATAGGTGACCACTGCAACCAGGTTTTCAAGGCAGACGCTCACGTCATCTTTCTGGTTGATGGGCACCTTGGCCCGGATGAGCATTTTGCAAATCGGCACGTTTCCCGCCTGGCATGCGTAATGGAGAAGACTGGCGCCGTCCTGGAAAACAGCATAGGAAAGAAGAAGGAGGACTAGCCCGGCTTTGACGTCTCACTTTACTAAATCCAAAAGACTCTCTGGACTTGCCAACATACTTTCTTACCCCAAGCACACTGCAATTCATTTGAAAGAGGTACTTATTCTGCGCGTCTCGTTTACCAGACAGTATCAATCCGAAGTCGACCGCTTCTCTTCCTTTCCAGCACGAGAACCATGGCCCATAAGAACCCTGTGCCGATATCTGGCAGCGAAATAGGCCGGACAGGGCAGTTCTGAACTGCCGTTCCGCTGTCCAATCGTGTCGTCAAGTGTGACGGGCAGATTTTACAAGCCTAAACGCCGCTTTCGCAGCGCCACTCCTTGCACGCTTCATCTTCTTTCAAAAGCGCTTCTAGTGTATCAGTGATATACAGCCTCCTCCACCCGTTTGTTCTCTATTTCACAGGAGAGGGGTGCTGTAATGATTGCGAGGATGGGTAGTTCGGGCACTCTCGGGCCCAAGACGCAGATTTCTAGGATTTCGGCTTCGCTTAGTTCCTTAACCTTAGCTTTCTGAAAGTCTTCTTCGCGTGAGTGCCTTTACCTGGTCGACGAGCAGCGCCTTGGCCCCCAGCCTGAGCAGCTGCCGTACTGCGGCGTCGCGCACGTTCATCACCGCTTTGTGGAGAGGCGTGAAACCGTCCTGCGTACACGAAGGGGGCCGGCTTGGGAATATCGCGAAGCTAAAAGCAAGCAAGTATTTCGGCCGACATACTGGAGTGGTCGAGACTCCAAGCCCTTCAGGAGGTTCCATCAGGATTCTGCAACTCACAGCTGGGGTCCTAACTCGCGTAACATGATGACAATATACCAGGCTCTCTAATTCTTAAATAAGGTTGACTTCGCTTCCAGCACGATAGTGGTTGCCGGGGAATCAGTATTCCTCTACACGAAAATATGGCAGTCGATGAGTTCGCAGATGAATTCAAGTGACAAGTGATGCAAATGGCCTTCCTTTTTGTGCAGTTTTCACGGAGGGTACGCAATCTGTAACGTCTCCATTTGATCACTTGAAGAGAAAACTGTCACCAACTCAGTGACAACGCCGATCGTTACTTGCAATCTGAACTGAGATATGGCAAGCCGAGCGATGCAGATGCGACAACACATCCCATACACCTCGAAAAATGGAAAGGAAATGGGGCTTTCCATCAAGCAGGCAGCGCTTCGATTCCGCTCAGATAAATTGGCATACGTTATCAGCAGAACGATCAGAGCGCGTCTTCTTAGCTGACAACGACACTTGCATGATGCGCCCACAGAAGCGCTTTTCGACGACCAGTTCTAGCAAGACAGGGGCTCACCCTGTCTAACCCGTCGATGTCGACCCCTTGCTGAACTAGGTATCGGATGTTTGACACCTGGCCGCAGGCTGCCGCCGTGTGAAGGGGCAGCCATTTCTCCTGCAGGATCGACACTCACCCTGTATAAGAAGCTCTCCCATCAATGCCTCTGCCGGCTGATGCAGTCTACTTGGTCGAGGGAACAGATTCTCTGACAAAGCGAAACGTCAAATAACTTCAATTTGATAGCATTTTGCTGTTCGAGGCCGTCTTTGACACTGTTTTCGAGGCAGGATGGGAGAACTACATTCGTGTGCGAGCATTTTTTGTGGGGCAAGGCTGTACACCCCACCGACTAACTTCCACAACGTTCATTCTTCTGTTGCTCAGAGGCGCTTCGAGTGGCTTACCGAGGTGAATCTTCCAAAGTTTACTAGGTATTTTTTGTGCAAGAACTGGTCCTCCGCAGTCCAGGACTCCGCCATGAAGTCCTCGTCCTGCAGAAACGGGCAGCTTGTAAATGAAAACACTCTCAGGACATCCACAGGTCTCCCGCACATGATGCAGATTGAGTGCAGACTCCCGACGTTGTGAGCTTGATACCCCTTTCTTTCAAGCCTTCCTTATGCTCACGGTAGACTACAACTTCGGTTACACATGGAGTCAAGATGTAGCATGTTGCGACACTCTAGACGATTCACCTTGATCAGAGCCCAAACTCACATCCTGGTCGGGTACGTAGTTCCTTTTGGTTCTCCTTTTTTCAAAGCCTAACGCCTGTTGCATGGGCGGCTGCCGGGAGGACGTGCTGGCGGTCGGCTGCTCTTCGGCCCGCGAGCTGCTCTCCTCTGCGGCGTCGTCCGCATCAAACAGGTCTTCCTGGACAGGGTACAAAGAATGTCAGCTCCATATACTTCGATTCCAGAGAGTTTGATGTGGACTCGACAAATGATGACCAGGCCATGCGAAGCTGTCAAAACGTCCTTCGCCACACGCCCAGATTCTTGAGCCCTTCTCCGCCCGAAAGGAACCTTAACTCCCATTTGAGCCTGGTAAGCGATCGTCGGGCCATTTTTTACAGAGCCGTCCTTTCCGGTGGAGCCAATAACGACAAGCGATGCATTCAATCATCTGGGGTTGTACTGTCCGCTGCTTCTTTCGGTGCACGTGCGCCCTTGACTGTTCATAAGCAAAGCTCGATTGGCATGGGCCTCCTCTGACTGACAAGCATCAACTCACGTCATCAAAATCCCCATCTTCGCTATCATCATCGTCGTCGAGATACTCGTCCTCGTCCCCGTCGTCTTCCTCCTCTAGAATGTCATCAATGAAGTCATCTTCTTCATCAAGGTCCAAGTTTTGCCGGCTCCCTTGCAGACTGGGTGCCGCACCCGCCGCTTGTGCTTGAGGGACTGTGGACCACCGGGACAGCCGATGCGCCCGTTCCTTTTGCCAGATGCCATTTTCCTGCATCATAACTCGCAGACTTCAACTGTCTGCTGCATCTTCCTGAAATGAACCCGTTTAAAGTTGCAGCGATCCGCCACAGGCATGGTGGTAGTAAAGGAAACTTCGGGCCTTTGACAAATCAAAGCTCCATCGTTTGCAGCGCCACATCCAAGCGTACAGCAGGAATTGACTTTGAAAGTCCCACATTTGAACTCCAGATTATGCTACCACACAGAGTCCATCTGGAAAGAAGAAGCCTATGAATACCACTCCTTTGCAAGGGCCCTACTTACAAATTGCATTTGGCCAGCCCCTCGGAATCAAAAGTGTACAAAAGATTGGCAATCGATCTTTCAAGATAGGAAAGTCGTCACCGCTCACCACTAATCTAAAGGGCTCTGCTGGGGCCATCGACCATTCGCGAGGCCTTTTTCCAGCTGCAAACAGCCCATCCCCTGAGTCCCTTAGGTACAGCATTCGTATCACCCCCTTCGCAAGTGCTGGCGGAGGAGCCTTTTTAAACACATTGTGCAGTCTGAATTGCAAAGCTACACCAGGGCTGAAGGAGCCCAGGCTTGCTGCGAGACTGGGTGCAGAAATAGAATTGATGATTTTTGCAGAAGAGTGTGAACGAGGTTGTTGAGTAGGCTGATGGGGGTGATAACTGGTTGACGCCCCATGGCTCATTGCATCAAGTGAGGCAGAGGTGGTGGCCATCCCTGATAGATGCTTATGAAGGCAACACGCCATGCCAGACTTGCTCCTGTTCTACACTGACCTACAAAGCGCTGCAAGCGCTGGCAGAATTTTTACCGTCAAGTAGCCACCATGCAATCACTGTCAGTGTCAGCAAAAGAGAAGGGGCAAAGGCCAGCCGGATAGACCGACTTGCATGGTAACGGTAACTAATGACTGTTGTATCCGGTAATGGTATGCTTACTCGGAAGGAATCTGCAAAATCTGGCGCGATCAGCAATGCTGCGGCGCTGGCCGTAGATGGGAAAACTGGAAACAAGATCACCGAGTCAGGTCTCGAGTCCTGACTCCTGACTCCTGACTCCTGGATCCTGGCTCCAGTGACTGACTTCTGAAGCTTGAGGCTCAAAGCTGTAGCTTGTGCTGTCGTAATTCTGATGATACTTCCCTCAATCGACCTCGTTTCGAGGGCTATACATGTCAGCTGCGTGATTATCCAGTACACATGCTACAACGACAAAAATACCTGCAACCACTTGATCGAATAGGTTTCAAAATCAAATGCCACGTTAAGTCAAAGGTGTAACGGGGTCACATGACAGCCGGAAGGCCAGTTTGATTGCATCCTACCGCTGCCTGCCTTAGATCGAAACAGCTTTACAACCTGAATGGTGACGGTGGGTGGCAGCCTAGCTCAAAAATCATTGGATATAGAACAGACGAATGTCAGTATATCTAGGCACGAATGAACACAATTCTAGAGGTAGATGAGCACCTGTCTTGCATGATAATAACGTAACGCTCTGCCAGCTTACAGCAATGGTCAAAATGCATAGCGTGAGCTGCTCCAACAGATCAGCTACGAAAGCAGTCATGTGAACAAGCATGTAGGTGCGAACGGGTCAAGGAGGACCACCGTGAGCGCTGAAAGCTGTATGTGGGCATCCAAGAATTTGCAAGAGGCTATGATTAGCTGATCTCTTTGGAGTCACGATGTTGCATTTGTAAGTAACGCTTCACCATGAGTTCTACGAAGACTCATCCTGGTGCACTAACTTTGAAGGCTCGCAAGGACTCATTCGCTCTCCCTTATTTGGCTCATCAACTGACGAGTGAAATCTATCTTTCTTTCTAAACCTCTGGTGTCTACTGATACAAGCTTTGCTGGCGGCTTACTCGCGTGCTTCTCAACGGGTGACACAGTAAGACGGCATGCGGACACAAAAGGCACCTCGCTTTCGGGCCTATCTCTACAGTTGCAACTCATCTGACCTTGACCTTGACAATATCATACATGGTTAGATTCCTCGTCCGAATCGTACAGGGTGATCCCTTTGTACAACTTTACACAGTCGGCAATTGCCGTCTCCACCGGCAACCTCTCCATAGAGGACGCCCCGTAAAAGCCGTGGACGTCATGCGTCAACCGCAGGACATACTTGGCATCCTCAACCTTGCTGATAGGACCTGGGAAGAGTATGTGAAACAATCAGGAAAATTTTTAAAAGAGCGAACAAACAAGTGATAAGCACGCACAGACAGCGCACGTAAGGTGTGTTCAGCCAAAAAGGCATCTTAGTTGTTGAATGATCTCAGCTCAAAAATGAAAGGAGTGAAACAAGCGATCAGGGCACAACGTGCTACAACGAAAGAGACGGGAGCTATTCCAAAACATGGCCAATTTTTCACATGAAGTTCGCATCGATAGAGGCCTTATACGCAGGGAATGCGTTAACTCGCTCACCCCCGTGGCAGAGCACGAGAATGTCCGGGTTGACGTCTCGCGCGGCATCGCTGATGGCCTGTACCCGTTTTACGCTCTGCTCTAGCGTCACGGCGGTCTTGGCGCCAATGGAACCCGCCGTAGTCAACCCCATGTGAGCCACCACTGCCGGCACAAGGGGGTGCTGACGTCAGAATGAGCTGGACAAATGTGTTGTGTCTTCCGAACGAGCGGGCAACACAGGTGCAAAGCACAGGTGAGCGGCTAAGCAGGAGCCGCCACTTCTGACCTCTACCGACCTTGAAGAACGCCTTCGAAAGCAGGACAAACTGTCAAGTCGATTCGGTTGATAGCAAAATCTCAAGCTGCGGTTGGCTGGACAGACCGGGAAGCTTGCTCAGGCTCAGGTGTAGAAATACTTGTGCTGGTTTCGTGAACGACTGTGTGGCTGAATCAAATCCTACCGATATCTGCGCCCGCCTCGGCCATGGCCCTGGCCTGCTCCTCGTCGAACGCGTACGGCGTGGTGAGCAGGCCCATCTTGTGCGCGCGCGCAATCATGTCCACCTCCAGCCTGCACACACGGGATCGAGCTTAAGAAACTCACGCTGGACTCGCATTTTTGCAACGAGCGGAGAACTGCTGGCGGTGTCGTAGACGCACCAGTTCTGTCCCGTCCGCAAGCGAGCTCAGTCCGACCGCGCCAGCTGTCAATCCGCCTGTGACGCAGTAGATGCAGCAACCGCACAACCTGCCTTTTCAACATCCCCCGTGGCGCCCTATCTTTGGCGGGAAATCCAATCGCGTTTCATGAGAATCAATCGAGACGGAACTAGAGCGGCGAGCGCTGACCCGAAGCCCATGCCGGTCTCCTCCAGGTTCTGGCGGAAGGTGCCGTCGATGAGGCCGACGGTGGGGAAGTTCTGCACGCCCGCGAAGCCCATCCCCTGCAGCTGCTCCAGGAACTTGTCCATCCGCCGGAACGGATCCGTTGCACACACGCCCGCCAGTACCGGCGCCGACTTCACAATCTGCCAAGAATGCATAAAAATTGATGGTCTTCAATTGTTTCATACGGGTGTGCGGTCAAGGCAGTGGAGACTTGAAGCTTGCTCAACGTTGCAGACTACTTGTTTGTTCTTTGCGCTTGAAGTCAGAGCAAATTTAACAAGGCCAATAGTGAAGGCTTAAGCCCTTGACAGTCAGTACGCACGCTCATGGCCCCGGCAAGAAAAGTTCGGAACCGTCGATCGATGGGGGCAGCCCCCAACTTCGACCCTCCGGACCATCCGATGGGGCTCGCATTTATTGCTCTCTGCCAACCGCAAAGTCGGCCCCTAAACTTCGCCGGCGACGTTTGCACGAGATTTGAGTGAAGACGTCGCCGCGTTTCCGAACTTTTGTTTTGACACATTCGCCCAGCTATCTGTCAAAAGACCGTTTGTGTCAAGAGGCCAAAAATGTGCGTACTGACTGTTGAAACAACAAGCAAAACGAGCCCTCGTCTGACATGAATCCAAAGCTCAAAAGGTCCTTAGATGGATTTGCCACGAGTCACCAATGAGGCTCCTTTCCACCCTGAATTATGTTTTCAGGTCAACTCCTAAGGGATAAAGATGCACAGCGTCTTGAAGCACCTGTCCTTTCTCAACCCCCTTCGCAGCTGACAGCAAGGGCGGCTCACCGGCAGCACTTCGTCCGCCATCTCCACCACAACTGCGTTCGCGTCCTTGTACGGCATCAGCCCCGACAACGAACCCCTCCCGCCCATCCGGAAGCGACCGCTGCGGAGGAAAGTAAACGTCGGATAGCGACACAGACGCCATCTTGCTGTCAAACTGAAACGCCAGACGCTCAAGCCAGCACAATCTCCGAGATGCGGAGACGTCCATCAACTTTTCGACCTGCTGCCACGGCTCCTTTTAGTCCTGTCAACACTCGCAGCAGTACGGGATGTGCCCTTTTCCGATCCACAGTACGAATGAACGAACCACTTTGTATGCATCAAGCTAAGCTACTCGGAGCCGAACAGTTTCGACCGCTTTCGACCGCAAAAGGCTCTTGGAAAGGCAACTTAGATTGCACAGGCTCGCCCTCCTCACCTGTTGTAGATGATGATCATGTCTGCCCCCCCGGCCTCCTCCATCTTGGCGCTCAACCCGGTCCCCGCCCCCGCCCCTATGATCGGCAGCCCCTCGTCCACCACGTCTCTCAACTTTTGCAACACCCTTCCTCTCAGCGTGTTCAGGTCAAGGGGCGCCCGGTTTCGTTTCGGGGGGGCAAGTGTCTTGGGGAACTGCGCCAGGGGTTCGGGTGCGGGGCCGGAGTCTCCCCCCAGGGACGCGAAGGAGAAGCCGTCGTCCTCCTTCTTGGGGGAGCCCGCAATGTCGTAGTAGGCATCCACGAGGCCGGCGGCGAAGCGGGGGTCGTTGATGTGGTACGGCAGGCGCTTCACCTGGCGGGGATTTGGGAGGCTTGTCCAAAGGCTGGTCGATGAATGAGTTGGTCTGGTTGAAAAGTCGTCTGCATCATCTTGATCGCAAAAAGTGCTTTCAAGGAGCTTTCACAACAAAGTAAGTCGATTAAATCCTCGAGCGCCTCGATTCATAAACAATTTTGAGTATCTTGTAATACGATCAGGTGGCTCGAGGCTCACGTCGACCACCTGCTTCCTCTTTCATGGCATCTCTCTACAAGCAGGCCCTCACGTCTCGCTCACTTTGTGCCGCGAGAAACTTAAAAGTTCTCCCAGGATCAAAGGGTAGAGACCAGTCCAACTTGAAAGTAGGCAACGGCATCCAGGTCCGGACAGCGTGCAATGAATCTCACCTTGCGCGTGTCCGTCTGGACGACCCTCTTTTCCAGCTCGTCAAAGAGGGAACCCGTTGCTTCCGGATCGTAGAAAGGCTTTCCGGGGGAGTCCAATGCGGACACGCCCTTCTCGGGGAGCAGGATCGTCACGGGCGCGGTCGACTTGTTCAACTTGTTGGCAATCACGTGAGCGAAGGCACGGTTCTCGGCAGCATTTGTGCGCATCAGGGTGACCTGCAGATTGGACACGGAAGAAAAGGCTTGCAGACTATTCAGCTGAGGTTATCAATTCGAAGCAACCGAGGCAGAATCATCACACAAGCCAGTAGGTCATCAACGAACTGATCGAGAGTTTCCGGTTTTGTGTTTCGTGACTTCTTCACAGTTCGGGCGAGAGCCTTTTTCCTCGCAATGACGAGTCCAAGTGTTTCAGATGCCGGTGACCAATGTAGTGCCTCCCTTGAATCAAACAGAAGGACAGCGCCGCTCGGAACCAGCCTTCCCGTTTGACTGATGGACAAAAAATATCGCCACAGTGAAACCGGCGAGCGAAGCCGGCGCACCTGCAGGTTGTGCACGTAGAGCTTGCGTCGCTTGAACTGCTCCGGCACGGTGTCCTTTGCGCCAAAGTTGACCATGTCCAGCGCGCCCACGCTGACAACCAGAGGGATCCCCTTCTCGATGCTCGCCTCGAAGCGGTACCGGTCGCACGGCATCTCGCCTCCGACCTGGTAGTCCGCCACCTCAGTGGTGGTCACATCGATCACGCCCTGCAGACACGTAGTACCAGTCAGATTCACGGAGAAACGGAGTTGCAGACGGTTCAAACATGCCTGGCAGTGCGAAAGTTGAGGATGAACGGGACAGATGAGTATCCGAAAGAGTTAGCCTGACGTGGCTGAAACGACGCGGGAGTGATTTGGCTTGAATCCAAGGCTGTGTAAGGGCTACTTCAAGCTCCACGACAGCGGACACTTGCTTCGTTTCGGATCAGGGGGAACCTTAAACGCTGATCAGAGGCTGATTGGAAATTGATTAGGGGCTACGCACCTGTATTAGTCCTTGGCTCACGAGCTTCTCCATCGCTTTGCCTGTCAGGATAAGCGTCTCACGTTAACAACTCACATGAATGTGAGAAGGTTCACATCCCGTCATAACATGTAAGATTGCAATTGGCGTCAAGATTCTTGAACTCCATTGTTAGAAGCTGTGCTGCTCAAACTGCCCCACATTTCGACTCGCACACATCCAGATGTTGAGCAGCTGCCAACCCGAAATCACAATCTGCCCTACCTCCCGTCCCCGTGGCATGGAACACGAGGGTCTCCGCCCCGTCTGCCTCGAGCCGCTTCCGCACGGCGTCCACGCAGGGGGTCGTCACCCCAAACATGGTCAGCCCGATGGTCGGCTTGGGGTCCTTGGGGGGGGTGCTGCCGGCCGCCACACGCCCCGCCACCATGCCAGCCAGTGCCCAGGCTGCAAGAAGACATTAAGCAAGAATCAGCCTTGCTTTAGAAAGACAAATCCAAGAGAAGGTGATATAACCCTTGGGGTTCTTCAATCGTTTTGACTGGCGAGTACTTGGAACCACTGTCTTTTCATGCCTCTCGCACGGTACGTCGAGGCGAATACGGAAGACAGTGCAAAAATGAGAATCGCCAAGGCTCTCAAACCGTCAGCGACCAGAGTTGACAATAGTCTCTGAACACAGAGTACTGGAACTTATGTTGGATCAGGAACACTTCGGGTGAGAAGAAGAATTACCTGCGTTGCTGAGGACTACTCTGGACACGCTGTTGAGGCCCGCAACATCCACCACCGACGGGAATAGCGCCAGGTCTGTACCCTCAACGTATGGTGCAGTGTGGCCGCTCGCCACTACATATCAAGACCAACATTTCAGTAAGGCCTTGAAGCACAGCACTTGGGATTGCTCCTTCTCTTGTTATCCAATGAGTACACACTTTACGGCCTGCACACTGTGTACTGGTTCTCAATGGCTTCGACTTGATCTCTCTTTCTCTTGTCCAAAGATGTTACCACCTTTAAGACCACAACAGCAGCTTTCCTGCTTGGTAGTCCTTGACTGAGCTGCACATATCACACTGCATATGACGTGCAGCATTGAAAAAGGCAGGCTGACCTGTTGAGACGATGGCCTTTGGCACGCCCACAGGGAGGGCCCTGAGAGCAGGGGCAATGAGGGAGGTGCCCCCACTGCCACCCGCCCCAATCGAACCCACTATGAGGCCCTCCTCATGCTTTGCCTTCAAAAATGCTTCAAGTGCCTCTCCCACTGCCGCCACTGCCTGGTACCTGTGAGAAGCGAAAGATGGTTCTGAGCTTCAACATCTTTCAGAATGAAGATAGGGCAAAATGAGGTAAAGGGCAAGCATCGCTTGCGCGATGCTTGCTGCTTGGAAACACGGGCGTCTTGTTAAAAGTTTGACTGCACTGATTGAATGGCAAAAGAACTAATGAATGATAGGGCCAAACAACCTATCTCCTCGATTGCTCTATGACAGAACACTTGCAAGTACCTGCCTGCTTTCAATGATACCAAAAAGATTATTTCGTCAGTCTCTGCAGTTCTTTCTACTTTCAACAGCTTGACAGTCTTTTTGCACTTTAAGCCTGATTGATCAACACCAACTGACCTACAGGTGTTACCTAACCCTTGCACAAGAAGTCTAGCTCCTTATCAAGAGACATCTTGAACACATTGATGCTTTGAGCTTTCCTAACTTCTTATCAGAGACTCTCTCAGAAGGCCCCTCCTCGGGATCAGCTCACCTGTCCATTGGCAACTTCGACGCATCCCTCCTGCTTGCATCGGGGTGATACTTGAACAATTCAAGGCGTCCGATGATCTCAGCCGGCGTGATTGCCACGCTAGGGGGCCTCTCGTGCCCTGCTGAAACGTCGATGATGGCCACCTTCACATGTGCAACCTGCATTGTGGCCAGCGCCGTCTTGAGGACATCTGCAATATAGAGGATCTCCTCCTCCTTGGTGTCAAGTGTCCCGATGGTGTACACAACCCTGGTCTGGGGCGCCATGTCTGCATGCACCGCTCACGCAACGTTCTTCCTTTCTGGGTGATCGAGGAATGCAGTTTTGCAGACCAGAGAGCTGCATGCAGCTAGCTAGGTACATCCCCTTCCCTCCAGAATCGGACCGTTCCACACTTTTTTGACCCTAAAATTGTCGCTAAAAGGTGACCAAAGGCTTGTCGAGCAATAGAACCGGCAGCCGCGGACAGCCTGTTTCCTAGGTCCTTTTCTCCGACGTCTTGATAGACGTCGTGTTTTGACGGCGACCCGGGTCCTGACCAGTCCTGACCAGGGTGCTGCTGTCGAGAACGCCGAAAGCGATATATGGAGCGCTTCACACTGCACAGCTACTTCGAGCATTCTTAACTTGCAAGCTAGCAATCAAACGGTGCACAGGCAGCCCTTCCGCCGTCTCGCAGCTACTTATCCCTTTCAGGATGGCGTCAACTCAGCTGGCTGCCCTCAGGCTTCAACCGCTGCAAGCCTCTGCTGGTGTTCCCCTTTCACAATGCCGAAAACACGTCTACACTGGCGTGTACATGCCAGGACAAAAGGCCTATAATGCCCCCCTGGCAGTGCATCAGATTCTGCGCTTGGCGTCACTCCAATCGCCTCCTCAGCAGCTGAAAGAGGTGGGGGAAGACCCATAGCATCATCAGAAAAGGCCCTAATCCTGCCGTTATTTGGCCCCAGCTGCAATTGCTACATTACTCCTCCAAGTATGGAAGTCTCATAATTGCACAGAGGCATCAGCAAGTACGTTTCCTCAGGGCCATTCCATGAACCCCTGAGAATGCAAAGTTGCAGCAAATGCATCCCGCTGGAGTGTCTTTGCTTGTCCTGTCTCCACAAGGAGACACCCTTGCCTCTCGGCTTTTGATTCATGTTTGTGCTGCTTTCCAAGGTCTCGATGCAGTACCAGCTTGGTTCCGCCTTTCTCACTAGCCAAACCCAGTTCTATATGCCCACCACTGAATCACGTTATGCCAGAAGGTGACCAGGTGATACTTGCATCCAGGAACAACCTCATCCCCACTTCGGAATTCTTTCCCCCTCATGCCTCCCAGGGATCAAAATCACTTTTAGGAAGCCGTTCCCCCAGCTCCCACAGGCAGCCACGTATTCGAGCCACTGCCTCTGATGCGGAACCTGCAGCCCCCTCAAACCTGATTGGTGTCCATTGGCTGACATGGGCCGGGGGCCTGTCTGAAGAGGAGTGCCGCAAAGCAATCGATGGGTCGGCAAAGCTGGGATACGACCTTGTAGAAGGTGGGATGCGACTTGGTTTGTTATGACAATTGATTGAAAGTACAGGCCAATTTTCAAACAATACAACACAGAGATCAAAAGAGTTCTCTTTTAGCCTGTGCCTGCTTGGCTTGTTGATGGGCGTGTTTGTCAAATCACTGTGACCCGAAGCTGTCGTTGATCCTGAAGTATGATCATAGATACACGATAAGGAATGGGAGAATGAGCCCCCCTCCTTTGTTGCTCTTTGCACCACCCGATCATATGTTGGTCTTGAGCGCTTACTGTGGTGATTCCATGCAGTGCCTCTGGGCGATCCTGATGCGGTGAATGTTCCCCTTACACGTCGAATGCTCCAGGAAGCAAACATGGCGGCTACAGCCTCACTTGGTGGGTGTACACTGGACCACCTCCATTTGATTGGGCTGGATTTGATGGGCAGACCGTCTGATTGCTCTAATCGAATGCGCTCGTTCATCTCTCAATGTGGCTGGCTAGCACTGCGCTTTGGTTGGCAAGTTGGAGAAAGTGCACAATCTCCTTGGGGAAAGTGCATAATCTCCTTGGGGAAAGTGCATAATCTCCATCCGTCATTCAAGTTTCTGCCAAGGTTGTCTAAACATCTCAAGACTCTCTGGCTTTCGTTGCAGGTCTTCTGCCGCATGCTGATGTTTCCAGCGACGACTCTGAGATTGCGGCCGCAGGAGAGAAGGTGCGACTCCAGAAAAGACGGGGTCCCTTCCGTTTTCATGCGATGTGTTTCTGGCCAGGGTCTCAAAGAAGTCTGTTGAGCAATAGAGGTCAACGTTGTTCGTCTCGTCCTTGTCATTCTACGGAGCTTAAAGCTTGTTCCTCCCATTCAGCTTCTGGAGGAGGCGGTTAAAGTTGCGGCGGGGATTGGAGCGACCATTGTCACAGGTGGGGCCACACTTTTCTCGTCGAGAAGCCGGGAACAAGAATATGGGCCTTGAACGGACTGTAAAGCAGACTTGCATATGCCTTACCTGATTGGGTTGACATCTTCAGGCGTCACCAAGGGCCTCGCGCGCTTTTGAATCAAAGTGGGTGACAATTGAAGGTAATTCTTCAATATGCTGCATTAAGCCTGAGAATTTGCCTGCAGTGCACTTTCATCAGCTTGAGGCATGGTCTACTGTGTAATCGGCACTGCCCTCACGCTTGTGGCCGCATGCCCCCGGATCAGACCAAATTTTTGCGAACAGCCTCCTTCACGTATTTCGTCAGGTATCACATACAGTGCCCTTCACAAGTATCCGTCCGGCCCAACCGTTGCTGGCCGTCGCAACAGCGTGGTGGCATTGAAACGGATTGCAGCACGGGCGGCCGACTCGGGCATCGAGATCGGTCTCGAGGTCGTGAACCGATACGAGAGCAACCTGATCAACACGGCCGCAGAGGTGAGGGCCAGCGACCTCCTCCGGAGTGCAGTCGGGGATAAAGGCTGTTTGGATACAAGCAGTCCTGGTGCAAGGAGTACAAGATGCACGATAAGAGAGCGGTTTGATTGCATGCCACGTTACTCTCATTACGGATCTCACGGTTTGTCCGGGTGAGACAAACCGCTGTGAACGGGTTTTAAGACCAGATCCCCCGAATCGTCCGTCAATGTCCCCACCCAGATTTTCTGCATTGCAGCTTGAGTTCTATGGCCTCCTTCGCCATTCACAATCCTGTCTAAGGAGTGTCTACAACTTGCGGACTGCGAACTACTAGGCTGCTTTTTGAAGGGGCCCCGAACCCCGGTAGTGACTCTCGATGTTGAACAAAAGTTAACTGGTGCAGGCTATGGAGCTCCTCTCGGAGATCGACCACCCGGGGGTCATGGTGCATCTAGACTCGTACCACATGAACATCGAGGAAAACAGCGCCGCCGAGGCCGTGCAGACGTGCGGAGACAAACTGCGCTACGTGAGCTTCGAAAGCCCACCTGCCGTTCTCTGGGTCTGAATGCTTGAGAACTTGATTGATGATTTGTATCTTGAAAGCTTCTCGAAGGCGTGACCTTTCCGTTGCTGTGCAGTTGGACTTTGCAAGCCCGCTCCTAAGTCACGTGACTTTTGTGTGGCATGCCTCAGAGAGCCGGCCGGGCCTGTCGCTCCGGTGGCTGCGGCACCTGTCAAGAAGTGGGTAAGATGACAGATTGAAGTGATTCTTGAAGAACGTCGGAACGGCTGATGTGCAGGTGCACATAGGAGAGAGCCATCGAGGGTACCTCGGAACAGGTTCGTCTGTCGCATCCTTAGTATATTGAATGCTACTTCGACACACGCCTGGTGATTCACAAAACAAGCCAGGCCCTCAAATTCTTGGATCAAGTACTTAAATCTCAATCGAAATCTCGACTTTACATTTATGTTCAGCATGATCCAACCGCACGCTTGACGTTGATCGTTGAATGAACCTGTCTACCTGCACCTCGTATGTCCCGCCGTCTGGCTTACAAGCCCAGCGACACTGACGCCCCCTTACTGCGTAAATTCAGGCAGTGTCGACTTCCCCGCTCTCTTTGCCGCGCTAGCCGCTGCCCGGTACAGGGGCCCGATCACCTTCGAGAGTTTCTCGTCGCGCGTGGTCAACCCGCAGCTGTCCAACACTCTCTGCATCTGGCGCAACCTGTGAGCTCCCGCCGCACCAATGTTTGTTTGGAGAATATCTGCCCTCGGTTGGTTGGGCGTTCGAAGTTTTTCATTTCAGTCCTCCTGGCCTCTTTCGAGGCTCACAACTGAGGAGATGGGATCAAGAGGGCTGAAACACTGGTCGCTCGTTTGCATATTACGACAGCATGAGTTAAGCTGACAGGGGCTTAGGGCACTGATGTCAGGAGATCAGGGCACTACCGATGGTTGTAGCGCTCTAGCGAGCGACTAGTTTGCTTAGTTTCCGTTCAAGCAACCGAGAGACCGATCCTTTTTAATCAGGCTTTTGCTCGTTGGCCAAGATTTCTCGTTCTTACTCCTCAGGTCGATAATGATGGAGGTGCTCTTTGTCGCCGTGCAGGTGGGAGGACTCCGAAGATCTGGCTCAGCACGCCAAAGCTTTCATCGATGAAAAGTGGAACCCCTAGCGAGGATTGCATTGGTTCTCCTGTTGCTACCAGGACTGGACAGCGTCTTGAGTTTGAGAAATAGGTCTAGAGGCGCGCGTAAGTTTTGGGCGCTTACCACCTTGCAGAATCTGACTGAGCGGCGCGCGCATACGGTACATACACGTCTAAGCTAACTGACAGCAACGAGTCGGCATGCGACTTGGATATGCTTGCACATGGCCCGACGTATACCAAACGGTAGGCCAGGCTTTTCCATATTGCGTGCATTGAGGAGCCCGGCGTGCAGCGGCCTATTTCAACAATGATTTCTCAAGGTTTAACAATTGTCATGTGTATGTCAGCGTTTAAGTAGAGCTAGCCTGCTAAATATTGCGTGCGTCAAATATAGCAGATTCGCGCACTGAAGCGCTTTTGCAACATGCCAGTCATAAATATTATTTAAATATATGCAAATGCTCACCAATAGCGCTCTCAAACACCGCGCATCGACATCCTTAGCTATATAGCCTCCTCACGTGCGCATGTGATTTAGCCTGCAGCCGCGGGCGGCCATGCCCATGTTGCATGGCGGCTATGTCAACGCGTCTATACAATCCGGTGGAAAAGGGGGGCCACTGAATGCACTGCTCGACGAAACTCCACCGGTTCTTAGCCGCTCAACGATTGATCGTTTTGGAGAAGCTATAGTCGCTTCATCATGTTGCCGTTGAGAGCATGTATGCATTTGCAGACCTTCCGCATCATACACCTACAAAAGCTGACGTCACGCTGGATTCAATATGCACTCAGTAACCTTTAGGAACATGCCTGCAGCGCCTCGGGCGGGGCTTGTGGTCACCGTTTTGCAACTGCCGTTGAACTTACGACTGAGATGGCGCCTTAATGGCTGGCACTTTCAATGACAGGAATGATATTGGCACCAGTTTGCGTACGGCAGCTGGTAAAGTCCACAAAGGAGTGCTACTATAGCACTGCAAGCTGTACCTACAGATTCACCTCATTGGCCCTGCATACCTGCCGTGCCTGCAATGCAGTACAGTCAAAGAACTCTTCAACAGTACAAACCTTTACCTGTGAGCACACTACCTCGCCCCGGGCCGGGTCCTTGCGTGCTTGTTCACTTGTTCCCGGTGCACAAATCACCTGCTCTTAGCAAACAAATCTTTGACGTCTATGTACCCCTCTGCAGAAGGATCGGCAATCAGCTTGCAGAAATCGTCGCCGTTCGCTGGAAGTGGACCCGGCAGTGGCCGATCTGGGGTGATGCCAACCTGGAGAAGGAGGCGGAAGTCAGAGCTTAGGTACGTCCTTTCTAGCTTCGACGGGAGGCAAAGCTGGACTCGCAAGTCACCGTTATGGCTTCTGTTGTGAGGGACAGGGTTCTGCAGACAACCTTTCTCATCCATAATACTCGAGCACAGAAGTACTACGGCAAGCTCGTCAAGTCTTACACTCGCACCTTCCCATGTGATTCTTGTCACAACGTTGACGAATTCTCTTGAAAGGAACTCGTTGCAGAAAGGGAGAGGGTGCGCGGTGCTCACCTTGTCAATGTCGATCTTGGCAGGCGTCACATAGCGCGCAATCGTAACGGCTAGGCCGGAGCCGTCGGAGAGGGCAAAGACGGACTGAATCTTCCTGCAGATTTAAAAGCCGCAAAGCTTGTCACAATGCCTCCTGACAAGAAGAGGTCGCAGTGAGACAGCCAGGATTTGGGCGCAAAACTCCGGTCTGCACGCTGTCTACTTTTGTTGCAAAGGCCGCGACCAATTGGCATGCGCCTTCTCACAACAGCCAACTTTGCAACCCAATCTCGATAAACATAGACGACAGCAGAATTCGCACCCCAAAGTTTCTGCAGTCTGTGCGCTGTGCATCCGCTGTCTTGCAGACATACAGCCACAAAGCTCCCGCTCGGCAGCTTTGCCTACCGACGTATCCAGCCTCAGATTCCCAATCGATTCCTCAGTTCCCCTCACCCTTTTCCAAACGTGGGCTCCCCCAGGATAACCGCGCGCTTGTTGTCTTTGAGCGCCCCCGCCAGGATCTCGCTCGCGCTGGCCGTGCCCTTGTTGACCAGCACCGCGAGCGGCTCGCGCACCGAGATGGCGGAGCCGGGGTCGTCCTGCTCGTAGATGTCGCGGATGCCCTTGCTGTCCTCGATGAACACGATCACGCCGCGGTCCAGCCACATCTTGGCCACCTCCACGCCCGACGGGAACAGCCCGCCGCTGCAAAACATCAAAAGGAAGAAAATGTTGACGTTTGTATTTAAAGTGGGGTATTTATTTACGGTTTTAGTATGAGTGACTTAACCGTCAGGGATTCGACCATAGGCAGCTCGACTGCTCGACTACAGCCAGATTGGATGCTTGGCCACATTGAAAGGCTCGAACGACAATACGTCTTGTATCTGGGCTTCCGGTTGACAGCTGGGCCAACAAGCGTTTCCTTATCCTTGTCTGTGCCGATCAATCGACAGGCTGCTTCCATGCTGAAAAACTGTGCTTGACGAGTTAGCAGTCAGTCGGAACGGACATTTCTCCTGTCTTGAAAGAATCGTCTTGGCATCTGCCAACCAGGCCCCATCGGACGATCCAAACAATCAAAGTTAGGGGCTGCCCCCGCGATCGACGGTTCCGAACTTTTGATGCCGGGGTCCAAGAGCGTGCCTCCTGACTGCAGTTGCCCCCTTAACCGTAAACCCGCTTTTGCACAGGCGATGCGACACCTCACCTGTTGTTCCGAATGTCCAGCACGTACGCCTTCGCCCCCTCTTCCTTGAGCTTCTCAATCGCCTCCCGCACAGCCGCCGTCGAGTTGCTGTTGAAGGTCGAGAGCCGAATGTAGCCCAGCTTGTCGGCCCCGTTGCCCGGAGTGCACAGCTTCGAAGACACCGGGTTCAGGGTGATCTTCTGCCGCCTGCAAGGCGATTGGGTTGGATGTAAGAGGAATTCGGATACATCAAAGGCAGCTTTGTTCGTGCTAGGGCTGCGGGTAATTTATGCGTGTTGAACGGTCGTGAGGGAAATATCAACGTGGCTCAATGGCGCAATCAGAGAGGAGAGTCGACCTTACATCGAACGACTCCCATCTCAGACTAGCAAGGAATCTAACAATCTTCGAAAGGTGCTCTGGAATCTGTGGTTTGAGTTTCGCAGTCCGCGAATGAATACCTGAGGAACGGAAATTTCGTCGTACTTCATTAACAACCCCAAAATGCCGCTCTTACGACGCAAGAAGAAACAACTAGTTCTTGTTGGCTGAGTTGGAAACCGCAAACTGACCCGTTCAACAGGGTTCGGAGCCAAGAGTGCCAATTGAAATCCGATTGATTACTTGTGAGATCGAAGATAATAATCCTCCGAGAACATCCACTACTCTCATCCAAACAAGACTCGATTCCAGGTCGCCAGGGAGGCATCCCTGCAGCAGGATTCCTGGTGACGACTTATTTCTACGTCTAGACTATAAGCAAAGTCTTATATCATCGTCACGAACCTCACAAATTGTGGACATTGCAACCGTTTCTCTCATGTCAGTCGATTCGAGAAGGGAACCCCCCGCACGAGCGCAAACATTCACAGGGCTTCGAGGGCGGCCCGTACGCTCACTTTATTTGCACTGTCTCGCTCTTCCCGCTTCCATTTCTCCGTATTGTCACGACCACCTCGCTATCAATTGGTCCCCTGCGAACAAGAATTCTCTGGTGAGATACCACAGATAAGTACCAGCAGCTGCAGAGATCAGACGTGAGCATTAGGCTGCTGTCCATGTCTCCCAACTATTCAGTCAGCAATAACCGTCGAGCATCGTAGGAAAAGTCGTTAAGACCTGAGCTAACGGCTCACATCTGAGAGATCACACAAGCAGAGCCCCTGCTTCGACCACTTAAGAGATCATCGTCCAGCCCTACTATCGCAAAAGATCACTTTGTCGAGCTTTGCCTTGACAGGATCGTACAGGCAAAGAGCTGATGCTCACTGCAGCCTCTGTGCGGCATCGTATAGGCCCATCCCTTCCGTCGTGGTATCGTCGATGGCCAGGATGGCGTCCCCTGGTTGTACCCCCGCTTTGTCGGCTGGCCCCCCCGTGACAGGTGTCACCACCACGAGCATCGGAGGGGTGCTGCTGTTGAACCCGACCTCAAGACCAACACCGGTCACCGCACCCTGGGCGCCCGACTGCAGTGCATAAGATAAGAAAGAGACTCACCAAATGTAACTTCACGTTCGGTTTTCAGTGGCGGTGGAATCAGCGTACTGCAGTTGAGAAAGACTAGGAGCTGATCTGAAGCAAAGTGCGGCAGAGCAGCAACCGTCAGCGGGGGGCATCAAGCGCAGTCTTTGTCGGAGACACATCCGTGATAGCAAGGGCGTAGAGGATTTAGGATTACCTTCAAGGACCTAAACTTTTCTGGCTCCAGGAACCTTGTGAATGGGTCATCCAGAGTTGCCAGCATCTTCCGGATGGCAGCATCTGCACAGAGGGACTATAGGCAATTACAGCGTCTGACTACCACAGGACACTTTTGCTACTCTCTCAACTTAGAATGCCATATGTAAGAAGAACTGGTGGAAGGGAGATAGGAATCAACTTCTGCTCATGGCCACGATCGAGATTTACAGCACATCTCTATGAATTTCGATTGCCTCGCGCTGAAAGTTGACCGTACTGCGCAACTGGCAGCTGGGTTCAGGCCACTGCTTCTATCTGTTTTCATTGGGGCTCACAAGTTTCGTCCCTGTCGTTCATTGGCGCGTTCTTGAGCGCGTTCTCCCGGTATTTGAACCAGTTCTGCCCGTTGAACGTCTTGTCAATGTACGCACGGTCTACCGTCCTCCACGCCTCTAGAAACACTAGGTTCTCCTCGGTCAATGCAGACGCTGCACAGAGTGTCCAGTAGCCGGTCAGTTCGACAGCCTACCAGAGTAAGCTCGATCGTGGTCGCCCCTCTACACTCTACACTTGTCATTCTCGACCAATTCATGGCCCTTGGCAGAAACTTGAGTCTTAAAAGCAGAAACATCCAACTGCAAAAGTAGAACTCGAGATTATGGGGTGGTGACAGGTCACCATAGTCAGCACTTCACGAGCAATCGGTGCAGAAGCAAAGGTGTTAGAGCATCATCATACAACACAGACAGAATAACCTATCGCTCCAGAATCGCTTCTTTTACACGCCCTCACCAGCTGGAGTAGGAAGAACGGCCCACGAACCAGCGCACACAACCATGGCCGCGGCAGCCCCCACAAACAGCGTCCATATTCGGCGCCGCACCCTCCTCACGTACGCATCATCAAAGGGAACCGACCCCTGCAACGCTAATGCAATGGACGTTGAGATGCTCTGCGTAAGCGCTCTAGCTCGGAACAAAATTGCGGCCCAGTGTCGCCTACCGACCGATGACTGTCTACTCAACTGAGTTGGAACAAGGTCGCTGCGGCTATTATGTACAGCAAATGGAGTCGCTACGAGAGTGTTTTTCCTGCTTGAGCGGCCCCGTAATGAACTTCGAGAAGGAACCCGGTTTTCCCGCCACCTGACATCCTTCCTGGCAGCGACTGCCCCGCTTGCAGTCCGTGGCAGAACTAGGTACGTTCGCGAAAGAGCGGCATTGCTTCCAGCAACGCTCACACCACACCCCAGCCCCTCGCACCAGCACTCCAATAGAGGCTGGGCCCGCAGGAGAGACGCCATGCCAATGCCCTCGAAGCCCTTCAGGCTTCACGTTCGACTCCGCTGTCTTCACGTTCTCGACTTCAGTCCTGACTCCTGAGAAGCTTCTCAATTTCAAGCTTGGCTTTGCTGCTTGGGGCACCTCCACTGGACCGCTTATGTATCCCGAACTTACTTGAATATACTCCTTGTTTGTCGCAATCGATAAACAATTGGTCTATTCCATACCGGCTTATAAAATACTTACCCGGTGTCATTTGGATGGTATATTGTAAGGCGTATGATAAAATAGTCCAGCAAAATATACCGCCTCAGTGCTTTGAGCAAGCGAAATCAACTCGATTCCACGAGCTCTGCTTTCCCTCTTTCCAAGCTCGCTGCCTGCACCCGTGCCAGCTAGGGCGCCGAGTCCGCCTGCAGCAACCATGGTGAGCTCTCTCTGCCCATGGCGCTTGTGCATTTCGGACTACATTCAGACCTTACCTCGGCAACTTCTGTCTGGGTGTCCGGGCAATCTGGGTCTCGAGTGTTGACGGAGTTCTCTTTAGCGGCTGCTTGCCTGCAAAACTGTGGGGCACAGGCAGGAGGAGGTTTTCTGGGAGACATCGTCGAATCCGGGCGGGCTTAAAAGTTTCAGTTTCTTGTGGTCTTATTGCAGGCGCTCATGCAGCCGGAGGAGTTCCAGCACATTCTGCGTGTGCTGAATACCAACGTGGATGGCAGGCAGAAGATTATGTACGCCTTGACCTCCATCAAGGGTGTGGGCCGCAGGTTCGCCAACCTGGTGTGCAAGAAGGCTGACGTGGATATGTCCAAGAGGTGAGCGCCCGGGCTTCCTTGATGGTGAAGTGGCCAGCAAGTCTGGGGCTGTTGACCAGAATATCGTGTATATATGGAGAGCAAGTGATTGTGAAGGCACCTCCTGTCCCTTGGCAGGAGCTCTGCAGTACATGCGAACCAGGCGGTAATGGTTGTTACGTACGAGGGGCGTTTCGCAGGGGCAAGATGAGTGTGTCTGCTTTGAGTGAGCTAGTGTGGGCAATCTGGTAAAGGTTTACTTTCTGTAGGAGACTATGGCTGTGAGTAGCGCAGACATCATCTAGCACGGTCCTGCTGAGTCTTTGTGGACTACAAGCCTACAGGGTCTTGGTTAGCCTTCTTGTCCACTGAATTGGCTCAGGCGTATCAGCACATGTAGCTCTTTCTGGGCCGTCATATTGGACAGATCACTAGGACAGAGCAATTGGAGAATAGTATGGGGGTGCAGAATAAGGAGATTCTGCCAAGCTTGTTCCTCTGGGCAAAGTGGGAGCTACGAGTTTGAGCAGCTTTGTGGCGGCTTCCTTTACGCTGTGGCTGTCCGCACATAGGCACACACTATGGCCGCTCAAGCTGCGTGGCACTGTTGGTCTAGCAGTCGTCACGATTTGACAGTGTACGAGCAGATATGGCTCAGAACGGAATATGCAGTTGTAGCGACAGTTTCGAGAACGACCTCAAGTTTATTGAGGGGCAAGGTCTAAAAATCTTAGAAACGGTACGCAGATTGGATTCGTCGAGCCCGCTGAATGATGCTCGGAGGATGACTGATCTTGCGGGCATTCTGAGCTGAGAGCACGCACAGCCACTGCAGTTCCCGAGGATGTTATGAAAGAAGTGTACTAGAGGATCGGGGCTGCAGTGAGGGAGGGGCATTACGAAACCCCAAGAGAGGCCTTGGAAGATTGATGAGAGGACAAGGGTCGCAAGTCTGGGGCGACAGAACGCTTGGGTGTCTTTGGTGGTTTTCTTCCATTCTACTCTCTGTCTACCGTCCTGAAGAGCAGGGGCACGCAGAGCGCGGAGATCGTGACAGGCCTTAGGACACCCGTCTTATCTCTGTGGTATATATCTGGTGCGATAACCTGAGTCATAGAGCGCAATTGACGCCGCTGATGTGAACATCGCACTTTCCGAACGCACATCAGTCGCAGGAACCGCAGATCATTTGGCTCAGTCTCTTGTCAAGCATCCTCCGTCAGATTCTGTATACGGAGACGGGTCAGCCATACTTTGCAGAAGGCAGAAAACTCCTGTGATTAGCAATCCGCCAGTCTTCAAGTGTCCTCTTTTCTGCACAGGGCCGGCGAGCTGTCCGCGGCGGAGCTGGAGAACCTGATGAACATCGTGGCCAACCCGCGGCAGTTCAAGATCCCCGACTGGTTCCTGAACAGAAAGAAGGACCAGAAGGACGGGCGCTACAGCCAGGTGGTGTCTAACCAGTTGGACATGAAGCTGCGTGACGATCTCGAGCGCCTCAAGAAGATCCGTAACCACCGCGGGCTGCGGCACTACTGGGGCCTCCGTGTACGCGGGCAGCACACCAAGACCACCGGCCGGCGCGGGAGGACCGTCGGTGTGTCCAAGAAGCGGTAGAGAGGGTGAGGCCAACACTCGCTTTTTAGAAGAAGACGGGTTGGTGATACAAAGTGCGGACAGATATATTCGTCGCTGCACATGAAGGAACTGCGATACTTCGAAGCTTACACGATTTTGCTAAGGAGTAGTCCGTCAGTCTTAATGGCACAGTAAGACAAAGCCCTTCTTTGTTGTTCAAGACTCACTGACGTCTGCAAAATCAGTGGTTTTGCACTGCCTTTCTCTCCACACTCCCTTCCTTGAAGAAACTGAGGTTGATCGAGAACGAAGATTGTTCCTTTTCTTTTGATTGATTGTCAGAATCTTTGGACAACGATGACCTAACTTTCAATGAGGACCCTGGTTCTGACGCGTGTTGGTTGAAGGGGCCGTTCTAGTACAAGTACGGTCTTTGGCCATGAACCTTAAGGCTGGCCGGGTGCATTACTCCCTTCCACCTGAGCTCAGCTCAGCTCAGCTCAGAGGCAATTGCGCTCAGTCCACTGTCAAATGGAGTAGTCGAAACTTGGTCACGGCGGTTTCCAGCTTTTGACTAGGTCGTGGCATATTTCCAGCTTCTCTATAGAGCTGGTAGTCAAACATACACTAGATTGAAGAGCTCGCGTTCTGCAAGTTGAATTGGCGGCTGATGCAAAACGGCTGTAACATAGTCAATGATACCTTTGAGGCTGACGCTCTCGTTGAGAGCTGCTTGTAGCTTGGGCTGAGTATTCTGTGTGCAATTTGCAGGTAATCTCCAGTTGTCACAGGCAGCGTTGAGGAAATTGGCGGATCAGGTGCATCCTTCTTCTAGTGCAGAAGGGGCTGCGCTTCACGCTTCCAATGTATTGTGGACGAGATGTGCTCTCCTCGTGGAAAGTTGCATGTGTCTTTCATTCGGAATGAACCGGTTCATGTGTGTTCACTCTGGTCATGTTGATGAGAACTCTTATCGTTTGTAGAGGGTCTGGAGCCTAGTCCGTTGCACCCACACACATTTGTTGATCGCCTTCATGTCCCATGAGAGTGGGAAATGCATTGAGCACCTTGCATGGGTGTCACATGGCTCTGCAACTCAACCTTCAAGTTGGTGGCGCTAGGTTGGGTGCACGTGATGTGCTGTCAGTGTTATGTTGATCACGCTACTGGTGGGTAAAGATGCTGCATGGCATGGCGACTCGCACCGCATGCCCATAGAAATGTATACAAAATCTTGTTTTGAAGGCATGGTTGTCAGAAGTGTAGTAGAAAGTGTTGTAGAAATGATTGTAGGAAGTTCACTGAGTCTGTTGCTAGTTCAACCGTTTTATGGTTGCGGAGAATGAGCTTATGAGAACAATGCATGGACAAATCCATGGACTGGCGGCCTGATGATTGCCTTCGGGTTAAGCACAGTGGTCCATGGCCCGGAAAGTCTATACTTTGCCTTTGGCGCTTCTGCGCTTGCTGCCGACTAATATACCAGGACAAGTTTGATTCCGTTTCCTGAAAGCATCAAATCGTATGACGTTGCACATATTTGATGAAGTATGAGCAAGTTTGCTACCGTGAGTCAATAACGTTCATTCTTCATGTCTGCAGCCGGCTGTATTTCATGTGTCCCAGTCCCCTATACACCCATAAACCTGCCCTTGGCCGGAAACCTTCGAAGCGATCCGCGATTCAAGACAACCTCCACTCTAATAGCTGTGAAGCCTAGAGGCCGGGAAGAGTCCGAAGCATGCAAAGCGAGTCAACACAGTCAAGAAACCTTCAGTGCGGCAAGAGATGGGCCGCTTAGGTTTAATTTGTGGAACTTCAAATTTCTTGTCGAAGTCGATCAAACTAGCAAGGCTTTGAAAGCCCTGACCTTACACATCATGCAGGATACGGCTTGCCATGCATGACGACTTACGCACAGCTCCTCGATCCCATGCTTACGTCTGTTTCAAGGCCAGCAAGGCCGGGATCCACTCGCAACTTCGAACTGCATCAACAAAGCCGCTTGTTCCTGCTATTCAATGTGCGCGACAGTTTCGCTTGAGCGCGCGAATGATCAATCGTGGCTTTTCCAGTTGAGCCGCTCCTGGTCAGCGTTCGTGGGTAACAATAAGAACCGTAAATTTCGCGGTCCTTCCGCCAAAGCTTTGGAGGTGCTGCACTCTGCTGTTAGTCTGGAAGCTGCTCCATGCATGCGCACTCTTCTGCTTTGAAGTGGAGGGCAATTCGTCAGAGGGAGGCAGCTCTGCTTCCGGGCCACAATCGCAAGCGGCGTTGGCTGTGGCTTTCTTAGCAATAGAGCCCGCTGACCCACTGCTCGTGAAGCCCTGCAAGTTCACCGTCACGCTTCCCAAGGTACTCAAGGGGGGCGATGCTCCGGAAGATGATGCAACAGCCGCCGGCTATGTCACCTACTTCTATACAGTCAAAATAGAAGAAGGCCCGACCGATGGTTCCTGGATCGTTGTTCAGTTGATGACTCCTCCAACCCTAAGATACCGGCTAGGTCCGGAAGTCGAGGAGGCAAGTACAATTCTTGCAGACATCAGCCGTCCACCGCCTGCATTTGCTGAAACGGAGATTGAAGTACGCCACTTGCAGGACTCGAACATACAACGTTCGAACCAAATGGTGGTACGGCTCCCTGCGTCAACGAGCCAAGCAAGCTTCCCCCTACAACATTTGGGCAAGTCCAGCGGCGATAGCAGGTGGAACTTCCATCGGATGGCCGAGAGGGCTCGAAATCCTTATCCTTTGGAGATTGACTTTGAGGTTCGGTGGTCTTTCAGCAACCTGGAGCACTCTGCGCGGAAATACTTTTTGAATTCGGACGACGAGGAGCTGGAGCTCAAAGCGTCGCTGCTGAAGGACGCCGCAATCAGCGGGGACCTTAATCTCATCTGCAAGGTAAGCGACGAACTTGACAACAGCTGATGAATCGCTTAAAACATACATCATTTCAACAGCCACGTTTCGCCGCATCAGGCTTTTGCTGTAGTTGGTCCTTTGGATATGGTGGATTGATACAGAATCTTCTCTCGGCCCACGCTGTCAAGCTTCGCGAAGTCTGTGGGGTTGGAGTTTTTTTGCAACATCAGAAAAGTCAACGTTGGGGTTCTCAGCAACATGCATCATCGAAGAGAACTACTTTCTGACTCGTTGGAAGGAGAGAAGTAAGCCGCGGACTGCAATTGTAGCTTGATACCGAAGCGTGTCGACTTGGATTCTTGTTTGCTTGCAGGACGGTTCAAAGATAGCCGCACACTCTGCTGTGCTGGCGAGCATCCCCTACTTTCAATCAAAGCTGAAAGAAACTGGTCTGGGAACCTGAACAACAAGCTGGACCTGCAATTGCCCTGCCCTGCGAAAGCGGCAGTCGTCAGAACGTTCCTCAAGTACGCTTACGGGGATATCTCGTCTCTTGATCACGTCGAGCCGTCGAATGCACCTTTTTGCCAGGTAAGCTCGTCCTACTTTTCTGATTGCGAAGCAGATTTCAGCGCATTCCATGTTGCTTTTCAGGCGCCCTGCAGCTTGCCAAGACAGATTGATAGGCAGAGACACTGTGATAGTACACTGATTTCTCACTTGGACAGCTGTCTTTGTGGTGTTACTTCTGCTGACTTACTCTCGATAATTCTTGTCGCACCAACTTGGACATTTGACACGATTTGACATTGCATGACAACAAGAAACACTCAACTGTGCCTCTCTTTCGCAAGCTGTCTTGCATTCAGATTCGGTGGCCTCGCTTGATGCTCGCTAACATCTCCTCCTCCTTTATCGACTCTGCTGTGTGAACCCTGAAGTCCCTCTTGCTGCTGTTTATTTTTCTGCTCCTCTCATCTGAGCTACTCATCTATCTCCGTCAGGGTTAAACCAAGCGCAAAAGGGCACCTTTCTTCCTTTCATCGTTGCTCTTCTCTGCGGTATAACAAGAAAAATGTAAACTTTCCCCATAGCTGATCAAACTATCGCGGTAATCTGAGGTTTATATATCTCTGAGCTTGGGAACCCGGCGTTTCGGTTTTGTTCCAAACGATTGTGTGCACTGACCCGAAGGGCGATTACATGTTTAGCTCTTAGGTGCAAACCAGCCGGTGGACATTACCGGATAGGTTCTGATCTTTGATGGTCCTAATGGGTCCTTACGCGCTAAGAGCATACTAAACTACAAGAAAAGATGCGCAAAATTTTTGAAGCCAATAGCACCGTCCTTCCTTCCATCGCAGCTTCTTACGATTGCAGCTTCTTACGATTGCGGCCTTTGTGCAGGAGCTCTTCTCCTTGGCAGAGTCCACAGGGTTGCTCAAACTCTGCGCGAGCATCAACGATCACGTGCTGGTGACGGAAGATAATGTTTCTTCTTGGCTCAAATGGTTGGCCGAGGAGCACGACTCAAACACTCACAGAATCTTGGCGAACGTGAAAGAAGTCGTGAAGAGAGCCTTCAAAAGAATGAGGTTCTGGGCGGACGCAACCGTCGACCAGCTTGCATCTCTGGACAAGGTCGTCAAACAAAAGAAGAGGAAGGATTCAAGGAAGCGTCGTCGCATGAGGTCTTAGAGTGCGGTCGAAGGCTGGTGATAGACCATCGAGATCACAATACTAGTTGGTTCTTGCGCTGCAGAACCGCTTAATCGGGCTCGTGAAGTGCATAAGTCTGTTAGGTGCCAAAGGCACATAAGCATTTCGAGATTCCATTGGTACAGATAAGGCCCGGTGGCCGGCAATGCCAAACACATACTATTTAAACCAAGCATGATCCATACTACTCAGAAGTAAGAATGATCAGAAGCCTGTCTTCAAAGGTTTACATTGACCCGACGCATAGGGCAGGCTGTCCTTCCAGTATCACGTTTTGCTTATGTTATGTCGTTCTTAATGATCGCGAGCAAGGAGGCTGCCTTCAACGTGCGCTGCTGATTCAAGTCAGACACCGACTCACCTGACTCAATGACTGAGCAGAGTGGCATTCACAGCCCTCTGTCATCTGCTCACTTTATACTGAATTCACAAGTTTACATGCAAATCCACCCGTTGGGAACTACACTCAATCGTCACATTCATATTATAGCCAAAGCCGCATGCGGTTCGGCAAGCCTTCATTAGCGATTTGCAATGGTGGATCGCGTGGTCGATCGATGTTCATTCATTATCCGGAAGATGCGCAGCTCCTGGACATCTGCGCGCGCGGCGGAGCACATCTGCATCTCGCATTATGCTTAAACTCTACATGCGCGGGCATGTGATTACGCGTGCACTATACACGCAGGCAAATTTGTATCCGGCCAATCTGTATGCATGCTTCGAACCATCTGCACATTATGGTGGCGGCATATGCAGCGCACAAAACAAACGGTGGATTCTCGCTTCTCAGATTCGTCGATCATTGCGACTCCTGCGTCGGAGGGTTGTTTAAGCTGCACCGTGCAAGTAACGAATTGACGCATATTGCAAATCAATGCATTCATGGTCAGATCATAGATGAAAGGTATAGTGACGGTTGCATTCAAGACTCTGATCCGGAGCAGTTCACTCAAACAACTGAATGCAATCAGTACCATCAGGAAGCATGCAGGCTCGTTGTGGACCGAGACTTGGCATAGTGCTGGCTCATGCATAAGTAGATGATGTTGGCGCACAACTCAAGGGTTCTTCACGAGATCTATCACTAAAGAACCCGCAGCTAGGTGCGAGGTCAATCTGGTGTCAGGCTAAAGTGGCCCTCTTCCCCTTGCCCTTGCTGTCACCGCTCTGCAAACAAACGTCAAAATCAGGTCAAGGAACATCTTTGGCCACCCACATCGTGCCCGTGATCAATCGCAGCTTAGGTTGCAAGGGCGAACACAAGCAAGGAGCAAGCAAATATTCGATTTTCACCTCAGCGCAGGAAACGACACCTGCAGACAAAACCTGCTCTTGCAACATCCGGCGTTTCAAGTCACGACAGAGAACTTGCATATGCACTCGGCAAAAGCTCCACCTTCTGATTCTGTCGGCGGCTTACCGTCGTGCTCCCTTTGGCGCTCCTGGCGCCCACGAACGAGTCGTAGATGTCGTTCAGCCTCATGCGCTCCGCTGCCGGCACCGACGGGCGCGCAGACAAAGCCGCTGCCTTGAGCTGCTCCATGCTGATCTCGGGCGAGCCCTGGGTGGGAGGCCCTGTTTTCGGAGGGGTTGCGTCCAGGAAGCGGTGCACGGCGGACAGCTGCGCGTCGCTCAGGACGGCCTGCAGGTCCGCTCCGCTGAACCCGTCCGTGAGGCGCGCGATCTCGGCCAGGTCCACGTCAGCGGCCAGAGGCAGCTGCGGACACAGAGGGACTCACGATCAGCGAGAATTGAGCTGACTAGACAACGTTCAAAGATACTGGTCTCACCGCTCTTCGAGTAACGTAAAGTTTCTCCCATCGTTCAGTCTCCACAACAAAAGAACAAGCAGACTGGTTCCTGAATTCGATGCAATATGAAATCCCTTCGCATGCATTAGCATCGAAACCAACCTGGTACGACAGCGCTCTACTGAATATGCTCCAAGGCCGGCGAATGCGCCGCAATCCACCCCCACCCGCGCCTCGTGCGCCCCTCACCTGCTTGGCGAGCACCCCGAGGACGTCCCGCCGCTCAAACTCGTTCGGGAAGTCGCAGAGCAGCAGCTTGTCGAGTCGCCCCGGGCGCAGCAGCGCGGCGTCGATCATGTCGGGCCGACTGGTCGCCGCAAGCACAAACACCCCGGTCAGTCCCTCCACGCCGTCCAGCTCAGTCAGCAGTTGGTTGACCACCCGGTCGGTCACCCCGGTGTTGTCGTGGCCGCGCTTGGGCGCGATCGCATCGAACTCGTCGAAGAAGAGGATGCACGGCGCGGCGGAGGAGGCGCGCTTGAACACGTCGCGGACCTGGAAGGTGGGCCGGTTAAGATGGTCGAACGAGGAAAGACGCGTTTTGAATGCTGGGTCAAAGAAGCTTCGTTTGTGGTAGAGGACCGACAAATTAGATGTAGGATACAGTAGAAAAGCAAGGGGGCCTGTACGCAGTAAAACTTAACATTCCTGAAAGATCTCGAATTCACAGGGCACAGCCACGCATTCCTCAAAGCGAGCAGGCAACTTATCCGTCCACATGGAAACCGGTCTCAAGCCCAGGCATATTGGGTTAAATCTGATCGGTTAACAAGGAAAACCCTGTAATTGGTGAAGCTTCTCATCTGTGCCACAACCTTTTGGACTACGCGTTTGTATTAAAGAGAATCTTCGTCAGCAATCATAAAATGGTCATACAAACAGCATCTCCGAAAAGCGGCGTGGTCGTCCCCACTCACCGACTGCTCGCTGGCCCCGATGTACTTGTTCAGCAGCTCGGGGCCCTTCACCCCGACAAACCGCAGCCCGCACGCGGCCGCCGCCGCGCCCACGATGTGCGTCTTTCCACACCCCGGGGGGCCGTACAGCAGCACCCCCGACCGCAGCCGCAGCGGCGCTGACGCAAAAAGGGCCGGAAACTTGGCCGGTAGCTCCAGCGTTTCTTGTAGCGCTTGCCGGACTTCCGATAAACCCCCGACGGAATCCCACCCCTGCTTGGGCGCACCGTCCGCGCCCCCAACTGCAACGCCGCGCATGGCCGCCGGCACAAACCCGTCCCGCGCTTCCGTAAGGTCCTCTTCCGACAGCTCGAAACCGCTCGGCACTCCCCCGGGAAGGTCCGCTTGCTTCGGAGTATGGACTTCGTGTCTGCCTGCCTCAGATGCTTCTTCCATTTTCTCCAATTTGCCGTTTCCAGGAGACGCATCGTCATTCCGAAAAGCGCCTGTTGCCGCATCTTCTCGGCCCGGAGTGTCCCACCTCACGGCAGCCGTCGAAGGCCCTGCGGAACCATCCCCCGCAACTTCCGCCTGGCCCCCCGTGCCCACACCCCGCCCTACGGGGCCTCCCAGGTATCGTGCGGCCGCAGCATGGGTGGCTCGATCAACGAAAACCTCAACATCTGTCGCATCGTAGCCGTCCAAATGCTGAGCGGCCTCTCGAGCGACACCTGGCGCAAGCTGCAAGCCCTTCGCCGCAACCGCTGACGTCAGCATGGCTGCACGATCCCCGGGCGCAGGGGTGGGAATCTCGACGTGGAAGTCGAAGCGGCCCGACGCGAGCAGCGGCTTTGCGAGAGCCTGAGCGGACTTGGCGATGGCGAGGAAGGCAACCGCAATCGGCTGCCGGTCGCCGTCACCTGGAAAGACATGGTTATTGCTAAGTATAACGGTCGCGACGAATTGAACAAACGCTGTCTGTCCTAAGTTTTTTGAGGATGCCAGAAGACGGACGGCCAAAGAAAAGAAAACGCCCACAAAGCAGCTTACCTAACATACAAGTGGCTCATTAGACCGCCTCTACCAGCTGCGAAGGACAAGCGCTGCTCGTCAGAAGCTGCCAAATGGAAAGCAAGACCCATAATTTTCCGGCAGTCCTGCTTTTGAGTCGTCGCAAAGCTTGAAACTTTTGTTCATCCTCACCTTGGCAGTTGTCCAAGATGTCCGCCAAACCTTCGGCAAGCGCCCGCGCCCCTTCTGCCGCGTCCCCCATCTCCGGCCCCTCGTGCGAGCCCGCTACGGAGTTCAGATCGTCCAGAATGACCAGCGCCGGTGCGCACTGGACCGCGTCCGAAATGCGCCTTTCAATCTCTGCTCGGACCTCGTGAGGTTTGTGGGCGCCGTTCCCGCCCGCCAGCTGGCCGCAGCGAATCACCACAGGCTTGGCCAAAATGGAGGGATCCCCCGCCAGGGCGTGAGCGATGGCAAGTGCCAGGCGGCTTCGCCCACTGCAGATAGGGCGCGTAGTAGATGTAAAGGCGACTCGGAGGAAGCAGACCAATCGTGAACAAAGACAATCTCCAGAAAGCATGTCGATATCCATTTGTACGTCGTAAAAACCGCTCGACCTTGTGCAAATCAAGGTTAACTGCGCAGAGATCAGTTGTACACAACAGAAGCGAGTCCTTGAAACGAACTTATTCACGGAACCAGAAACGACGAAGCGCGAGCGACGGCTGCTCAAGGGTGACGTCTTCTTGAAAGATGAAAGCACTCGTAATCCATTCATGTGACTTTCAAAGGCGTCTTAACCCCTCACCTGGCCTGCGACCCATGTAGGAGAACGGCCCCCGGAAACGGCGTACCCAGCCGCTTTAGCTCCTGCCGCAATTCAGACGACAAGCACGGCTTCAAGCGGCTCAAAATGGTGTCGGCCGTGCCGCGCAGCCACTCCATGCTCTCTAAAGAGGCTCCCTCTAAGCCCGCTTCGCTCGACGCGTCGCTTTGCCTTTCCCACCAGAGAGGGGCTCCCAGCTCGACCGCCAATGTTTTCCGCCCTAGATGAGCGCCGTTGTGGTCAGAGGCCTGCATAGCGGGTGCACTCCCAATGTGCAACTCGTTGTCTACGAGGAGAAACGACGGCGCATGCTCGGAACTGTGGTCTTCTGGCAAGCTTGGGCTTGTAGGGGCTGGAAGTTTTGGCATCATGGGGGGCAAAACAGGGCCGGAATAGATCCCCCCGCCGCTTCGCTGATAAGGGCTCGTCGGCGACCCGTGGGCTCTGTTTCCTGCGCCGTGGTTCGCTCCCTGCCCTCCGTGCGGGGGCGAACTCACCAACTCGGCCAAAAACAGGGCCTCGCTCGGCTTTCTGTCCCCACCCCGCCTGCTGTGGACATCGAACTGGAGAACAGTCCCGCTCTGTATCGGCGCCCCTGGAACACAAACAGGTGGCGTCCCGCTTTTGCGCTCTACTGATTTGCTCGGAGTTCCCAACTGAGTCCCATCGACCTGTGCCGCGATCCAACTCGCGACAATCTTCTGAACTGCCACGTCGAGAAACGCCGCCCCCCCCGTGGGGCTAGCATGCGTCCCGTTCAGGCGGCCGGTCTGGCTGACCCCATGCTCTGAGGCCGGGTCGGCTGACTCAGCACCCGATTTGTCCAACGCAGCGGCCAGGTCGAAGAGGGAGCGGTGGGCGCGTCCGATGGCGGGAGGGGGTGCGACGTCCTGGCCTTGTGGGTCGGCTACAAAACAGAACCGAAGCAAAACTGGTCACCCACCGAAGAAGATGTGGAGAGATATATCTCGATTTTCCATTTCGCCGTCTGTGATGTCTTGAGAAATGCCATGACTAGAACTAGGTGCTTCGACTGATGCAAGGGTGCAGTATGAGACTCTTTGAAAAGAGACTCCAGCATCGCAGCACCAACCATTTACTCAAGCTCAATACAACGCCAGTGGGCACACAAGACGTTGAACACCACCTTCTCGAGGCGAACTTGCCAAGAGACACAGAGAGACGGAAGTAACTCCAAGCTTTTGAGACGCACCCTCTTTCTCTTGGTTCGCTCCCTCCTGCTCCCAGGGCCGCTTGTTTCGGCTGGTCTTGTGGCGTGCCCGGACGAGGGGGTGCAGCCTGAGCCGAACGGAAGGAGGCTTATCCGGAGAGGCACAGGGGACCAGCTTGGCACCTGCAAAGGGAATGTCACAGCTTCGATACAGGGTACGGGAAAGGCTCAGAAAGACCAACGGTTCGCGAACAGGATATGGCAGCGGGACTGAAAGCGCAGAAGCGGATTTGAAAGCAAGCTTCCCACTTCATTCCCCGTCTTCCCCTCAAAGCAAGTCAAATGCCACATCACAGCCAGTATACACTGACTGTTGTAGAATCAACGGCTCAAGTACAACTCAAATCAATATTTGCTCTGGCCTGAAAACGAAACTCACGAGCAAAGGGCTCCAACCCGAGCTGCGCCAGCAGCGGCGCAGCAATCATCACATGGCCCCTCGCCACCCGCTCATCCAATCGCACGCGCACGACCACCTCCGATGCCGGAGCAGCGGGTGCCCGACCCCCCACATCGTGGCCCCCTCCCCTGTGACCCCCATTCCCAAAGAACGCCTCATGAAGGGTCTTTGCTGGCCCGCTCTCTGTCCCCTCGTTTGACACTCCGTGATTGAGCCCCTCTACATTGTCGGATGTAGCGTGTTTGTTCCTCAAACACAGTTTTACAAGGAGCCCTTCCTCGAATCCGGTGAGCTTTGCGGTGGTGGGGGAGATGAACACGGTGGCCGTCGGTTGAAGCGAACACAGCAACTTTCCAAACTTCAACTCTTTCACCAGCTGAGGGTCTAGCACCTGCACCCGGAGCCAGGCCGGCTTGATGGAATTGGAAGGCTGAGGGATATGGGCCCCCTCCGGGGGGGGTGCTTTCAGGTTTGACTTGCGCTGTTTTGGGGCAACTGCTAGCTCTGTCCCCTGGACCAAGCGCACCAGGGGGGCGGGCGATGTGGATGTGACGCGCAGACGGAGCTGGATGGTGTTGCGAATCCAGATGGGGAACTCCTGGCCAGACGCGAGGACGCCGACCTGAAAATAGAATTGAAGGAGGTACAGTCAGCCAGGCCAAAGTTTACCAGCGGCTTTGTGAGAACGTGCCTTGAAGGAACAAGAGACGGCTTGCACCACCAGCGCTGACTGCCCGCTTTTAAGGACTTCGGACATTTGATTTGCAAGAATCAAATCGCAGGCACAGGTTCTTTTGAAAAAGATAGTTCGCACTGTGCTCCCTTTCCATAACGCATTTTCTCAATGATCAGGCAAGGCCTGGACACTATCGCTATCTCAATTTCTCAGCCCTAGTTCAGGGACCATCAATTGTTTTTACGACAGCACACCTGGCTGAGCAGCTGCTCCTCGATGTAGTCCTTGTTGAGCTCCAGTATCTCCCAGTCGTCTTCGTCCGCTGGCTCTACCATAATCATTTCACCGTCCGCAACATCTCTTCGAGCTCGGACTCCAACTTTGAGGCCCGCAGTGAGCCCCAAGCAGCGGGCCAGGCTGCTGGGAACCTGCAGACCAGCATGGAACAGAGACATGGTTAGAAAGCCTTCTGGTGAGATACTAGAAGAAGGCAGAGACCAACTAATTGAGAGCATGGGGAGTGGTTGTTACGACGATGCCGACTGAACCGGTAAACAGCAGAAACATGCACCACTCAGACTTTTTGCATTCCGTGTGCCGTAGAAAAAACATGCTTGGAACCAGCATTCTTGAATGAAAATAGCGACCACACCACACAGGTGAATTGCCGCTGGCTGGGCAAGCCAGTTGCAAAGCACAAGAGAAGGTTGAGAGTGCTCACCTCCAGTTCATTGCCGCTGGACGCTGCTCCAGCCCAAGCAACGTGCCACTTTTTCCCCCCTCCCCGCTCACCATAGTTGACCCCACTGAAAGGGTGTACGTGGCCCTGTGCCTCCAAACTAGTTACTTCAAGGATTAGGGGCAGCGGGGGCGGCCTCTTTCCAAACAGGCCCTGCAGAACCACTGGAGGAAGAGAAACAAAGGACGTAGGACTATGTACAAGCCTGATACTAAACTCCATTGCAGTCAATGCGTTCAAAGTGCTCTACCTACATGCAAGAGCAGACCGGTCCTCAGCTTCAAACAAACTTAGCTGCCCGCACTTGCGCAAACTCATTGGATTGGTCTTGTTGCTCATTGTTATTGTGCAGCACAATGAGGATGACTACTCCCCCAACAGTGACACGAAGGACGCTTCTTCACAGATTCTCAGATGTCTCTGCAAAATGAAAGGCAGGAAGCTGACTCAGAATATTGGCTGCTGAGCAAGCTGCCAACTAGAGCAGCATGATATTCCGGCCACCGATTAGGGTTTGCTAGGGTTAAGTTTTTGGTTTGTTAAGTACCATTACCTAAGTGGCCCGGCCCGGGCCGGCAGCCATTACCATTGACATTCAAGCAGACGTAGGCCGCGGCAGCCAGATACAGCCAGCTGGCTCCATGGATATGAAGAAGGCTAGAGATCTAGCTAGGACACCGCATTCCGAATGGAAGGAAGAGCGACAGAAAGCGCTGCAGGTGTTGAGATTGATGCATTGACACTGCTTTAGAAGGGCATTGGCACCTTTTTCAAACCCTGGTTGATCAGCGGGCAATAGGCTGGAGCCATGTCGAAACAAGGCATCTTGGCCAATCTCAAGAAGGTTGTGTTCGAATTTCGGTGGAATGATCCACGAGCTACTTCCTCCCTGTAAGCTCTGCTTTCTTCCTCTGTGCTAGCTCATATGAACAGTCGCTCGTATGCACTTGCTGAATAGGTGGCAAGAACTTTAGAGGGCTCTGGAAAAAATGATGACCAGGTTCTCATGATTTCAAGGATGAGCGCCAGGGATTATGTAACCAAGCAAAACAATAAGATGCGTTGATTCGGCTCTGATCATCGTGGCGTTGCACCCCTCGAGTTCGATTACTTTCATATGTTTCAACCGGAGAGAAAGAGGAGTCTCCCAGCTTCTGCTGATGTTGTGGTTGCCTTCGTTCTTGTTGGCAGTGAGATGTTGGCACAATTGAGCAACTCAAAAGCCAGGGCAGCCAATCCAGCATGTGTAATTGCTGTCACACGGCGGACAGATGACGTACCACCGACCATCGCAATCACTTACAGTAAGTTCTGGAGACTCCTTACAATTTGTCTCATTGATTGTTACCATGTTATGTTGGTGTTCTGAAAGCGGGCGTGTGCTGGTAGGAATCAAAGCAAAGTTTCTTGGGGGCTTTCTACCTTTTGGACCTACATCCTGAAGTTGTTCAAACTTCTGTTGTCGACACCTTACGGCGATCTTTTGTTGCAGACAACGACAAGGAAGAGAAGCTGGACTGTACAAAGTTGTCTGCACACGAGATGTGCAAACGAATACGGGCAGACTCAAAGATGATGCAGTATGAGGCTGAATTTCGAGAAGCTGGATTCAGCTGGCCCCCTCCAGTGCCTAAAGAGCTGCTCAGCCCTCAACAAGAAAAAGCCGCGGATGCAAGAGAAAGGGCCGGAACTTCCAAAAGCCAGAGTGTTCAAAGATGAGTTTGTTGAAGGCGCTGGTCGAGTCGGATATGTCCTCTGTATCATAGTAGGTACTGGCTCGTTCCTTCCGATTGACTGTACAGCTATTCATTATCGGTAAGGGAAAAGTAGTGAAGCACTACACGCGGTTGTTCACTAAAGAATTGAAGCACTAGCGTTTGTTTCATGTGCCGGCGAACCGCGATGTACCCAGTGACCCTTTATTTGAAACATAATGCTATGCAACTACTAGTAGAATGCAAGATGCATGCGTCTGAATTGCATGAATGCCGTGCTTGTCGCTCCATGCGACAAGGTAGAGTAGCGAGCTCCGACAATGCATTCAATGATGGGATACAAAGCGCAAATTGGACACTTTGATACGAATCCGTCGCCGGGCCGGCTCAGTTGCATAGCTGATGCATCGTAATCAAACTTGGCATGAGGCGTGCACGAGATCAAATGACAGTCTATGACCGGTTGAGAGGCAACCGTCTTATGTAGATACTGGCAGCAACGTGAAAGATATGACATGCTCGACAACCATGTCCCGACAGCCAAAATCTTGAATCAAAACGTGCATGGCGTTTGCCGCTCAATATCAAACATGCATGCTGACATGAAGGTCATCAGCACTTTTATGCAATGTAACCCCATGGAGGAGAATGGTTAAACCAGCGCATATACACTCGCTAACAACTTGAATGATTTGCACTGATTAACGTCAGCGAAAAGATGAAATGGGCTCTCACGAGCATATTCGTAGGAAGTGGACGATACTCCTGGCAAGCTCTCAAGGCTCAACCAGATTGCGCCTGAATGTAACATCCCCTTGAGCAATATCAAGGTCGCAGAAGCAAGGCTCGTTGACTTGAAAAGCGACACGAAATGACTCCATGATTGAGAATAGACTACGGGCTTACAATCCTAGCGCCCTCATGTCCGTTTCTTGGACCCCTTCTTTCTCACGTTCTCCTTGAAGTGCTTGTATCTTTCACCTCCCGGCTTCTTGCCGCGATCATCCTTGTTGTTCCCTCGCCTCCGTTTCTGCTTCGACCACAGGGTTCCTTCCAGGGCCGCTGCCACTTCCGGAACGTCGTCATCGTTCTTGTCCCTCTGCAGAATCAGCAAGCAACAACAGAAGAGTGCGTTTGGTTTCCCTGTTGGTTACAATATATCTTGAGGAACAGCTACACGATCGCCGAGAAGCACGCTCGGAGTGGCCCGCCGAAACCCACAGGAATAACATCAGTCCAAGTTGCCTTCGAAGTTAGTGGTTAGCAATGGCGCAAGATACCCCCGATTGCAGAAAAATTGCAATTGTCTGGAGGCCTTATTATTGCCCGTAAAGAACGCGGGAGTCCCCGGCAAAGGACTGCTCGCAACATACCGTGAACGCAAAGCTCTTGAGCGGGTCGCTGTCCTTGTCCTTCTTCCGTTTCAGCCGCTTCCGCGCGAAGAACTGGCCGTCATTCCCCATGGCCTGGCGCGCCGCATTGACGGCGGACGCTGCGGCTTTGGCTGTGGGGTCTTCCAGGTAAGCGGGGATGGTCCGCAGGTGCGGCGCGGCAGCCTGCTTCAGGAGGGGCTTGTCGTGCTTCAGCAGCTCTGCACGGCGAGGGGGAATTGTCAGTGTGGAACTAAGAGTGGGGGCTCCGGGCCTTGCAAAGCTGCATCAAGCCCAAGAGGTCTCCGGATTCTTTGATGGAAGTGACGAGGACGAAGGTCTGAAACGGCAAGATCAGGTCCAATGTAAACTCAGAGGTCGAAGGACCGAAACGACTGGCGCTTGCATCGGACAAGACCTTCGAGGATGTGACAGGTATAGACTGGTTGCACAAATTTGCCGAGAACATGGGACTGTCTTTCGAAACACTCAAAGGGCATTGATGCAATTGTCCACTTACCCAGCTCCACCGGGTTATCTTCGAAGTGGGTCTTCAATCTGAAAGCAAAATAAAAGCAGTGTGAGAAGAAAAACGGCGACATTCCGGCACGCTGAGCGGCTGGAGGTAGCGTACCAGTGCCTTTTCAACGAACAATCATACTTCGAAATTGAGCAGTTGTTGCCACACGCACGCAGGCACAGAGCAACTCGCAGAAACACCGCCTGTGAAGCGTACCTTTCGGAGTTTAGAATCTCTAACTTAAGCTCCTTTGCCCGTGCTTCCTTTATGGCTACCCTCGTCACGCTGCGAGCTATGTCCTGCAAACCGGGAATGACAGAGGAGTAAGATTGCTGCTTGCGGTCCTGAAATCTTCTGCAGGCTTGAGGATGCGCCTCTTGTCGAAAGTCTTGAGAGCTTGATTGGAAAGTAAAAGTCGGGAGAGGAGATTGCGAAGAACATTGGGGGCGACTCGACAAATGAACAGAAGATACGAGCATAGGCATCCTAGGCGTCGGGATTTGGATCGCCGACACTCGTCGCGCCGATGGATGGGACCAGATTCTTAAAAGTACAGCCCCTCATGGTAGGACAAACATTACGATGTCAGGCAAAGCTCCTCTCACCAGCCCCTGCTCTGACCTTCTAACCAGATGCCGGCTCACCTCTGCTCGGTACCTCAGCGCCTCAACAGCCTGTGACGTCAGCGACGGAAAGTCTCCAATGATGCTCCCGGGGGCCACGGACGGCGGCTCCTCCTCCCCCTCGCTCTCGTCGCCGCTCGCCGCCAGTGCTGACTCCACCCTCCCTATCAGCTCCGCCTGATCTGGTCGAACCAAGGAGACTGCAGTACCCGTGCTTCCGGCTCGCCCTGTCCGACCGATACGGTGGACGTAACCGGAGGGCGTGTCTGGAAGGTCGAAGTTAACCACCTGCGCAAGAGAGGGGGGCGCTGTTCTATTCGAGAGCTACCGAAAGCAATATGGATGACCAACATGCTGCAAAACTTGGAGCTGTCAAAGACATGATTGATTTTTTGTCGGGGGCGGAAGAGAACTCCTTACAGAGAACCTGCTAGATGTTAACAGATGCAGGAGGCGCCGATGCGGGTACATGCTGCGCAGCGACGCCCTTGTCCACCGGAAGTCAGTTTCCTGAAGGATTTCGCAAGGAGAACGCAACTTACCGTCCGAACGTTCTTGAAGTCGATCCCCCGCACTACGCCAAACTCCTGGTCCCCCAGCCGCCGCTTCTTCTTCTTCGGCGGCTGCGCCTCTCCCTCTGCTTCCTCACCCCCCTCCTTGTTCTCGCCCTCCTCGCTTTTCTCCTGACCCTTCGAACCCTCTTTACTGCTCTTCTTCTTGGCCTTCGATGGCCCGACTTTGATGGCATCCGTAGCAATCAGGTAGTCAAAGAGACCCTTGTTGAACTCCTGCAATAGATGGCAGAGTCCGTCAGGTAGCAAGCAAGCAGTCTTGACACCGAGAGGAGGAGGTTCAAAGCTCCTCAGTCGACTTGGACCCATTGCTAATGAACGCAGTCTGATGAGGAAGGACTTGTGAACGCCTGCGAACAGGCAAAGCACGATTGTACAGTGGCCTCACCTGGAGGATGTGTTGGCGCGAGTTCTGGGGGAGCTCTGAGTTCAGGACCGCTGTCCTGATGCCGAACTTCTCCAGAAATAACTTCAGCTTGAAGCCGGTGTCAATGGTGTTCACAAAAACAAGGGCCTGCAGGAGTGGTTACAACAGACGGTGAGTACAAGAAGGTCTAAACGACGGCACACATGCGAGTCAGAAAAGAGGCTTTGATTGAAAGGAAGATCAAGCGGACCCTAAAGGTAGTCTTTTGAGACGATCAGAAAGAAACGCAGGCACTGCTGTCCAGGTGCGATAAGGCACAAAGAAGAATAACCTGACCACGTTGAGTTCAAAGGTAGGCAACAGATTAGTAGTCGAACAACAACAGCACCCAAGCCGACTAGATCAGAGAAAGCTGGAGCATTTCAAAAATGATGTGAAACAAAAAGAAACTGACACGGCCCAGCCGGTCCGCTTTGCCTCAGACATCCAAGGAAGGAGCCGCATCAGATCTCAAGCCTGGCGAAGCGAGACTCTCGGGGCGGGTACTGCGGATGTTTTGAGAAACGACCCATTTGGACGTCTCATCATCGGCAAAACGTAAGCTGGGCACGAGCTTCAGACATGGACACCGAGCAGAAAAACTCGGTGGACAGGATGTCGTATTCAGCAACCTTAGCAACCTCTCAAGCGCCTCAGTAGTTGAACCCAAGGAAAGGCAGTCTCCTTTAGGAGCAACTTCCTTCAAAGGGAAGGACATGAATCTTGAACACAACCTTTCAAGCCTGTATCCAAGGCGAAGCGGTAGGTTGCATCATACACATTGAACGAGAAGGACGCAAGCTCCAAACGATCCGTGTCGTCAAGTAAACCCGCAGATTGGAATACAGAGAGCTGTGGAGAGCCAAAATCATCGAGCTTCCTGGAAATTGCATCATCTCGCCTGGGCCGCGATGTGACATACCCAACAGTCGAAGCCAATGGTTCTTTCCCGCTCTTCGGATGGCAGAACCGTATCTGGACGACTGCGCACGGGCATAAACTTGGATCGTTCAACTATCGACTCTTCGGAAAAGTTCGTTTCTTCTTTCACAGTGTCACGCAACAGAAAGAGGAGGCCCCTGCTCACCTTTCTCTGAATAAGTCCCAGCTTGAGCAGCGCAAGCATGTACAGCAGCTTATCGTGCTCTGGGCATCGAATCTGGGCGAGTGGTGAGGGCGCGTTCAGAAAGACGCTCAAAGCAGACCAGTGTCTTGTCTGAATGTTAGCTAGAGCCAGCTGAAGCCAAAGTTTCCTCATGTATCGAGTCGATTGGCTGTGCAACAATCGACCAACCACAAAGTCGAAAGTTCAGCATCCTGTGCAAAAATGAGCCATCATCACATCAGCTACCGGCAGCAACAATTGAGAAGCTTAGCTTCTTTATGTGTGTCCTCTCCGAGGATGTCTTATTGGGCAGCAACTACGACTCAGCTCTTCCGGAAACCCACCGCAAACTGCTGCACTGTTCTCGAGATGCCAGATCCTCCCGCCCCTTCCACCTCAGTCAAAGTGAGGGTCACTGGATTGTGGAGCACCAGCTTTTTCAGACGATCTACATCAGCACTGCAAAGAATGGCAGAAATCGATTAGAACAAGCCGCAATAACTCTTCTGGAAGCTTCCTGGTTTGCACTTGTGTGTCGAAGGAGGGGTTGGGCCCTGCCAACAGTTCTGGGTGCCAAAACAGATTTGAAAGGAGCCCTCGTCAGTGTTCTCTTGGATCATTGACATGTCGACACTGACTTGAGGAAGATCAGCAAAACTACCGGCAACCAGTTTCGTGAAGAGACACAGAGCAGAGCCCCTCCTTCGAATTCTCTACTGCGCAGAACTAACCGGCTTTCCCCTCCTACAGGACCAAACTGCTGAGCGGAGAAGCGTGGACGCACCTGGTTGTGGCCGACATGAGGAGGCACTGGCACCTGCGCGGGACTTGCTGCGCCAGCTGCTTCAGGTCCTCCTCGTAACCGTACGACAGCAGCAAGTCAGCCTGGGCAGGCAACAGGTTGCGAATAACGCGTCAACCATCTGGCGCTTTACAGTTGCACAACCTAGAACGTTAGAAGTAGATTCCAGGGACTGTGGTGACACTATAAAACAGGCGGCTTTCAGAAGCTGCTGAAGTACTTCATTACTTCACCCTAGAAGACAACTCCCAGGAGGGCAAAGATGATCAATCCGATGCTTTTCCTACCATAGGAGCACTGAGACCCATGTTCTGGTGGCGACTGAACTGCTCGCTGAAAAGTAGAACCAAACCCGCCTTGATTCCACAGAGACGCAGGCACGATAGCACCTACTCTTCCAAAGAGCTTTCGTCATCATTCAATGTGTTTGCCTCAGATGTGTGTGTCCGAAGAGAAGGAGCACAACCCCACTCACCTCGTCCAGGACCAGAGTCTCCAGGCTTTGCTGCAGCCCCGCCACAGTGAGGGTGCCCTCACGGATGCAGGCGGCCACCCGCCCCGGAGTGGCCACCAGAACATCAGGCGACGCCGCCATCACAGCTTTCTGTAACAACGCAACAGATGATCAAACACCCACGCACTCACAATTGCGCGATCACATATCTTGTTGGAAATTGCAAACTCAGAACTGAACAGAACTCACTTCCCCGATTGATCTTCTCATGCAAAGAATACAAGCAAAAAATGCAAGCACCCGAGGCTTGGCGGCCCCACTCCATGCACTGGCGCGGCCTAAATCACCCCTCATTCTGGAAGGTTTTTGCCCCAAGGCCAGAGACATCAGCTACGAAAGAACCACTTCTGGCACTCAAAGCAATTTCCACGACCTGCGCACCATGATTGGGGCCCGTAACTTTTTGAACGACCTACACATGCCTTTTGAAGCCCAATGCAAATCGCAAATTGCAGGATTTATGGTGGTGGTATATGCTGGCGCTCACCTGAGCGGCCGCGTTCATAGTGGCCGTCAGCTGAGCAACTTTAATCAAGCCACCACAGTACTCTGCAATGCTGGCGGCCTCGTCTTGGACCTGCACGGGAGTGCCGCTCTTTTGATTTCCCGCAAGCCGACCCCAAGCCTAGCTTCCTCAAGCATCTCCTTTGTCCATAATTCAACGCTGCCGCTTGTTGATCCTTCTTTCCGTCAAGCCCCTTTCTATCGTCTACTGAAAGATGCCTCACACCACCATTACCTTGTTACCACAGGCTTCACCAGCGTACATTCCTGAAAATTCCATTTTTGACACCACCTCACCTGCTGGCAAAGCTCCCTGGTTGGAACCAGGACCAAGCCTTTGAGGCCCCTCTTCCCCCCATTCCCATCCTCCGCTAGCTCGGAAACAATCTTGTGCAGAAGAGGCAAGAGATATGCGAGAGTCTTGCCGGATCCTGTGCGCGCTCGTGCAACAATGTCCTTGCCCTCCTGCAAATCAACAGAAAAAGGGCTGAAAATAGAAAAGAAACCACACCACCCTGACATCATTGGTGAATCTCGATAAGAAACTTGTGCAATGAGGCTCTCATGCATTTGGAACAGGAAAGAAGGGTTTCAACTCACCAGCGCCAGGGGTATGCATTTTGCTTGCACCGCCGTTGGCTGCTTGAGCCCCTTCTTAACGAGAGCCCGAAGGAGGCGGGCGTCCAGGCCCATCTCTTCGAAGCTGCTGTCATCGAGGAGATCAGCAGCCGGCCCAGCTGGGGCAGCTTTCTCAGCCATGGTGGTGCGCTTCACTTTGCACAACCAAGACTCTGTTTTGACACGCAACTTGCTTGTCCTCGCGCCTTCTTGAAGTTGTGCAGTTTGGGAAGGCGTCGCTTTTTAGGGTTTCTGTCGCCGGAGATTGCTAACGTGCTGGTCGGCTAATACAGCTTTTTCAGGGCATGCTTCCCGGTTGCGTTCGATAGATAGGGTGTATTTAGCCTAAGTTTAGGCTAAGTTTAGTGAAAGTTCAGTCACATCACCAGATTGATTGACGTCATCTAAGATAGTGGCTATGACACGTGGAAGCATCTGGCGCGTCGGATGAAACATGTCCGGTGTTTCTGCGGCTCGATGATCACCCCTGTTCTACCTTGGCGGCTGCCACTGCGGAAAGATGTTCGATGACGTCAAAGCAATAGCTAAAGTTTAGCTAAAATTTAGTATCTAAATAGACCCTATCTATCGATCGCAACCGGGAAGCATGCCCTGAAAATGCTGTAGCAGTTGATGGTTTTGGTCAACAAAGATATAATCCTTTTAAGGATCGTCACGAAGTACTACCAAGTAGACAGCAGTATTAGAAGTACCCGGTTAAGATCTCAGGTTGAGAGAACTTCGATTCACTCCTGCCTGGTTCGAAGTGCTGCGGCGACGCAGGAGCAGGCTCGCTTGCTTCAGTCCAGCAGCCAGCTCGAGTCCACTTCATAAAATTTCTATCTAGAGTTGATTGTTCAACGTCACCACCACAGCATCACCACAGCACTGTGCAGCACCACAGCAGCAAGCTTGCCGGAAAGGTGGTGGGCGCCTGGTTGCAGAAGTTGGCATGCCGTTGGTGGCCTGATCCTCTTTGCATCAGATATGGCTGCAGCGCTCGACTTCTGCAGCGGACTGGGTTTGACGCCACCAATTGCGGGCGGGAATCTACGGCGTGGCGAGGGCAGCTCTTTGGACGTTGCTGTCAGGAGGTTGCTCAGGTCTAGCTCAAGAGCACACCACCTTACCTTCTTGCGGCCTTCGCCGGTTGGCAGTTTGGGACAGTCACTTCTAGGAGCCCGCTTCTCGTCAAAGCTCGCCCCCCTTTGCAACCCTTGGGCAGTCACATCCAGCTTGGCTCAGTGGCTCGACTGCAGGCAGAGGCCCTTCTCTCAGCTGAGCCACCCTACAAACTCCATCAGGCGCAAGTGCCGGACTCACGCATCAGTCAGGAACTTTGAGTTGGTGGCAGATGCTGCAGAGGACTTCGTGTGCAATGACGAGGATGATTACAAGGTTATAGAAGCGTCCACCCCAACTTATGCCCACCCCCCAGAAACCGTTCCCCCTAAAGGCCGTGGCTTCCTAGGCTTTCTTGTCTTAGCTGCGGTGTTGCTTGCTGTAGCATTCCACCCGCTTCCTGCATCTGCTGCGACCAGAAAGGCAGACCCCCCCCGCTCTGCTACCACCGCCCCATCAAATAGACCCCCCTTCAAGCAGCAAGACCGCAGGCACCTGAAATCCAGCTCCAACTCTCAAGAGCGGCACCCCGATCCTCCCGCTGAGAAAGGCAACAGCGGGACGGACTTTGTGACTGGCCCCGCCCCTAGCAAAGAGGACCTAGATGCCGCAATTCGAGCACGGGTGCCCTACAGCTGGTTCCTTGACGCGGCCGAAAACGGACTTGTAAAAGCGGTCTGGATCATGAATCACTGGGCGTTTGTGCTGCTCGAGGAGGGGACCGTGGAGTACAAGCCGCCCGAGGCGTCGTGGCTCGAGAAGATGGTCCAGCGGGACCTGGGGCTCGAGCGCAAGCCCCCCGCGAACGTGGTGACGGTGCGGCTGCCGGACGGGGACAACGTGACGGTGGGCGCGCTGCGCAAGGCGGGCGTGCGCTTCGAGGTGGTGCAGGGCCAGCCCGCGTGGACGGAGCAGCTGGCGAACGCGGGGCAGCTCATGTGGTATGCGCTGATGGGGACGCTGCTGTTCACGATGCTGGGCAGCGGGGAGATGGGGGGCCTCCCCGGGATGACGAACAAGAAGGCGAAGCTGTTCCAGGGGGGCAAGTCGGACACCAACTTCCAGGACGTGGCCGGGTGCGACGAGTCCAAGGAGGAGCTGGTCGAGGTCAGTGGGGCGGCTGCTCTAGTATTTGGGGTTTGGAGTTAAAAAAAGGTCAGAAACTCTAGGAGCACTGTTCTCTGACGTCTGACAAGCTTTCAGAGAGGTTTGTACTTGCTGGAGAGGTTTGTACTTGATGGTTTGCCAAAATGATCACTCTATATGTGTGTCCAACTTTGATTCGAAGCAACTCTGATGGATAGGTGGTGGTGCACAAAACGACCTTGGTTTTTGTTGTGAAACAGGGTATGAGCGCACTCTTTCTAGGAGATCATGGCTTATCAAGTAAGCCTGGACTCGTTGAGACAGCCAGTTGTGGAGAGGTTGTTGAAGGGCTGTTCTCGTGAGCACCTTCTTTTGTTGAAGTAGTGTAAGGGCGGGATTCGAGACAGTCAGCCACACCTTGTTGAATTTGAAGCTCTTCTTGGCCTGAACTCCGTGCCCTCCCTGGTCTGTCTCGAGTATTGCCAAGATATTCTTCGAGCTCTGCAGAGTACAGTTGTCGGGAGGAAGGGGAAACGCTTGACCCCAGCCTCCTTTGCCTGTTCGCCTGCCCCTTTCTTGAGCCCTAGCTTAGTGGGCTCGTTTTGCAACATCAGCAACGAGTCTATGTTCATGCAGATCCTGTTTGTCCTCCCCTCAGGTCGTCGAGTTTTTGAAGAACTCGGAGAAGTACCGCGCCCTGGGTGCACGTGTGCCAAAGGGCGTGCTGCTCTGCGGGCCAGCCGGCACTGGCAAGACGCTGCTTGCCAAGGCCGTTGCGGGGGAGGCGGACGTGCCATTCTTCTCCATCTCGGCGTCGGAGTTCGTAGAGATCTACGGGGGGATGGGAGCCTCCCGCGTGCGGAAAACGTTTGCGGACTGTCGGAAGAAGGCGCCATGCATTCTCTTCATTGATGAGTTGGACGCGATCGGGCGGTCGCGCTCGATGGGGCAGGTTGGGGGTTACGACCAAGAGCGGGAGCAGGTCAGCTTCTCTTCAAACATTATAAGCTGCCTTTAAGTCAAGTAGAAAGTCTTAGTAGGCTGTTGGGTTGTCGGGTGAGGCGTCTCTCATAGCAGTTCTTTTCAGATTTGGTAGAAAAGAACGGGACAAGCTTCTCAACATTCTACTCTGAAGTTCGGCATATCCGCACCAAGTCTGAAAGAATGATGCGATCGTTCGCGGCCTCAGATAGCCTTTCGGCCGAGGTCTGACGAACTAGGAGCGGCAGACGTCACCTTTCAGTAGCTCCGTTACCACTGCTTGGCCGTGAAAGCTCCTTGAGTTGAGATTTCTGGAGTCGTCACAATGTTACGTTCCTAAGGTAGTTCGTTGCTTTTGCAGACGCTGAACCAAATGCTGACCGAAATGGACGGCTTCGACTCGACCAAGGACAAGCCGGTGATTATCTTGGGGGCGACCAACCGGCCAGAGATTCTGGACACCGCCCTGCTGCGGCCGGGGCGGTTTGACCGAACGGTGACTGTAGACCGGCCGGACAAGAAGGGGCGGGAGGAGATTCTGCGGTTACATCTCAAGGTACCGCGCGGTGCACTGAGATCACCTTTTTGTCGTTCTTGTCTGCATTTTTTTATTCATTTCTGTGCCTGAAAGACTGGATTACACGGACGAGGAATGCGATCCTCTGGTGGCCAATCGCGTGTGGGCTTTACAGCAACCAACTTAAAAAAAATTCCAACAACAACCTACAAGTGATACTGAAAAGTTGACTCCGCTCATGGCTTGCGCTAAAGCAAAGTTTGATGCAGGCTATCAAGATTGACGAAAACCTGGACGTGTCGGCTATTGCGGGGAGCACGATCGGCTTCACGGGGGCAGACCTGGCCAACCTGGTGAACGAGGCTGCACTGCTGGCCGCACGGAAGGTGAGGCCGGAGTATGTAAAAGCTTAGTAGCAAACTCAAATTGGCGAAAGAAAACAAATCCAGAGGACTTCCCAGATGGATTGTGGAACAGGAAGGAGGACTCTGTTTTCACCGGATTGATTGATCCGGGTGTAGCGGTTCAGATGATCGGTTGCGGATGAATATAATTGTAATCAGGCATAAAACTCCGTTTCAAGGGTTGCAAGGGAGCCTTCATAAGGTTACGTCACGAGGCAATAAATATACGAGCATACCCGCATATAAATCCTCAATCTGCGTCGTGTCAGCGCTTTTGTCTAACTCTTACCTCCTATCCGTTCTCCCAGAACCTGGAGCAGGTTGGTCGGGAGCAACTGATGGAGGCTGCGGAACGAAGTCGAGCAGGGCTGGAACGGAAGTCTCTCAAGGTAAGCAACAATATCATTTCACCCAAGATTTGCTTTAGCTCGTCACACGTTCACGGGTTGTCTCTTTAGTCCATCTTTGAAGTCACTTTGATCTCAGACCTTCGACGAACGACAACAGCGCCCGCCGTGCACCTTGCACGGGGGCTCGGAAACTATGTCATCCCTCCATCGCAGAAGCACAAATCCATCTTCTTTGCAGGCTTCAGTGGGAGAAATTCAAAATCACCGAAACGTCAAACTTTACAATCCGAAAGCTTTAACTTTTGGCTGCAGGTGAGCGAGGAGGAGCGGCGCACGGTTGCCTTCCACGAGTGCGGCCACGCGCTGGTGGGCGCGATGTCGCGCGAGGTGGTGCGCAGCACGGTCACCAAGATCAGCATCGTGCCACGTGGCAGCGGCGCACTTGGCTATACGCTCAACGAGCCGCGCGAGGACCGTTACCTGCAGGGCGAGGACGACATCCGTTCATTTATCGCCACCGCTCTCGCGGGCCGTGCCGCGGAGCGGCTTGTCTTTGGGCGGCTGACCTCGGGGGCGTCGGATGATTTGCAGGTAGGTTTTGAGAGGCTGGATGTTTGTTCTTCGGGTCCATTTTTGATGGCGCAATTGCTATATTGCCGCCGGCTGATGGAGGTGAGTGCCACTGTTGATCACGCGACTCTCGTTCGTGCGTTCATTCCTTCTTCTGCTTCCATTGGAATCTCGGCGGATTTGAAGCAGCTCTCTCTTGAGCATTACGAAAGCTCTTGGAACATTTATTTTTACGTTTGGTTCAAACCCTTGTGAGCCGGTTCTGAAGTTCTCGCCGTTTTCGTTTTGCAGCGAGCAACGGAGTCGGCGGAGCGCATGGTGACGTTGTTTGGGATGTCGTCCCGGGTGGGTCCCCGGGCGCTGCGCTCGCTGCGGCAGTCGTACCTGGAGGAGCACGGCTACGCGGGCGCGGCGCGGCAAGGGGGGCCGCAATTGCAGAAGACCGTCGATGACGAGATCGACAATATACTGCAGGTGAGGGCCGGCGGACAAACGGTGGCTTGAAGGAAGGGGAATGAAACATCTCGGAAAGTGTCTGATCGTGCGGTGTGTCCACGTCAGCAATGTCAGAGGGACTGTCGCAGAAGGATGTAAGGTGCCGGTATTCTGGGAACCTGCTAAAGGAAAATTCCGATTGTACAGCAAGCGAGTCGAAACGCAAGAGGTCGTGTCTTTGGGGTAAGCTTGTTCGCGCATAGGGGTGCGTTCATCTTCCTTCGGTAGAATGATTTCGGGTCCCTCGTTTTCCTGTGGCAGGCTGCGGATGATTGGTGTCGGCGCATCCTGGTTCGGAACCGGGCTCTTCTGAACGAGATGGCGGAGAAGCTGCTAGTGGAAGAGGTGCTCCAAGAAAGTCAACTCGCCGACTTCTTGAAGCGGGCGGAGGCCCCCGATGGGCTGGAGGACTGGTTCAAAACGGGCAGCTTGCCGGACGGGTTCCACGGCGACAGCATATACCGGGAAGCGCCCGCGCTGTCGTTGCCAGGATGACGAAGGGCTAGCGAGGGTCCGCATTGGCACCCTTGACCGCTCGTCAATGTACAGCCGATCTCGGAACTCGCAAATACCCTGTACATAACAGTGCGGAAGTGTAGAAGATTCTCCGTGTTGCCGGCCACGACCATGGCATGCTGTGACTCAGCAGAGTATGGATGTTTTGCATATGTATGGCCGCACATAAGGTTGGCGCCCAAATCGGGCTGGCCTCAAAATACGCGTACGTGCGTCATGGCGGCATGAGCACTTGTCTGCAGGTATATATCAGAAAATTCCTGCTGGCCGCTGGTTTGGTAATCAGGTACGTGAGTCAACATATACCTGCATTCCTTTTCTAGCTGATTGGTTGATCTTCAATTAGCTGCATGCATGGGACACGTACCTGCGCGCCGCCAATTATGGTTGAGCGCGCGAGAATGCATGGCGCATGGCAAGCTCGGGGTGGCGGGGGCATCATGGTGCATGGTACATAAAGTCAATTGACCGTCGTTGCGAGTAGAGCAGTGCCCGTGCGGCCTGCCAGCATGATTAAAATGCAAACTCCGGCGCTTACAAGCATCTTCCGACGCTATCAACAAACGGAATCCATCGTTTAATGCAATGATTATATACAGCTCATGCTGGCGATGCTGAGACATGAACGTACGTCGTTCTGTCGATCATTGTAGGACCACTCACCAGATATGAGTGGTCTCTTACTAGTGCCTTTGTTGATCGATGGAAATCTGCTATAAGTTGATGCCATAAGTTGTATCTTAAGATGTTTAATATAACTTGTTAAGATGGGCCCGTCCTTTCTCTAAATCTGCTCTGCTAGTTGTGAGGTTAATAATGCAATTGCAGAAGCAAAGACACTGAGTATGAAAGTAATGTGATGAGCAGTTGTGCTCCTCTGGCCGTAGCTAGCCGCCAACATCATCACACCCGACTTTAGTCACTTTCATACGTGCCTGTTGCCCGGTACCTTAACACGTCACGGGGCTGAGGCAACTCTGAAATCGACGGGCTACAGCCTTAATGGTCACGGTGCCGACGGAGCCCACAAACTTCTCCGACCCTCGTGCTTCATCCCAGGGCATCTGCAGAGCGTCGGTACCGCCCCAGCTGGTCGTCCCTAATGTCTCATCCAGGCTGAAAGTCTTTCTGTCCTCAATAACTCTTTTCCAAAGGCCACTTGGCCACGTCCTGACGTAGATCTTGAGCGCAAGTGTATCCGTTGCAGCACTTGAACTCTCTTCGGTCGAGGATTTCTCGCAGTATAGGAAAACTCCCACAGAGGGCGGATTCTTTCGATCATTCTTCTGCACGCTGATGAACCAGTTCTTTCCAAACCACACGGCTCGTCGCGACTCTCGCGTCTTTCCGCTCTCGTCCAAAAGAAAGTGGTCAACGATCTCCAGGTGGACAAAGCGCACGCCGTTCCTTTGGCAGAGCCCCTGTCCCAGCTTTTCTTTCTTGCTATCGGAGTAGGCCTGGAACCTAAGAGCTGCAGTGACCAAAGACTGCGTGTCTTTGTGCTGCAAATCCTCGCGAGAAAGCAGCGTCTCCAAGTACTCGCCACTCATGCAAGAGAACCTGATCAGCGGAGCAAGCTTGGTGACTGCGGACGACCTTAGCGACACGCTTGTGTAGTTCACTTCGGCCCAGGCAAGCAATCTGTTGAAAATTTCTTCCTCAGAATCCGCCTCGAGTCTTCGGATTGCAGCAGCACTTCGACCACCTCGAAGCTCAAGCTTTTGAAGCGCATCGACTCCCACATCCCGCTTACGTCCTTAAATTCCTCCACGACGCGGGCAACTGCGTCGTCCATAACTTCCTTGATTAGAGGACGCAGTCGGATTGCTGAAGGAACTCGACACAAAACTTCGGCACCGTCTGCCTTGCGCAACTGCTCGCAAACGGCGCCCATCAGAGAGGGCACGTCAAACTTGTCTGCCACAAAGAGAAGTGCCACGAGTGCTCGCACGTCGGTAGCCGGCTTGCAAAGAGTCGGCGATAGAGTGCCGGAGTAGAAGAAGCGGACCATCTCTTCAAAAGCCGCCTTCTCTGCACGCAGGACCGAGAACCAAATCTGAGCCTTGCCCCCGCGTTGGAGGTTTGATTCAAGAATTCGAGACGGTTGTTGATACTCAAGGTCAGCTTTTCGGTTGACTTGGAGCTGGTCGTGGGAAAGCAAGGATCGAACGTGGTCTAAAAAGGGCACCAATATCTGTAAATCTGCAAACTGCTCGGCAAATAGAGATAGCAGTGCAAACATGGAAAACGATGGAAAGGCGCTGAATTGAAAGCATGGAAAAGTGTTGCAACAAGATTGGAGACAAGCCTGGAGCGATGGTATATTAGGTAACTTCGAAGAGAGTTCCACGGATCTCTTATTTCAGGATCTTGGGGACTCTGAGCGACAATCAGAAGATTGTCGTGACCTTCGAGGCCAAAACCACAATACACAAACTGAGAATGACCAGAAAATTGTCGCTCACCTTCGAGGGTTACTCTAACGATGACCGGCGCTTTCTTGTCCGACTCCTTCATGCCGTTGGACAACATGGTTCGCAGCACGGAGCTCTTGGCGGCGAGCACGATGGAGTTAACTGGAATGTCATCATCACTAGGGGGTCCCGAGTCTGACGAGTTCTGTAAGAGGTCAGATGCTGGAGCGCTGTCCGTTAACTCGTGAGCTTCTTGGACTTTCGGATCTGCATGAAGAACAGAAAGAAATACGATTGCTCAAGCTGAAATCTTTGAAAGCTAAAATTTTGTGAAGCAACAACTGAGCCTGGTTGAAAGTTGCAGTGTTCGTCCTACGCGCATCTGCTTGCCTGAGAGCACCAATCAGGAGGGGCGATCCTTCTTTGGTTCAAGGACAAAATAGCCCCGTCAAAGAGAATGAGCTGGTGAACATGAGCGATCTGCCAACCAATCTGCTGATGGACAAGCGACGGCTATGATTGAGTATAGGCTCCTTCCGGAGTTGGTCAAACCGACAGAAATTTGGTGTATCAGGATCTTTGTGGCCATTTTTGTGATGGAACTGAACAAACTCAAGACTAACGTTGGAGCTGCGTCGGACCTGGTTCAGACAAAAGCTTTCTTGCAGTGCAGCAATGTTTCAGCTCAAGCAGACAGTCAAAGATGCTTGAGAATACGAAAGTCCAGCTCATTGGGAAGATTCTGCATTCAACCAATTTGCCAAACGTACTGCTTGTGCAGATTACAAGAAGATTCATTAGATCTCACCTTTCTCATCACTGTCCAGGAGTTCTAGTCGGATAGTCCGGTCCGAGAACTCAGTGCTCCTGCAACACAACACTTACTTTGAGGATTATACAAGAAGGATTGCTGGTCATAGTCTCAAATACTCTCTGCATAGCGAGAGAGTATCGGATGCTCTTCAATAAACAGTTGGGATGCATCCCAACACGAAGCGGGTGTCTGTAGCCTGCAGGATTCATTGCAGTGTTTGTTCCAAACCATTTGCCAGTGTAGACAGAAGTGACGATATATCATCAGCGAAAAGAAAGCAACGACATCGCAGACAAGAGTTCACCTGTCCTGTGAGCACGGAGGCCAAAAACAGTCTGACAGGGACCAAGGTTTCGTCAAAGAAGCTCCCATGTTGCAGGAATGTCAGGCGTAAGCACAATTTCTAGGGTCGTGCTTTTGGTCCTACACCTAAGCGCGGCTTGCAACTCCTTACTTGTAAAACGAGGTAAAGTCAAAGTAGCGTGCCTCCTCCTTCAGGGCGCTCGCTTCGTCGTTCGCCATACCTGGGCCAAATCTGAATGCGGTAGTAGTGGCAACGGCTTGGATGATATCGTTCCGCTCAAATCATGCCGCAGCAGGATTCCGCAGGCTGAGACATCTGACTAAGAAATGATAGTGCAGGAAAGTGTTGGTGTTGACGCTCGCCCGGAGACGGGTTGGGTTGATCGGGGGTTTACTGGGTCTTGCTCGTATCCTACCAGGCCAGCACTTGACTTGGGGACGTCTAGGGTGGGTCTGTGTCACGTGGATCATGTTAACTTCGGGTTCAGAGTTTCGTTGTTTGTGCCCGGGGAACAAACCTGCCTGATCAACATAGACCTGCATAGACCCGAGAAGTTCGAGACTAACGAGCTAGGATCAACTGGGCGGGTATTGTCCACCCTCCAAAAGACTTTACAATCGCTTTCCTATTCTCCGGATCGATCGTTGACTCCATATGTCACAACACCACGCTATCTTGATACATTGAATCACGGAAACTTACTGGCAATTACCTTCCCGGCCATACATGCATATGTGGCCGCCGGCCTTGCACGCCTGCTGGGGCCAGCGAGAGATCATGCAAAGTCCTAGAGTACGTCATCTGCTTACGAACTTTACTCAATCGGGCCGGACGCGGTCCGTCATGCGTCATGAGATGTAACACTCAGCGTATTAGCATGCTCGTGATGCACGCATACACTTACGTTTTTCTTCCCTGGCTTGTGCCGACGTCTTTCGCTGCTCATCGCAAGGATGCCGTCGTGAGACACGTCTCTTTCCAATTTGCTATAGGTTTGAATCCATGCGCATGTCTAGAAGTGTATGTTCGAACTTCGCACACATGTAGAGACAGTCACTGACTAATTGGCAGCTTTCGCTCCGCCTGGCCAATAAACGCAGACAGAAGACATTCAAAACAGAGGTCTCAATTGAACGGCATGTCACAATTCATACTGGCGTGCATAAGGATCGAGTACGTGGCCTGAAATTATCGAGGTGCCTGTGCTTGAGTATGCGTGATCAACATTTCTCACCCCAGCATGACAGCGCTCTACATTTAGGGCTGCTGATCATGCGGCAACTTTCTTTGGTCCAACACGTACATGTGAGGGCCGTTTTATCCCCTTTCTAAAGTGCATATTCTTTGTTGGTATTGGAGCTCTTTACAGACGTAGCGTATTTCGTTGAGATGCCTGGAAGGCCCACCGGGCCTCAGCTCTCGTACTTTCGACTTCCACCAGGCAGTCCCCATCGACTCTTCTTACCATTTCATGCGGCCAGCATCTGTCTCCTGCATCAAGGTCGGACGGTTTTCGATCACAAATTGCGCTCAGGTTCACCAAGCAGATTTACCGAAGATGACGGTGATTGATGTGTATCTTTAGTCAATGTCGGCGGGTACTTCTGAGCGACCGGGAAGGGAACCGATGGAAGCAATGGTAGGAGTTGCAGGTCAAAAGTATTCGGGTAGACAGAGAAAGCAGGGAAGAGAACAAGACCTTTGAGGAATTGCACGCAACCACGGGGCGCCAGAGAGGTGACGCTGCTGGAAAGCATGCGGCCATGACGTCCCTCGGTGCGGCTCTCCCCGGCGGCCTTACCTGGCTGGCGTCACAGGAACGGGCCGGTGCTCGCGCTCCTTTTCCCTCTGCTTGGCGGGGACCGTCCGGGTGACCGCGGACACGCCGTCCACAAACTTGGTCCGGAAGATGACGTCAGCGTTGTTGAACATGCCCTCCTTGAGGGACACTACCACGAACTGCAATACGGGGGCGAGGTCAGGCGAACCGGCCCGAAATCTAGTGGAAGTGCTGACCAACATGAGACTGGCCGACAAGCCCGCGATTCACGTAGCTACCTGATCTGGCGGAAGTCTATCAGCGGAAAAAGGATTACAGTTGACAGTACAATCCTTGGCATCAGCTTTGGCAGAGACATCTATTTTAATGGACACTTCTTGAGGGCAAAGAGTACTGTTACGTATGACGAGAACCATGACGTATCCGTAAGACAATTCCTGACTTTAAGAACAAGGGACCGGACAAGAGTAGCAGTGATTGCGGCTGTGCTCGTACCTGCGACTGCGGGAAGTGCGTCTTGATCATGCGGCCTATGTTCTGCGTGTGGCTCAGGTCCAAAGCCGCGTCCACCTGCACGCACGCGCAACCCCGTCAACAAACCCATTTGGAAACGCGCCGAGTGAGAACGTCGACCTGTCAGCGAAAGTGGCATTTCTTGGTTCAAAAAGTAGAACGTATATCAAAGAAAGAAACCAGAAGCACCTGACAACTACTCTGACGATGAACACCCAGGAAGAAGCGAGCCCGCAAAGAAACAACGCTCCTACTCTCCCTCGCCAGGAGGAACGCAGTATCGCCCCTGGCGGATAGTTGCGTGGCAGGTCTTGCTGCCGTGGTGTCCAGCTTACAACACAGCTGCTGCCGGACCTGGCAGCTGTCCCCTCACCTCGTCGAGGATGTAGAGCGGCGCGGGCTTGAAGAGCAGCAGCGCGAGGATGAGCGAGAGCGCGAGCAGCGAGCGCTGGCCGCCGCTGAGCTCCGTGAGCGACTGCTTCCACACGCCGCCGAAGGCGACCTTGACCTCGAGGCCGTCCAGGAAGGAGGCGCCCTCCGGCGGCTCCAGCTTGGCGGTGGTCCCCGGGAGCAGCGTCGAGAAGATGGACCCGAAGTCGCGGTTCACCTTGTGCCACGTCACGCGCAGCGCCTCCTTCTTCTTCTCGTCCAGCTGGTCGATCACCAGCCGGATCTTGGCCTTGTCCGCCTGGCGGGGAGCCACGAGGAAAGACGTGTGGGGTGAGCAAACGTAACGTCGTGTGTCTTGGACTTTTCAAAGAAGGTCTGTATCTCAAGCCTTCGGATTCTGATTGCCTGCTTCCTCATCGTTTTCAAGTGGTGACCGCTCGATTATCAGCATACGGTAGGTTCCAGAATGCGGCGGTTTTCTGTCGGACGAGTACCTCTGGCGTGGAAAGAGAATTGAGGCAACTTTATGCTCCTCGTCAGCGTCTTCACGTAGATTCTCGAGCGGCCAGACGGTGGAGTATCTGGTAAACTGAGCGAAAGCTTCCGAGGGCGCAACGTCAGCTCCTACCTCGACGATGTTTTTCTTCTCCTCGAGCGCCTTGTACTCGGCCTCCGCGTGGTCAAACATGGTGGTCACCTTCTTGTTCACCTTCTTGCCCGTGCTGCACGCAGGAAAGCGAACGTGAGCAAGCCGCAGAACGTACAACATCGCACGCGGCAAACCTTAGACGCGCCGAAGTTCTACTCGTATCGAGAACGACAGAAAGAGGACGATGACTCGGCTTTAGAAGAGGAAAGCCGAGAGAGAACCGATTCAAGCGAAAGACCAGAATATGGCCTAGACAGCCGTTACTCGCGGTCTAACCCGCACGACGCTGTTGTGGATCGAACAGTGACTTGAGCAGAAGTTGAAAGCCCTCCAGTGTCCGGTTCCTCGTCCTGTGTCAGCAGGCCGCACCTGTCCTGTTCGGCCTGCTTCCTCTCGTACGTCTCCTTGGCCTCCTTGATGTCGATGGCCTCGAAGTCGTAGTCCGTGCCGGGCTTGCCGAACAGCTGCCGCTCGCTGGCGATCCAGGCCTCCTCCTTGAGCAGCCGCTCCACCAGCTTGGCGCTGTCCTTTTGATCCACCTCCATCCGCTTCACCTGCAACGACAACCGTACGAAGCATCAGCTTCCAGCCCAGCGAAGACCAAGCCTTACCAGATTATACCGCGTTTCTGCACACTCAAACTCACTGGTGCTTTGAAGCCAGGATGCTTCTCAATTGTAAACACATGAGCACTCCAAAGTTGCTAAACTATCAGCAGCTGGCGCCCAGCATTTGGTTCCCGTCGTAAGGACCCAGCAAATTACCTTGTGGTCCAGCTTCTTGGCCTCGACGTTGCTGTCTTTGAGCTTCCGGTCGAGGCGCGCCTGCTCCTTGGCCTGCGCGCTGATCTCCGCGTCGCACTCCTTGATGCGCGCCTTCGTCTCGTCCAGCGCGCCCTTGGCCGCCTCGTACTCCGCCTTGCGGGCCGCCACCTGAACCAAGGACACAGCCAGATGAATACTCGGATCTAGAAAAGAGAGCGAATGGCAATCCACTGGTTCAGCCAATCCAATCGAAAGGCCGTATCCAAGATGGTGCACAAACAGTGGAGGCTGTGGGCAGAGACAGCTTCGTTATCGGTGGGCGAAAGAAGTAAAATACATAAACAATAATGCAAGAGGGAGCAACATATCAACGGATATCAAAGCATATCACACATGGGGTCGTTCTCCGGCTGGGACTTCGGGACGGATATTGGCGCCTACCTTCTCCTCCAGCTCTGCGGCTTGTTCCTCCAGCTTGTTGGCTTGCTCTTGAGCAGCCGTGGCCTGCTCTTGCAGTGCGGCGATCTCGAGGTGCATCGCCTCCCTCTCCATGGCCTGCTGCTGCACGCTCTCCTCCATGCTCTGCAAGATAATGCAACACAGATCGTCAGCAGCGCAAGAAGACCTCCCAACTGCATCAGCAAGCTTACGAGCCTTCAAGGTAGGACGTGTTGACACGGCGCGGTCTCCCAGTTTGCTTATTACTCTTCTCGTCTCCTTGCAGTAACGAAATAGAGGGCATCAGATTAAGAACGCGGACAGTGCTGCTGCGAGATATTGTCCACCAAACGACGTTTCAGCAGGACTATTGAAACCAAAGACTCTCCACCCTTCAGGAAGGGGGAAGCTCCGGTCGCGGGGCTAGCGTGGGCACCTTGAGGTCCTTGAGCGCGGCGGCGTGCTCCTTCTTGGCGGCCTTGATGCTGCTCTCGATGGCCTGGAGCCGCGCCTCGCGCTCCTTGCCCTGGTCCGCCTTCTTCTGCTCCAGCTCCGTCGCCTCCGCCTGCAGCGCGGCCTGCCGCTCGCGCGCCGCCACCAGGGCATCCTGCAACCCCAAAACATTACTCTATTATTCAGACCCCGGTGAAGATATCGCATAGAGCGCAACGGTCAGTGTTCAAAGACTGGGAGAATGCACAGCGGTCGTCACGGACTTTGCGTTTATCCAAACGCTTTTTGGCCCAGGAATTGCTGGCCCTGCGCGTCGCAAGTTGCCTTGCCACAAAATACAGAACAACGGCCTCCGGCAAGGTCAGCTCGAAGAAGGGAAGAAGCGCAGTTGAACTTGCACTGACCATTATCCTGGAAGAGTCGATTCGTGCACTTTCGGGCAGACTACCTGCGGAAGTAGCCTTAGCAAAGGCCGTCTTCTACCTGCGCAATGGTGAGGTCCGTCTCCATGGCAGCGACCGCCTCTGCGAGCTGGTGGCTCTCGCTCTTCTCGCTCCGCTCCTGCAGCAGCTTCAAGCTGTGGCTCTTCAGCTCCAGCTCACCCTTCACCCGCTGGTACTCCGCATTCCCCGCCGCCAACGTGGCAAGCTGCACGGAACGAGAGATCCTGTTCGGACCTTGCCAAATGCTGGGGAAAGTGGGATACAGTCGACGCCTCAACACTTTGCTGACTGGCAATTCAAATATCTATTGTCGTCCGCTGCGTTGTTAACAACACTCCTGCTAATAGGTTGGGGGTCTGAGGTAGATGCACACGAAACGGGAGCGGGTGGCAGGACGACCTCAGGCATGCTGCGGGTCTCACCTCCGCCTCGATTGCCGTCAACGCGTTCTGATGCCGCTCCAAGTCGGCCTCGGCTAGTCGGAGCTCGTGCAGCTTTTGCAGCTTGCTCGTCTTTCTGGACAAAACACGACACGCCGTCAGCGACGTGTCCGCAGGGTCGTACTTGCACCAATGTGACGCAAGTCCGCAGATACCATCCTTTGCAGCATTGCAAGTCCAGCCGTCAAACCTGATTTGGAGTAGTTCGACGCATAGTTGGCCCGGATTGTCAAGTCTGTGAGTAAGAGAATATTAGGCAAGTAACACTCACGGTCTTGAGCCTCCCGTGATCGTGCCTGCTGGGTTGAATGTCTCCCCCTCCAAAGACACGGTGTGGGAACGGATGTTTCGGTCGTAGCAGACCTGCAATGCCAACCATATTTTCCAGAACAGAATTCAAGGAGCTCCTAAGTTGCACTGTTACAGACCCTCACGGCGTCTAAAAGCACACATAGCGGAGTTGCATAACAGCAGCTCTCCAGCATACATTCAGTTAGTTGCCTCGACGGATTCAATAGAGAATCACTCGTGCCCTTCCTTCAGGGAGCGTCTCTCTCTCGCTTCAATTTCGCGAGCCATCCAAAACGCAGCCGCACCTTCTCGGCTGTTTGATAGTCTCTGCAGATGAAGGAGTTGCCAAAGACGAAAGCCATTGCATTCTGCACAACAGCAAAAAGAAGTGTCAGTAGTCAAGAAGCGTTTGGCAGAGCTAGCGTCACGAGAGAGTCTAGACGGTAAAGAAAGATCATCTGCTTAACCTAGAAGACCCTGCTTTCGACGTCTTGCTTCCCGATCGTCATCGTCGGTCTCGCTTCTGAGACCGGTGAGCCGCGTCCAGGTAAAGTTATCCTCTCTAGAAATTACATGATGCGAAGGACGTGACGAAGTGCGTTCTTACCTGCAGCTCGTCCTCGTAGCCCACCAACGACAGGGCCAGCCGCGCTCCCTCCGGGCCAGCCTACGAAGGGAACGTTCACTATTGGATAAGTCCGCAGTAGCCAGCCGACTCAAAGAAGATGGATGTCAATCCCAACATGCGGAGAACTGCCGGCGTGCAAAGTGGCCCATCTCAGCGATACCTTGCTGCATAAGTCGGTTTTAAGCTCAGCCATGAGACCCTGAAGAGGCCCCCAAGCAAAGCTCTTTCACAGTGTGCATGATGTGAACAGCGCACGTTGCACAAAGACGGCAACTGATTCCACAAGCTTATAGCGACTAGGCAAATGGGATTGTTTACTCACAACATGTGCAGCCGCTTGCTGCACGTGCTGTGGTGCCTTTCTGCCGTCAATTTTGTCCAGCGGGATGATGGTCACCCGCCTCTGCAGCCTCCCTTTGTCCAGGACTAGCTTGCCTGTGTTGGCGTCTGACACAACCACATTGAACAGCTTGCCTCCGGCAGCAACCTGTGATCGGCAAGCGAACCGCTTGGAAGACATTCGAGAGCAATATGGCCCAATCGAACATGCCGATAACGAGAATATAACAGGCGTCCTTTCTTTGAGGGTCCCGTCTTCCTTTGGAATTCATAAGAAGCCACCTAAGCACTTGTCAAGCCTTAGAAAAGTGGCCGCAGGAGCAGACTGAAACCAGCGGCTTCGAACTTTCTCAAAGATCACTCAAGAAGTGCATTTTCGATGCGGTACTAGCACTCTGAGTCGGCCATTCGCGTACCTCAAGGGCGGTCATGGCCGAAGGGTCGTTGACAGTGAACAGCTTGGCCACCATTCCTTTGACCCGAGACCGGTCGAAGCCCCTCTCCGGGTCGCTGAAGGAGAACGCTAGGCTGCTGAGTTCCGCCGAAAGGTCGTTTACCCGCCGCTTGAGGTCGCGGACTATCCCTCGTTCTTGCTCTTGTTGCTGCAACCAGAGTCGAAGAAGGAGTTCGTGAGAGGACTGGTCTGAGAGAAAAGAGAGGGACAGGATCTGCCTCTGGGTTCTGGGCGGTAAGCAAGTTATTGCTTTGGTCGTTGGGAGAGACTTTCGAGGTATCCCAAAGTGCATCTTTGGGTTCACCTTACATGGAGGAGTGTCTCCTGAGGTATCTCCAAGCTTCTCCAGATTCATTCCACTTAGTAAGGGCTCCCCAATCGACCTCGCTTTGGCGCAGCCGGCAAGCAAAGGTACTCTGCTAAATCTTGTAAAACAAGTAAACCCACCGATTTAAGTTCCGTGACTCGGTTCTCGTCAAAGTGGAGATCATCCAGTCTGGCTTGGCACTGTGCAACTGCCTGCAAGACGTTCTCGAGCTCCTTCTGCATGCTGGAGGCCTCCTTCTGCTTGGCCGCCAGCAGCTTTCTCTTGCTCCCCAGCTCCTTGTCTAGATGCTTGATCTTGAGCTGCGCCTGTTGGGCCTCCGCCCCACTGGCCTGCACCCCCGCCTTGGCGTCGCTCAGCTTCTGCTCAAAGGTGCGCTCACCCTCTGCCCCGCTGCTCTTGCCTGCCAGCACCCCCTGGAGGAAAATGACAGAAGGGGGCTTCGTAAGTAAGATGCCAAGAAAACCAGACTGACAAACAGTCCGATCGCTAGGTTGGAGACCGATTCGCTTGCAGCTCTGTGCTTCTTGCTCTTGTTAAGGAAGCACGTCATGAAACACTGGCAGCTGTATATTGTATGGGGTGGGAGAAAGTACCTGTTGCTCCTGTTCCAGAGCTTTCAAATCTTCCGCCACCTTCTCCACACGAGCCTTGGCCTTTGCAAAGTCAGCGTCGGCTGCCCCCATGGCTGCAGCCCTCTCTTCCACGCCCCGCTTTGTCTCCTCGATAGTCATCTGGAGCTGCAATAGAGAAAACACGTACGGAATGAACACCACATGGGCATGAGTTTGAGGATTTTTATGCTTGATGTTTCCAGAAACTCGCATCTCTGTAGCAATATGCTCTTTTTCCTTGTAAGCATCTGCCTGCTCTCAGAAGAAGGCATACATTATCCTCCGCTGATCACTCTGTTCGAAGGGGGTCCTACAGAATCGGCTTGGTCAAGCTGAGGACTCAACGACTGGCAAGTTGTCAGAACCTACACACAGGATGCCGTCGAACTTACCCATCCCCAAAGAGAGGGGCAAAGTCCAGCTAAATCAAAGTGGCCCTCTCAGAAGGGATGAAGGCCTCTTACCTGCTTCAAGCTTTCTTTCTCGGAATCATGCAGCTCCTTCTTGTTCGTCCAGTTGGTGGTGTCCTTGACCAGCCGCTTGCTTGCATCATCCGCCTGCTCCTGCAGCTTCTTCACCTCCTGCCCCATCTCCTTGTCCTTCTCCTCCGTCAACTTGGCGATGTCCTTCGCCTTCTGAGCAATCTCTGCTTGAAGGGCCTCCGCAGACGCCGACATCTCAGCCAGCCGCTGCTTCAGCTCCTCAACCTCATCAATCGCCCCCGTCATCGTCTTCTCTGCCATTGTGAAAGAATGTGCCACGCACAGCCGCTTCAGCCGCTGCACTTCTGACTGCCCCGCTTGCCAGACATTGTACAGAGCCCTCTCCTTGCGGAGGTTCTCAAGCGCCGGCCGCACCTCATTCTGCAGCACCGTGTCAATCTCGTCTAACTTCCCCTGCTTCTTCTCGAGGGTCTTCAATGCCCCCTCCTTTTTGACTTCGTACATGCGAGTTCCCGCTGCTTCTTCCAGCATGGACAGGATCTCAATGGGCTTCATGTTGAGCACCTTGGTGATGCGGCCTTGCATGATGAGGAAGTGGGGGTTGTTGACATTGAGCTGGACGCTGTGAAACAGGTTCTGGACTTGTGACGGCTGGGCCACGCGACCGTTGATAAGGTACTTGTTTCGCCCGCCGATGACAATCTGCATGGATGTGAGCCCAGAGTTGCCACTCAGCTGTGGCCAGCAGTCAACACAAAGCAATCTGACTAGGATGCGATAGGAATCTATCATGGGACGGTTTGGGGCCAGACTTGATTAGTCAATGTTTGTCAGCCCAAGCACGGCCTTGGCCTTGTTTACATACTTACACCTTCTGCAGGGCCTTATAACTGGGTAAGGTTCTTGTATGTGTTTGCTAGGTCTGCTGCCTCCCATGCAGCTAAAAGAGAGACCTTGACAAACTTTGTGACAGGTGTTGGAGCTGGCAAGAAAGTGTCCAATACGACAGCAAAGTCAGTGCATTGGGGCCACTCCAAATCCAGCAGAACAACAACTCACCTGCCGTGATACCGTGATACTGTCATATTGTTCGTAGCTCACAGGGGACTTGCTCTTGTCTGTGTTGTTCCAAACAATTGACACTGTGGCCTTGGTCACCCCTGCCTGCCCCGACTTGTACACCAATTCTTGCAGATTGGCAGCTCGCACCTGAGAAAGATTGGTGATGCCAAGCACAAAGCAGATGGAGTCCAGAATGTTTGACTTGCCGGTCCCATTCAGGCCGGTGATGGCATTGAACTTTGGATCAAAGTTTGGGACAACAGTTCTTTGGGCGTAAGATTTGAAACCATCTATGCAGACCTCCTCGATATACATGTTTGCTCCTCTTGGGTTGAAGCAGCTCTTCCCCCCTCAAGCAAATATCACAATCTAAAATGGTGGGCGGTGCTATGCCGCCCGCCTGTGTTTAGGTAGTTGTGAGCAACTTGTGCATCTGTAAGGAACGTTAAATTATCGCTTTGACAAGGCTCAAACGCTGCTATCCTGCCTGGGAATCCAGCGCCATGATCGCCCTCAATGACAATACCTATGGAGTGCTGGAGGCTTCTGTGCTTCACGCAGATTCTGCAACGAGACGCTGGTCGGAGGTGACTTGAGGATTCATGTATTTTGGCGGGTGCCAGGTTGGCATATCTGACGGCCTAGGGGTTGCGTTGAGAAGTTTAGACGGCTGGAGGAGCCCTGCAGTTTCAACAGTCCAGGAGACATTCAAAACATTCAAAAGCTAGAGTTGTTGAAGTGAAGCATGGAAGCTGGACTCATACGGTAGTGCAGGTATGGATTCTGGACATAGGTACCGGTAGCACAGCGCCCGCTACTGCACTGTGGATGCAATGCCTGGTATCCAGGAATGCATGGATGGCGCATCATTCGTGGACGGACGTCTGTGTGAGAGTCCGGGCTACAAAATTTCCAAGAGCAGCGGGTAATGTTTGATTTTGCAGAGGAATTCGAATTATTTCAAGGTAAAAGTCAAGCAAAAGGGACCATCAGATGTCAGACTCCATGGAGGAGCCAGCGACTCCGGCTGCTACTCGCGGTGGTGTAGGAAGCCATGGTGGGAGTGCCATGAGGGGGGAGGATTTCACAACATTCATCAAAGCTCTCACGGAAAAGTATGGTCTCTTTGAGAAGACGTCCAGGATAAAGCCACCCCAGTTGAGCTTTGATAAGACACCTCAGCAGTCAGGCAGGAAACATTCCCCTGAGGGCCAGCTCTCATCCCATGCTCAGGGTACGGTCAGCATTAAAGACGGGGTTTCCATCGCGGATGTAAAAAGTAAAACAGAGGGTAAACCTGAGCTGTCTGCTGGTCCTCCACAGACCAGGCGTACAGGCCGAATTGAAAGCCCTGATCTTAACGCTACGTCCAAGCTGGACATACCGGGCTTGAGACTCGGGGTCTCAGATGCAATGCCGGGTGGTCATCCTGCAGCTACAGCACCCCACCACCTGTCTGACGCATCACAGGACCCCATCAACCATGCAATGGAAACCCAGCTGTCCCCGTCCCTCTCGCAGTCTCCCACCTTGCCCACCTCCGGATCAGAGGCCAGCTTCACACGGCATAGGGCATCACATCGGCAGGCTTGGCATTCCAAGGAGCCTCATGAGGACTCCATCGATGGGAATACTGACATACTTTCCGAGCCGCGCGGTCAAGCAAACGAGGCATCCAACACGTCGGCATTGCCCTCACCTAGCTCCCCTGCTGGTAATACGCTGGCACCCTTCACCAGGCCAGTGCTGTACCAGGATCAGGCCAGTGGACAGGCCTCTTCCCAACCTCCGCTGCTGCCAGGCCGCAGTCCGAGACGGCCCCCGCGGTGGCTTCCCCTACTAACCAGCATTGAGGCTGAAGCGAGGCTCTCAGACATTGGGGGAGGAGAACGGATGCGTGAGCCTGATGCCGAGGCAACACCGGGGGCGGACGGAGAAGCATCGCAAGCTGACGGCACTGCCCCTGAAACGATGCTTGAACCGTCTGCTGCTTCTGCTGAGACCCCGCATGGTGGCATGCTCAAGAGGTTCCAGGAAGCTTCGACCAGCGAACTAGAGGGAAGTAAGGCCAGCGCTGGGGTTTCCCCTCCAGGAGATGGCGGCCACAGTCAAGCTCATGACCAAGAAAGTGCAGACGATGAGCGGGAGCGGCAGGCAGGTTCGCAACCTGGGGGTTGGTCAGCGCTCAACCGCAGCTTGCGGGACAATGGCTTTGGGTCGCTGCGTTCTCCACAGGAACCAGGGTTCTTTGTGGACGTGCACGCAGTTTTCAAGGATCTTCTGAAGCAGTATGAGAGGCGGGGAGCCATGGTCCAGGTAGGGCGGAAGCTAAACTTTTCTTGACTTGACTGCCCCGAAGGCGTCCCTATCCCCTTTACTTTTTGCCGCCTGCCAATCCTTTACTGCCTCTGATTCTTAGTCTGTTAATCTACTTTCTTAAAAAGGCTCTTACGCAAGAACCAGTGCTCAGCCTGTGTATCTAACAAGGACCTGCCCTGTTGCTTTGGAAAAGGATCTTATGTGCACAACCTCAGGAGAGTATAACTTCCCCTCATTACCTGGTCGCTGGCGCAGGAGCTTCTTGGAGCCAATGAGAGTGCCAAGGAGGCGCAGTCCCAGCAACAAGCAGACTTGCAGCGGCTGGCTCACGAGAAGGAAACCCTTGAAAGCAAAGTCGAAGTTCTGGAGCACCAGGCAAAGGAGGCTGCAGAGGGGGTGGACCAGGCAAGGCTTTTCCCCCGTCCTTCCACCATTTCCGAGGTCTCGCACTGCTATTCCTCCAGAGTAGTAATCCAGAAGCATATCATCTGGGGACTGTCAACCGTGATCTGCCGTGACATGGTAATCGGGCTTTGAATAGAGTCTAATTGGGAACCGTGTCTCTCTTCTTCCAGGCGGGAGCCAACCTGGCCGAGCGGATACGGAAGCTGGAGTCTGCTAACGCTTCCCTCCAGCAGCGGTGTTCCCAGCTGCAGCATCTAGCCCGGGCCAAGGAGAGAACGGCCCAAAAGCTGCAGGACAAGCTAGAAGAGACAGTCCTGAAGGTAAGACCTTGTTTGGGATATGTTACATAATATTGTCTGTAAGGTTCAAACAAAGTAGATTTCACTTCCAATTGAAATGACGATGTGGAGCCAAATACCGAACAGATCACATGGATCGTCCTGCCTGCTGATTGAATCATCACGTCTCTGCAAAAGCCGCCAGTGGTTCCAGGAGGATATTTGAAATGAGAAGCCGAGACTGCAGGAGGAGAAGCGTCGAAGTCGTGAGAAGGACATCTATGAGAAGCTGAAGCGCAAGCTTGCGTCTGACGCGCGAGGTCGGGGGTGGGGAGATCTTGGGAAGGCAGCAGCCGTTGCTGCCAGGGAACTGCAACCAACTGTGCTGGTAAGCAGCAGCATCTTGTATACCGTTAGGAAAAGACGAAGTAACCCTTTCAAGAGCAGATGAAGCGTTTGCCTTGACTGCCGACCCTAGTTGATGCTTGAAGTCGATCTTTCTTTACATCATCAGGCCTCGACTTGAGCCTTTCTTCTTCACTTCGGCCCTCGTCATACGCTCTGGATCGACCGGTGAGTCAGTTTCTTTCGCTTTGGAACCGTTCTCAGTGCATGATCCGTCGCTCAACAGTTTCCGACCTTCCGTAGGTCGGCCTGTACGAGGCGCAGCGTGAGGCTACAGACGCGGAGCTGAGCATGTTGCGCAAGGAGCTGGCGGCGGTGCATGCGGAGCTGCGGGACAAGGACAATCTGATCATGCGCAAGGACCGCGCGGGCGGCTGGAAAACCCTCGAAGTGGGAGTGCTGCTTGAGAAGCAAATGGCGGCAGAGAAGGCGGCCAGCGAGGAGGTACCTATGTGCATCCACTCTTGGATACCAGTCACGGCCGCTGAGGCACGCTTTCTTCTGGTTCTTGAGCAGACCTCCGCAGAGGAAACTAAACCAAATTTGGGCGCGAGGATAATTCGTACTGCCAAGGCCTTGAAAGATTCCCTTCGGAAGGTCTTGTTTCTCGAAGAGCGACAAAAATCGCATTCCTACGGTCTTCTCCCATCGCCCTTGGATTCTGCTAGTGCAGATTACGCATGCCTATCGGCGAGTCCAAAACAATAAGGGTTGACCCAGCCATCAAACTCTTTCAAGTATCCACAAAGGGCTTCTTTCTACACGACCGCCTCGCCGAACTAGTCCCTCCATCTGCGTTCCCAGGCCCTCGCACTGGCGGCCCTGGAGGCCTCGCTCGCGGAAAAGCAGCAGGACGCCAATCGGCGCGTAGCGGACGCCACGAAACGGGCGGAGCAGCTGGCGGAAGAGAACGCCAACCTGCGGCTGGAACTGGAGGCGCGGCCCTCGGTGCGCGACTTCCGGGAGACGCAGCGCCTGCTCTCGCGGCTCACCCGCAAGATCGAGGTGAGACGGCAAGGGGGTATCGGGCAAAGGGACGGCAGGGCGAAGGGTGTGCTGGACGAGGGCTTTCTTTGTATGTTGCTGAAAGGTGGGGCAGAGTGCCTGCTTTCTGTTGGGCTTGGAAACTCAGCATGCCGCATTCAAAGAGGTTACTGCATAACAAGCAAGGCCAAGGCTGGGCGAAGCCTTGCTAACAAACGGCCGTTCCGGGGGAACGTGATCCGCACCACTTATCCGACTTCTTTGTCGCCCATACCCGTCGACACAATCCTAACCAATCCAGCGTAGTGGATTGCTTCGTCTCCGATGTTTGATCCACAGCCGTTGATTCAGACATCTTCTTACCGGGCTGTTACCCTGTGTAGGACATGCGCAAGCAGCAGGGAACGTGGAGCGACAGCGACTCCGAGGAGGATGCGTTAGAGGAGGCGGAGCTGGATGGCGCGGTGGCGCGCAAGCAAGAGCGGCTGCGGCCAACGCGCGAGCGCATCGCGCGAGACCGCAACGTGCATCGCTTGCGTCTCAAGAAGCTCGACAAGCTGCCCAAGGACGTCCTGCTTGAGGCGCTCCAGGTAAGGCGCCAAACACCATAGAGACGGCTAGGGGCGGAAGGGGTCCGGATGCTTTTTGCGTATGTCGAGGATGTCCTGAGTAAGAAGCTTCTTTACGGTCCTGTCTCAATATCGATGTAGTGTTCTTTTTGGCGTAACAAATTGCGGGTCAAAAGGAGCACTTGTCAACGGGCTCGAAAATGGGGAGGGGAGGGGCTCGTGTGAGAGCGTCCGAGCTCGGGGACCTGGACTTCGGTAGATCAAGTCCTTGCGAAGCACTGGTTGCTCTCAAAAAGAATGACTGTTTTCTAGATCTGGAAGTCCGAGAAGCGTTCGTACCGCTGTTTTGTGCGCCTCGTGCACTTCGAATTACCCGCCGCTCGCCTCAGACGCGCCGTTCCGCGTGCAGGACGTGTGCATCCAGGTGGAGGCGGCGGAGCTGTCGCAGCTGACGTCATCCGTGGACAAGATGCTGCGCGTGATGGCGGCGGTGCCCAAGATGGAGCGCTTCATCAGTGACGTCTGCAGCATCGTCTTCCTCGAGGGGCCACCACCCAACAGGTGCGTAGGGTACGGCTGCAATTGCTGCTGATTGCATGCATCACCATACTCACCGCATCTTAGGCTCACGACTCTGTTCTCTTCTTCAAAACCCCCCTCGGGCAATTCCTAGGTGTCCGTTGCAGACTCGCGTGCAGCTCTTCCTCCTTTCCTGAGTACAGGATAGGGCCCGCCTTGGCAGATTGGCAGCTGTCACCCGGCCTTCATTTGTCTTTTCTCCAGAAACCTGTTTCTTAACCTGCCCTGTTGCGTCGATGTTGTTATCGTGCAGCAGCAACGGTTCGAACGGCCAGCGCAGCCCGGATGCGGTACCGAGCATCCTGCGGGGCTGGATCGAGACGCTGGGAAAGGTGCGCGAGCTGGAGGAGTTCCAGGCGGTCATCGCCACTGAGCTCGGGCAGCGGCCCGAGGGCAGGCAGACGGTGCAAGGGCCCAACCTCGCAAGGTAATCCCTCCTTTCACATTACTGACCCCTTGCTGTAGTAGCGTCGTTGGCGGGTTATCCAGCGGCTCTTTTTGAACCTCGAAAGCGAGTCAAGATGCAGGAGTCTAGAAAGAGAGCATCCTTGTCCTCGCCCCTGCATGTCTTCGCGAAGCGGTTATTCTGCCTTGGACGATTCGCAGGCCCATTTCGAGAAGCATCTCTCTTAGAAACACGCTGCCTGCACGGGCGTCCGCCTCGTCTCACCCGTCCGTCTCGTCCCTGTCTGCCCCCAGAAACTGCGCAGCGGCTGTGAAGGAGTTGGTGGGCTTGGAGCGCGAATTCCTGCTGAAGGAGGCCACGTTCCGCCAGGCCGAGGGCCTCGTGCTGGCCGACCCCGAGCGGCTTATACACAAGATGCTCGCGCACTTCCAGGTGCAATGTCCTCGCGCTTTCGCACCCGGCTGCGTCCGTTTTGAGATTCCTCAGTTGGTTGCCAAGAGCATTTCAAGAATCTTCTCTTTTTTTCAAAGTGTATAAACACGTTTTTCTCTGAGAGAGGTGCTTTGACGACGGAATCGGTCGGGAATGAGTGCATCGGCTCCAACAGAAGCCGCCCACAAAAGGCCGTAGCTGTTAGAAGGCGGATACAATTGTTTGCATGACCTCACCTGGCCTCGCTTGTCTCCACTTCTTCAGCGGCTGTTCGAGGTCCCCCGGCTGGACGGCGTGTTCGCCCGGATCAACGCCGTGTATAGCCAGTACTCAGAGCACCACAACTTCCTGCGCGCCCTGCGCTCGCTGCTGGGCCTGCCTGACAACGCGGGCACCGGCGCTTGCATCGCCCGCATCAGGGCGCTCCTGGATCAGGTAAAGCAATGGTCCGCACAGAGTTAAGTACCAGCAGATTCAAGCGCTCACGATGTCAACATTGCTTATGTTAAGCCAGCGCGACCGTGAGCTCAACAAGATTTCAAGAGCGCTTGACGTGCATTTGCGTTACCAGGTCAGGACCGACGTGGTAAATGATGGAGTTTCTAAGCAGAGCAGCTTCAAATTCTTAGAAACAATAGTGCCCAACGGCAGACGCGTGAGTCGAGTTACTGTACGGATGCGAATTCCATTGTGCAGGACGGGCGGGCGCGTGCCTTGGTGCCGGAGTACGTCCTGGGGGAAAAGAGGAACGGAGCTGCGGCAGGCGCATCAGCCTCGGGCCGACCCGCAGAGGAGCCGACCGGCGACAAGGTTGGCCGTCGAGAGGTTGGAGATTCCCTTGAATGTCTGCTGACTTCCTTATGAGTGGGGTCAACACGACTTGGCACCTGGTCCTTGCTTTCCACTGTTCAGAATCTTCCGTCAGCTTTCTGAGCATTTAAGCGGAGGCCATTTTGACCGTCTGTGCTCTGCCAGCAGTTGGCAACACATGAGAAGCTGAAAGCTATATTCACATCTACAAACGGTCAAGTGTGCTTGGGCACTGCAAATGTCATGAGGAACCTGCACAGCTCGTCTACTTAGAAACCACAAAAAAATGAACGCTTTGGTGGCGGCCGTCTCCACTCTCTCAAGTCGAAGGTTTCCTCAGAAATTCGTACGCTCTTTGCAGGTCGTCAACAAGCTGCTTCGACTGTTCCACCAGTCCGACGAGAAGCAGTTGGTTGCGCATTGCGAGACGATACTCTCAAGGTTGCAGCGCCACACACAGGTGCTCCCTCGTTACCAGAGTGTTGTCAACGAGTTGTACGACCTTCTAAGAGTGGCAACCTTAGATGCCATTGTCCCTGCTGTCAGAGCTCTGAAACATGTGTAGGTAAGTCAAACGCACTCTTCGATGTCGTCCTTCGAGGAGGTGATGTCTTTGGCAACGTAAGGTGCCATATCAATTGTAAAGAAAGTGTATGTGAAAGTCAGCCCGAGCCCTTACGCCAAGGTTGACCCACTTTGCCCGTCCGCCCTTCATATCCGCTTTCATGAATCAAAGCGGAAAACGGACACGGGAAAGTTAATAGGGCAATAGTCCCTTGTCTAAGCATGCCAGCTCGTCATCCTCGCATCCACGTGATAACAAAATGTGGCCCCAAGCATGTTTCAGCAACCCATGTTTGCGAACATATATAACGGGTGAAATACAATAGGGTTGACCAGCCGGTAGGATAAACGACATGAGAGTCACAGGGTACAATACATGCATTGAGATAATATTCAGATTCGATGTGCAAATGCATGCCTGTATGGTGAGCACCGGCCGAGCAATGGTAAACGGAATCCTGTTTTAAACACACCCCGGATCAGTACCACATAGTGATTTTTCATAACCGTGTACCGGTATACCAATCTCTCAACCCTGCTGTCTCCTGTAATTCATTTTCTTTCATTTGAACTAGTCCCGAAGAGGGCTGGCATGGGTTCGACAGTAACTGTAGGGTTACTGGTAAACTCCAATTCTTGTGAGGGTTTGAAATTCTCGCGCTTGAATGATGAGAGGACGAAGGAAAATAGTCCACATCTAGTTCGTTCGTTGAAACCGACGAATCCGGGGTACACAATGAGAACGTGCCGCCCAGACTGAGGACAGCCCAGCACCGTACTCCAAAGCCCACAAACCGTAGACCACGGTGGAAATCCCCTTGATCCAGAATGTACCCAAAAACGCGCGCACCATCGCGTTGCAGTTCCGTAAATATCTAGAGCGGTCCCTCACCGTCTTTGAATTGCGCGCTCGCGAGCCAAATTTGTAGCCTGGGTACACACGAAATGCGGGTCGTATGTCTCCATGCTGGGTATTATGCAGCGCACCATCAATGACTTCAGTCAAGGACGACATCAAAGGCTCATATTCTTGAAAGCTTCGATCGAAGGCGAGGAAATGCGGTCAACAGCAAGGAGCACGACTTGGAACAACGCAATAGCCGGTGTATGGGCAGACGAATTAGGTTGGGCAGGGGTCTTGCAGAGGGAAGGTCCAAGTCCAAGCTGCAAGTTGGCGTTCAGGAAAGAGGCTTCTTAGGTCTCTCCGTTGGGTTCGACATACATTCTGTCCAACCACACTGCAGCATTTAGATCTAGCAACTTGGAGGGTCTTCTGTGGCCACGGGACCAGAGCTTAGGGGGCAAATTACTAGTTGCAAGGTCTTCGTGAGCAATATATGCGACCGGCAAAGCATAGCCTGCTATAGGGTTATGTTTCTTGCTCAGAACGGTCAAGGGGCAGGAAGCCATAGCTGATTTTGTTGCACTGCTTGTGCCGCCAGTGCAGAAGGCAGCGGTACACAGAATGGGGATTGTGTTTCATAGATCTCTTATTCAGTAAGCCTTAGTAATGTCGACGTTCGAGACATCCTGCTAGTGTGTACTGTGCAAGTCAATAATTACAAAGTTCAGGGTTCTCCAAGGTTGAGCTCAGGATGGCGGGTCATGCAGTCACCACTGGCTCTCTTGTCTGGGTAGAAGATGAGAATGAGTCTTGGACAGAGGGAGAAGTTTTATCCGTTAGTGGGGATGAAGCAACCGTCAAGACAGCAATAACAACGGTGAGAAACCTGTAATAGACGATGAGTGCAGTTTTGCATCTCATGTGGAGCAGCTGACCCTGTCTCAGCTCTCCCTTAAGGGTTTAGTCTCCTGCCTAACTCCTGCATCTCTCATGTGAAAACACCAGTTTATTTTTCTTCTGCAGGTCTCTGTTCGCTTGAAAGACATTCAGCCGAGGGATCCTGATACCCAGCCACATGGCACGGATGATATGACAACGCTGTCGTATCTGAGTGAGCCTGGGGTGCTCTACAACCTGAAATGCCGCTATGGTGTTGATGAGATCTATGTGAGAAGACCCTCCAGCTTATGTCTTGAAACTTTACAAAATCTATTCCTGCTCGGACAGGGGACTCGCACATTGTTGTTGCAAAGCAAGGAGCAATGCGTGACTGTAAAAAGGACAATGGCTGAGAAGTGCATTGCTGTGAGGCAGCAGTGAGAAGCAATGCGATAAAGTAAGATTGAGCTGCACAGGTTCGCGTAGGTGGTCTTAAGAACATGTCCTCCCTGAGCTTTTGCACTCACAGAACCTTCCCCGTTGCAGACATACACCGGCAACATCCTGATCGCTGTGAATCCATTCCAAAAGTTGCCACACCTGTACGACGCCTCGATGATGGAGCAATACAAGGGGGTCCAATTGGGGGAGTTAAGCCCCCACGTATTCGCCGTCGCAGACAGTGCTTTTAGGTAAGATACTGTCCCTGACTATTCCATCAAACAGGGTGTTTCTGAGAAGGAGAGAGCATATAATCGGGTGCATTGGGGTGTGTGGTATCATCAGGTAGACTCTTCAAACTTTTAGCATGACATATGTTGATGCCTAAAATACTCTCACTGCAGGGCCATGCTGGATGAAAAGAAAAGTCAGTCCATTCTCGTAAGCGGAGAAAGTGGAGCTGGCAAGACAGAGACAACAAAGCTCATTATGCAGTATCTCGCATACATGGGGGGTAGGGCAGATACAGACGGGCGAACGGTTGAGCAGCAAGTTCTAGAGGTGAGACTTAATGATGCATTTGGCTGGGAAGCCCTCCGCTTCTTGAAATGCACAAGGTCAAGCTGTCTGCAGGCAATTCCGTCGCCATTGCTTCGACAAGTCTGGCGGGCCTAAGAATACTATGAAGGCCTTGGATCAAGTTGAGAACGAAGTTGTGTGGCTTCCGTGTACTTACTCTTGCTTATCTAACATCAGCTTTCCACTTGTATCTGTGCAGTCAAATCCTCTTCTAGAAGCCTTTGGAAACGCAAAGACGGTCCGAAACAACAACTCCAGGTAAGATCTTTGTTTCAAAGATTCGTCCATCAAACACAGTAGTCTCTGTCATGAGTTGGAGTCGATATTACTCGTTAATGCTTCAAGACTGCCAGGTTCATGAAAGATGTGGCAGCCAAGCTGTCTGCAAACGGTCAAAAGTTGATCGGCCATTGATCCGAGGGGCCAGGCAAACGATTCATACCCAAGCAGGGTCTGTCTGAGTATGAGTCGAATTGGAGGTTGACTTCGAGCCCTCGTGGTCACTACGGTATCAACTTCTGTTTTGACCTTTGCGGTCTCCTGTTGCAGCCGATTCGGAAAGTTCGTGGAAATCCAATTCGACAACGCGGGACGTATTTCGGGAGCTGCTGTCCGGACGTACCTGCTCGAACGGTCCCGCGTGGTGCAAATCACAGATCCCGAGCGCAATTATCACGCCTTCTATCAGCTCTGTGCTGGAGCGTCAGCGGAGGTGAGTCTCATGACAATGCACAAACGCAGTCCATCAGCGATTGCACAGAAGGATCAGTGCAGTTGGCCAGGCGTGGAGCTACTTTTAGCCGCTCCCGATTCAGGCTGATTGTCCGTGTCTTCAAACCACAGGAGAAGGCGAGGTACAAGCTTGAGGATGCGAGGTCGTACCACTATCTGAATCAGAGCTCGTGCATCGACCTGAACGGTGTGGACAACGCAGAGGAGTATGGGAGGACCAAACACGCCATGGACGTGGTGGGAATCAAAGTGGAAGACCAGGTAACGAACGATAATCTTGGCCCTGGAATACGTTTCCGGTATCGCTTTGCCTTTGCTTTGGAATCGGACCTCGTCGATCCGTCCGAAAAGGGGCAGCAGATATATGGCCTGAAAGGCAACGGGAACGTAGGAGCAGAGCATGCTTAAAGCATGACGCAGGGTGCTTACACTTGAACGGACGGTGACACATACTGTCCTTGTGCGAGCAGGAGGCCATCTTTCGAGTCTTGGCAGCCATCCTCCACCTTGGAAACGTGGAGTTCGTGGCGGGAGACGACGGTGATTCGTCGAGACCGAAGGACGATGCGTCGCAGTTTCACCTCGACGCGGCTGCAGAATTACTCCAGTAAGGCCACAATGCATTCTAGCACAGTGATTGTCTTGCTCTTATCCTTCTTGGACGCAGCAACTATCATGTTCGGACCTCTCGTCTTGCATCATTATTTATCTCCAACCCTTGACAACCTTGCCTCAGCACCCAGGGCCTCTCACCGTTTCAAAAACGCTTTTTCGCTGACGCAGTGCCTGCTTCTCGCAAATAGGTGCAGTTCGCAGGGGCTGGAAGACTCACTTTGCGTCCGCATCATTGTCACGCGGGATGGGGACATTCGGAAGACGCTGGACCCAGTCGCTGCTGTGAACAATCGAGACGCTCTTGCCAAGACCATCTACTCCCGGCTCTTTGACTGGTATGCTCACCTTTTCCTTGTCAGCAACTTTGATTCGGACCGATTCATGCAAAGTTCGCGCGAAAAGAGTCATCATTGAACGACTATCCTGACTTCTAGATGCCTCTTCATATGAATTTAGTCCCGTTGCAGAGCACCTGGCTTTATACCCAGTCGCGATACCCAGTCGCGCGACTATCAGGGAGTCTCAGGAAGGTCTCCCGCTATTTTCCGCTGTTTGAAAGACCACAAGATCCGTTCTGTACATTGCGTAACTCCCGGCACCAATCTTACATTCCCGTGGTTGATGGGGCGTCGCGGCTCTGCAGGCTTGTTCAGCAGATCAACGAGTCGATCGGCCAAGATCCGAACTCGAAGGTCCTCGTGGGCGTCCTGGATATCTACGGGTTTGAAAGCTTCCAGCAGAACAGCTTCGAGCAATTCTGCATCAATCTTGCGAACGAGAAGTTGCAGCAGCACTTCAACCAGGTAAGCGTCAGGCAGTCTGCACGGCTTCGGTAGATGACCAACGGCTCCGTCACTTGGTATTCGACAGGGGCTGGAGGCTAGGCCAAGGGCTTACATCGTCTGATCACAACATGCTCCTGAAGGGTGCAGCATAAAGAATTTCATTGTCGATAAACATGAACATTTGACTTGGCTCTCTGGGACCCTTAAGTATGTTTGCCATCAGGCTTCTTGTAGTCGCTGGTAGCCCGACAAAGTGGCGGCTAGCACGTTGCAGTCCCGTTTACCACGAGTGGCCTTTCGCCGTGCAGCACGTGTTCAAGATGGAGCAGGAGGAGTACGAGAAGGAGGCCATCAACTGGAGCTACATCGAGTTCGTGGACAACCAGGACGTGCTGGACCTCATCGAGAAGAAACCCATTGGCATCATTGCCCTCTTGGACGAAGCCTGGTGAGGCAAAGGCCTGCATAATGACGGGGGTCATCGTGAATTTTTTTTGGCTAGCCTGTCTTTAGACGAGTACCCGCAAAGGTAGTTCGCTCTACACTGCGAAACACCCCATAAGATCTGCATCTGCCTGCTTTGCAGCCGGGCCCTCTTCTTTTTTTCTGCTCTGAACCTCCCAAGCGGTCATAAAGAGTCTGACTGAAATCAAATGTGATTTCTGCAGCCTGTTCCCGAAGTCGACGCACGACACGTTCGCCACCAAGCTGTACAGCTCCCTTAGTAGCAACGGGCGGTTCTCCAAGCCCAAGCGTTCTCAGACGGACTTTGCGATCGACCATTATGCGGGCGAGGTGGTGTACCAGACGGAGCTGTTCCTGGAGAAGAACAAGGACTACGTGATTGCGGAGCACCAAGCGCTGCTCGGGAGCGCCGGGGATGCGTTTGTCAGGCAGCTCTTCCCGGCGCCCGCTGACGAGGGCAACAGCAAGTCGGGGTACAAGTTCTCGTCCATCGGAACCCGATTCAAGGTACGGGTCAAGCTCGGAAACTTTGCATGATCCCATTCACGCAGCAAATATTCAGATTCACTGGAAAGCAATTCTTAGTTTCCTCTGTGCATTTCGTATGATTAGAGAATTTTCAATGCTAAGCAAGGGGGTTTATGAGACCCAGCTGTTGAACGAGTTTCTAGAGGATATCTGCCCAGTCGCTTTCAGCTCGGTAGTCTTGATAGCTAATTTTGTTCGTGTGCTTTTTCTTTGCAGCAACAATTGGCGCTACTGATGGAGACGCTGTCTCACACCGAGCCGCACTACATCCGCTGCGTGAAACCAAACCAAAAGCAGAAGCCGTTCATCTTCGAGAGCGTGAACGTGATGCACCAGCTTCGCTGTGGAGTAAGTACAGTCAGGCAGTCGTTTTTATCGTCGCTAATGGACTTTGCACAGAGGTGGAAAAATCAGCCTCGACTCGCTGTTTTCCTCCGCCACTCCTGGGCAGCATTATCTTCCGCTAAACCCGCTTCGGGACGGCATGCTGGCGTCGGTTGTTGACGTCGTAAGAACTGAGCTTTTTTCGCCCGCATGCTGTCGCTCATTTTGGCCCGTATGTCCGTGCAGGGAGTGTTGGAAGCTGTTCGTATCAGCTGCGCGGGGTACCCTACACGGAAAACGTTCGAGGAGTTCGTGGACAGATTCGGCCTTTTGGCTGCTTCCATCCCGAATGCAAGGTACAGCCGTCTCCTTGTTGGTGCTCTCTTGCTTTCCTAGGGCGTATTGGCCTTTTAGTCTCGGGCAATTCGTATCTCCAGCTGTCATCCATTTAGAAAAGTATAGCATCTGGTTTCTCCATCTTTGAAACTGCCTTTGCTGCCGAACTCTGGCACGATTGGGATCTTTAACTCTATTGGGACCGTAACACGTGTCTTACTTTTCCTGCAGCGACGACGAGAAGGTGCTGACGCAGCAGATCTTAGAGAAGGAGGGGTTGTCCAACTACCAGCTGGGCAAGTCGAAGGTGTTCCTGCGTGCGGGCCAGATGGCGCAGCTGGACAACCGGCGCGCCGAGGTGCTCAACGCGGCCGCCAAGACGATCCAACGGAAAGCGCGATCCTTCTTGGGGAGGAGGTGGTTTGTGCGCGTCAGGCAGGCCACGCTGACGATTCAGCGCTGCTACAGGGGTGAGAACGAAGGGCTTTCTCTGTGGGCATAGCTGTATGTCACGAACAAGCAACATGTTGCCCGTATTGCATCTGCCTGTTCTTGACTTGGCTGGTTCTGTGGGAAGTCGTACTCACGCGTTGGTTGTGCTGCAGGACATTTGGGGCGGAAGGCGTTCGAAGCGCTGCGGAGGGAGGATGCTGCCGTCCGCATCCAGAAGACCGTGCGGCGGCACCAGGCGGAGCAGTCGTACAAGCGGCAACGGCACGCTGCCATCGTGTTGCAGGCGGGGGCGAGAGGGATGAGCGCGCGAAAGCAGGCCAAGGCGCTCAGGCGGGAAAAGGCAGCGACGGTCATCCAGGTAGGCATCCAATCCGTTCCGTCATTTAAGTGCCTCTTCAAGTAAACGTATTGATTGTACAGAAGCACCCTCTTATTGGCTGAGGAGTTGCTTAATCAGGTTTGGAGAGCATGTGTTGCTTGAGCCACTGCTTCTCTTTTCAATCGACCTCCTCACATAAGTGCGTTCATTGTGCTGCGGACAACCATCTCTCTTAATGGAGCTTTGTGCACTGGCTCCCAATCCCTCTCCTTCGATTGTGTCGAGTGCCTAACGACTCGACACCACCGTTTGCAGACACGGTGGCGGGGTTACAAGGCGAAGAGCGGTTACAAGAAGCTGCAGAGGGGCGTCCTGGTGGCACAGTGCCTGTACCGGGGCAGGCTGGCCCGGCGCGAGCTCAGGAAACTCAAGCTGGTGAGCTTGTATTTCAATACACTCCTGTGGCCTTCCTAGCATCGTAATGTTTGTCTCTCTTGCAGCACCTGTTCGTCCGCACATTGCAATTCTACCTCGTCAAGAGCAACTCTAGGGCAATAACAATCTTCTGACTCTCAAGTGACGGTTGAGAGTAGTCGGATTCCGGCATCTTTTGACATCAAGAGGCTCTGAAGACTCCACAAGGACATCAACTAGACGATCTGGTGTGGCATGTATCAGTTACGTTAGCTGGCACTGCTACAGCAAGGTTCCTCTCATCTGAGGCCGTTCCTGGTCCTTGTGCAGGCTGCGCGCGAGACGGGCGCCCTACAGGCGGCCAAGTCGAAGCTGGAGAAGCAGGTGGAGGAGCTGACGTGGCGGCTGCAGCTGGCGCAGAAGATCTCGGAGCAGAAGGTGGCGGAGGTGCACCGCCTGCAGGCGGAGCTCAAGGACGCCAAGGAGCACGCGGAGCAGGCGCAGGCCACGCTGGCCAAGGAGCGCCAAGAACACAAGGCCGACATCAGCGCCGCCAAGTCGTCGTCAGCGGAGGTGGCGGTCGCAGGGGTGTCGGCGAAGGCGTCGGCGGAGCTGCTGGCCAAGTACGAGAAGCTGGTGTCGCAAAACGGTCAGCTCATGGTGAGGACGGCCCCGCGGGAGCATGCTTACACGCGCTCGTCAATCTTTTCTGAAGAAGCCCTGTCACCCGCAGGGCTTCGTTTATAATGAGGCAGAGGGATGATCAAGCGTGGTAGAAAGTATCTGAACCATCTGGAATCTATGCTTCCTACCTTTATCCGGAGCCAAAGGCCTAGATCAGGCATTGCCCCTTGGGTCCTGCTTTGTCCCGCCCATTCTTTGGCGACATGCTTGGCTAGGAACTTCGGAGCAGAACGTCTGCACTATCCAATTCAGAAACTGGCACCGCTCATGCAATCTCCCGTTGACTACCTGCCCGCAGCAAATGATGGACGAGGCGAACAACCGCGCAAACAACGCGGAGGCTCGGCTGTCGCGGTTCAAGGAGGTGGAGACGCGCGCCAAGAAGCTGGAGGCGCGGCTCGAGTCCGAGGTGCGCAAGGCGGAGGAGCTGAACGACAAGCTGGCCGCGCTGGAGCAGGAGAACAAGGTGCTGCGCCAGGGCGCGCTGGTCAGCCCCGGAGTGGCCTCCCGCAGCCGCATCAGCCGCGTGTCGGGACGGCAGCTGAGCCTGGAGAACGGGGACGAGCTCGGCGAGGACGGGGCCGAGAGCCCGGGCGGGGAGCTGGCGCGCAAGCGCGAGAAGCTGGTGATCGACCACACGCAGCTGCTGGCCGACCAGGAGGAGCTGCTCAAGGTGCGGCGCGCACATTTTTCGTGTCTGTTTCGTAAAGCTTCATTTTCGCGACGCTTGCTTTACATTGCCTAAGAGGGTATTTCGGAACCCGCTTAGGAGCTGGTGTGTTGACCGTCCTGTTCGGACGGGCGGGTGACCTGCCTCTGATAGGGGAAAATCTTTGTAAAGTGCTACTCGACCGTTGCTTATGAGTATGCTTGTCTTTACAGGTGGTGATGACGGAGGTGGGCTTCAGCCACGACCGGCCCGTGGCCGCGTGCGTCATCTTCAAGTCGCTGCTGCACTGGCACTCGTTCGAGGCGGAGCGCACCAACGTGTTCGACCGCATCATCCAGAACATGGGCCTCGCCATCGACGGCAACCAGGAGAACAACGAGATCCTGGCCTACTGGCTCTCCAACACCGCCACGCTCCTCTCGCTCCTCCAGCGCACGCTCAAGGCCAGCGCCAGCAGCGGGGCCACCAAGAAGAAGCAGCTCAACGTCAGCCTGATGGGCAGGCTCACGCAGGTGCGGCGCGCAGGGGCTCTGGTCACCTCCCGGCTGCATGTCGCCCCCAAAGACCAACCTCTCGAAACCAGAGGCTAGGAATGGATGTGGGGCTGTTGAATCACAATCCGGCTGCATGTCGTCTTTGAGAGTCGACGTTTCAAAACGCAGTGGCCGATAAGGCACTTGGGGCTGTGTGCACAGCTCAAGGGTTATCTCCGGAAGTACATGGGAGGTCTTCACCCTCATCCGACGTTCTCTTCATTCCCCAGGGCTTCCGGACGGCGACCGGCTCTGGCCCCGCTCTCAGCACCAGTCCCAGCTTCGGCAACGGCGCGTCGCCTGCCGAGCACGGCGGCTCGCCAGGGACGCCGCGGCAGGTGGAGGCCAAGTACCCGGCGCTGCTGTTCAAGCAGCAGCTGACGGCCAACGTGGAGAAGATCTACTGCATGATCCGGGACAACCTGAAGAAGGAGGTCACGCCGCTGCTGGGGTCGTGTATCCAGGCCCCGCGCGCCAGCCGGCTGAGCACCGGCAAGACCATGGTGCGCTCGCCCAGCGCGGCGCACCCGCCGTCGGCCACGCCCATGACGCTAAGCAGCCACTGGCACAGCATCATCAACAGCTTCAGCCAGCTGCTCAACACCATGCGCGCCAACCGGGTGAGCTGCGACCCCCAAACATTCCTTGGATAGATGCGTGCACGAAGTAAGTCTTTCTGTTTGAATGTTTGCGGGGCCTATCAGGACGTCACAGCCGATGTCATGACAGTTCTCAGAAAACTTCTGTATAACTGGTCAACAAACTTGGACCTTTCTTGAGGATGAACTGCACCGACGGAACGGCAAGTGGCTTGGTAAGTTTGATACATTGGCGCTAGAAACGGTTAATGTTCGGTCAGCTCGACGCACAGCTGACCGTGCTTATGATGTTGGGGTTTTGTCTTTTAACCAACATCAAACTCAAGGGTTGTGCCTGCACCTGACTTCCGCTTGTTGTCCCCTGCAGGTTCCGCCGTTCCTGGTGCGGAAGCTGTTCACGCAGATCTTCTCGTTCGTGAACGTGCAGCTGTTCAACAGCCTGCTGCTGCGGCGAGAGTGCTGCTCGTTCAGCAACGGCGAGTACGTCAAAGCGGGCCTCGCCGAGCTGGAGCACTGGATCTACGAGGCCTCCGAGGAGGTGCGGCCGCAAAACATCCCCACAGCACAAGCAACTGAGAGGTCCTTGCAGTGGATTAGTTCCTGCTTTAGGATGAGCCGCTGGAAGGGTGTTTGCCGTTGTGTCATTGATTTCGGGTACCCTTAAGACTCTCGCCCAAGCTAGCAGGGAGCAGGCATGCGGGTGCCCCTAAGAGGTCTGCTCCGTGCGTTCATCTAGTTTTCAAGATCGTTTCTCGCACAAATATGAGCAAGCGTTGCTTCTCCGTGTATCTGGAGCACAAAGCGGTTCTGTGACGTGGTGCAGTACGCGGGTGCGTCGTGGGACGAGCTGCGGTACATCCGGCAGGCGGTGGGCTTCCTGGTGATTCACCAGAAGCCGAAGAAGTCGCTGGACGAGATTACGCACGACCTGTGCCCCATCCTGAGCATCCAGCAGCTGTACCGCATCTCCACCATGTACTGGGACGACAAGTACGGCACGCACAGCGTCGCGCCCGAGGTCAGCGCGCGACACCCTCCGGACGATCTTGTTTACTTGGAGCCCGTCTGTATGCAGGACTGGCGATCTCTGCAGCTCGTGCACGGTCCGTGTGTTTTTATTGTTCCAACCGGGGGTGTCAAGCATTTTGACCGGGTCTTGTTGTGCTCTGTGTCAGGTGATTGCGCAGTTGAGAGTGTTGATGACGGAGGACTCCAACAGCGCGGGCAGCAATTCTTTCCTCCTGGACGACGATTCAAGGTGAGCTTCCTCGCAGTCCCACGTTTCGATCTGGCCGTCGTAGCCGTATCACGGTTGCATCCAATGGTAGACGTGATCTCCTGGCTGTAATTCAGCCGGATGCCCCCATAGGACTGCATTTTCAACCTGAGTTGATCCTCAACCACAACGTGACAATCATGCACCAGCTTGCTTCGATCCCGCTTAATCTTTTGCATTGTCGCCTTGCAGCATCCCCTTCTCCATTGACGACATTTCAAAGTCGGTGCCTGCGCTTGACGTCAACGAAATCGAACCACCTCTGCCTCTTCAAAGCAACCCGTCCTTCGCATTTCTTATGCCAACAGCGGATGCTTCGTAATTGTTACAAACCAGTCGGGTGAATACACGTGGACAGACGGTAAAGTAGTTGCGGGATTCGTGAGTGAGTCGTCAGGAGTGTAAAGTCAAACTGTAGTCGCCTCAACCAAGATTGTTTGCACAGCTTGTGCGTTCGGTTGGCATGCTTAAGTTTCTGACTTGATCGTATCATTCCTGATAAAAGTTGAGGACGATTATTTGAATTGATCTGAATACTTTGAGTTCATGAGCTTTGAACTTATACCACTTTTCGGTGGTTGTACTGCATGCCATGAAAGCCAGACGATCTGGTTGAATCGAGCCTAGTTTGACTAGCTGTATGGTGTATACCATGAAATCATATCAGCCATGCTTAATCAAGATTAGCACCGTCTGTGTCCAAAATGCATTAGCTTATATATAAAATTCATATAAAGCGGTTGAATGCAATGGATCTACCAAACCAGCAACCAGCTAGTAGCTCTATAATTAACGTATAATCGCGACGGCCTTTGCAGATCTTATGGTCTCCCACTCATCAGACGGCAGGTGACGATCTTCGAATCCATATATACCGCGCGCCAATTATTATATGTGCAATGCATGATTAAATGCGTCCAATATGGACAGTCCATATACGGTATATCGATCAATTACTGAGCTGCCAACCAGGCTCACATGTGATCATATATACAAATATCATGTCCATGATAATGGTACGGGATTCCCAGCCGCGCCTCGGCCAGCAGGCTCGAGCCTGCTGGACCATTTGCTCGACCGCAGGCCGCTACTACAGCGTTGAACGTACGCTGCCAGGAGAGACTAGGCTATACATGATGTACGTCAGCCAGCCGCGCCATTCATAACAAACTTCGTGGGGACGAAGTAATCTGGCACCTCAACAACGTCTGCGCATCACTCAAATGTCACTGTCTTGGGGACGTTCAAAGGTCCGAGGACGGTCTGATCAGGCTGTTGGACATGCAGGGACTGGTACAAGAGGAGACGAGCTTGTCAGATTGTGACAGAACCGAACTACTGATCCCGTTCATTGGGAATGGCCACCGCAACTGTTATCGTGGCAAGCAAGTCTTTCCTTATCGCATCAAATCAAGCTAAAGTAACATAACAGGAGGCGTCCACCTTGAAACAATGAACACGAACATACTCTGCAAACTGTACTCAAGAGTGAGAGGCACAATCTGCTGAAAAGAACCCGCTGCCTGCTGAGCAGGTTGACCCCTTACACAAACAATCACCTTAAGCTTTGACCATTTTATATTCTCAGCGGTGCAGCGAATCCGTCCAGCATCACAGCCACTGCTTGGAGTTGCCTGCGGAAGGGGCAGACAGGCAAGCAAGTCAGGAGAGCACGCTTTTATACGTCTCTCACGAACGTTTGAGAAAGTATCCTCTTAGAAGAAGGGGCCAAGCAGACGAGTGGGTTTGCGAGGTTGGTCGAAGCCGCAAATCCCATCCGACGACAGAAAGCAGGCATGGACGGCACTTACTGTGTCACGGACACGTCTTCCACTGCGGCCCCCGGCCCCTCCGAATGCCCGAACTTCTCCGCTTGTTGCATCAAGGGGGCGAAGTCCACCAGAGACTCAACCCGGGAAAAGTCCCCCGGCTGTCCCCCGGGGCTTAGGGGCTCTTTCGAGCAGCCCTGAGGCAGTAAGCCCATGGCATTGACGGTGGAAAGGAGGCCTCGCAAGACGAAGACGCTGGGCAGAATGTCCTCGGAGGGAGCGGCGTCTGAGGGAGCCAAGGCGGCAGGCGCTTCCGATGGGGATGGCAGGAGGGGTTCGGCGCACGCAGCTTGCAGCGCGGCGACAATGGCGGCGTCCGGCAGAGGCGGCCTGCGCAACAAGGGGTGGAGTGAACGAACTTCAGCTTAAATAGAGATGAGGGCTCGAAGGCACAGGACAGCGCAGCAGCGGGCAGAGTCAGGCTGGATCAGTTGCTCGTGGCCAGTGGCAGTGGCTGTGCTGCCAAGGAGCGAGATCCGACCCGGCAAAAACTGCTGAACCAAATGTGAAACCTCCGAGCACTTTTAGGTCACCGTCCAGATGAGCCGTTCCTTTCCGCAATGACACGCTGCAAGGATGCGGCGAGGGCCCCCCCTAACCTGTTGCTTAGTGCGAGCAAGCACCGCAGCGCGTAGGCGTACGTCCTGATGTGCGGCCGCACGAGTGCCGCCGCCCACGTCAGCACACCCCGCGCTTCCAGAGTGTTGGCATCCGGATCCCGAGAGGCAGGCCGCAGCTGACGGCCCCCGTCCAGGGACAGCACCGCTTCCTCTGCGCAGCACGGGAGGAACCTCAAAACACTGTGATGCACGGGGGGGAACTCCGTCTTTCACAGAGTAGGCGCTGGTGGAGGACTCAGAGAGGCTACTTCTCTGCCTCATAACTGCGAATTCTCATTTCGGTAAAAGGAGCGGAACTGTTTGCCCGAAAAGTTGCCACAGCGTCGTTCCCTCTAAAACGACGAAACAGGGAGTGCCAAGTATGATCGAGTCAGTCCCCCCACCTTGCACCAGCCGGTCCAGGTACGCCGCCAGCTGCTCCTCCCACAGCGCGTCTGTGTCGGCCGCCCCAACGAGCGGGTCGAATTCCGCGCGCATGAGCCGCCGCAGCCAGCGTGCTTTCTCGGCGATAGTGGAGCGCGGGATGGTGGACCGCCGGCGGGCCGTGTCGCCGGCCCGGGTCTCGCTGAGCGCCGAGGCGAATGCACAAGCCACAAGGGCCTCGCCAGCGAACAGGTATACCAGCTGCAAAAGTAGAGAGTGGCCGCGTCTTAGGTGGACCAGTGAATCTTTTAATTAAGACATAAAAGCAGTGTGTGAATAGAGCAGCGGTTGAAGGTGGTGTCAGCAAGCAACCGGCCGAAGAGCAGCCCAAGAATACGAGAGTGAGTGTTCCGCATCAACCCTCGATACGTTAGGATTTCAAATCTCTGGAAGTGTGAAGCCGACAAGTGAAGAAGCTGTCAGGCGGGATGGACAGTCCCAGAACCCTCGTTGGCATCGATCCAACTACCCAGAGCTCCAGAGACGCAGGTTCTGAGAAAGCAACCGCAATCGAATGTCGTTTCCCGTTCGAGCCTGCTTGCCACACTGTTGCAGCACACTTCCATTGCGTCCCTGGACCACCTACGTCCACTCACCTGGTTGCAGTGGTACTGCAGCGTCAGCCGGCGTTGGGGACTCCTCACCGCCCGCATCCTCGTCCCGCACACGCTCACACACGGCCCCAGCAGCCGTACCCCCTCCTCCACGGCTTCTTGCGCCGCCTCTCTGCCCCAGGGGACACCTCCCGCCACTGCGATTTGCCCCCCCCGGGCCAGGACCTGCCACCCGACATAGTCGACCGCGGCCGCACACTCTTCTCGCTCGAGCCCCGTCCCGTCTCTGGCCGTCAAGAGCGCGACCGCCACCAGCGCGGTCGGCGTGGCCGCCACGCTGCGCCGGATGGCCGCGCCTACTTCTTCCCCGAGCGCGGCCACTAGCTCGCGCCGCTGCTCCTTGCCCACGTATACCCGGTCGATCGCGGGCTCGCCCGTCGCGGCCGGCACGCTCAGCGCCTCCGCTTCGCCGGGCTCGACAGGCAGCTCCCTGGGAGGGGGTGATGGCACGCCCGCGCCGTCTTTTAACAACTCGGGTTTATGTACATTCGAATCAATGTATTCGTCCTTTTTACTTGTTCCTTTGTCGGCGGTCTTTTCATCTACATCCGTATCTAATTCGCCATTGCTAGGCTCTGCTTTGCTTTCCGCCGCCGTGGCAGAAACAGTTTCTACCTCTGGAACTCCTCCCTTCGCCTCGCCATCTGGGGACTCAGCAGTGGCCCGCTCCGCCTTCTCGCTGCTTCCGTTTCCGTTCCAAGACTTTCGTGCATCCTGCACAGGCGACGTCGGCGGCCGCCTGCTGCTGGCTGCCTTCACGAGCTGGGGGCTGGGCATGGGGGCCTTGCTCCCCCCCGCTGCATTGAACTGCGCCGCAAGAGCTCCCACGGCACTAGCCCGGCGTTCTAGCGAGCGACCCTTCTCGGGCTGGGGGGACGGCGGAGCCTTCTCGGCCTCGTGCACTGGCCCCCCGTTCTGGAAGACGGCCGCCCGGTCTTTGACACTGGTTTCGGACAGCCGTGCGGGGGGCAGCTTCGCCCCAGGGGATGCCGCCTCAGCGCTAGCGGCATGGAAGGCGGCGAGCTTGTCTTGCAGGCGGTGCCGTGTCTCACTACCCACCAGGGACGATCTGCGACGAAGAAAGAAGGGGCTTGGAAATGGGGGGACTGAAGACGATTGAAAATGAGTTCGAACTGAGGTAGGAGGACTCGACCAGGCAGCCAATTGAATGTGAGTCCAAGCCGAAAGCTGCACACAGAAACTGGAGTGGAGGATCGCAAGTGCAGAAAAAGTTTGAAAATACGAAAAGCTCATGCAGGCATCAAGATCAAAGTCGGTCGGGAAGCTGGCGGGAGGAGCAGATTACGAAGGTTGTCTTTCCGCCGATACTTCCCCTTCTCCTCATACGCTGCCAGCCAACTCTTAAAGAAACGTTCCGCTTCCCTTGAACCTTTTGGGCAAGCTTCGCCTCCTCACCTCCTCTCCCCCGTTGCCCCCCCTTGCTTCGCGTGCAGCCAGTCCCGCAGGCTGACTGGCTCGGAGAAGGTGACGTAGACACGCCCGTTGTCCCGCCAGAGCGCGCTCCAGAAGGCGCGCAGCGCTTGCAGCAACGTCTCGCGGGCCTTCTTCAGGCCCAGCGACTGCCGAATGTACGACGGCTCGTCCAGGACCACTGCGGATTGCGTGCAAACCGACGCCGAGCAGTCAAAAGCTGGAAGCGCCTGGTGTCAAGCATTCGCACAGGGTATCGAAAAACCGATCGAGCTGCATGATAAGAAATATTCGATGGAAAGATCTACTTTTGTCATGAAAGCAGCGGGAAGATTGAACGGAATAAAGGTTTTCGAAGCGAAGCATTGAAATTTGAAATACGACCACCATCCTCAAAGATACTCAAGCAGGCTATTGGCCGTGGAAGAATAAAAAAACCCGAATGACGACAGAACGTAGGCTCTGTAGAAATTTCGAGAAGCGGCAGCGGGGTGGGCTGTCTCACCATCGTAATCGATGGCCATGGGCACCAGGTAGACGTCGGGCACGTGGCCGTCGAGGACGGAGTCAAAGACCAAGGAGAGCAGGCCCAGCTTGGGGACGCACACCTGGTCGAGAAGAAACGAACCAGACGTTAAGATTGCCCACGCCAATTGATGCGCATTCAATGCAAGTCGCACTGTGCCCCAAAACAAAGCAGGCATCACCTCCGAGATTGTGTGAAGCTTGGCAACGGCCTTTTGATTACCTTGCCGTCTCGTCCCCTGCCGCCCTCAATGAAGAACTCGAGGGACTGGCCCTTCTGAAGGAGTGTTTGGATGTACTCCGCCAGGACTGCCTGCAAGGGGAAGCAGCGGCAGATCGGTGATCGCTCAGCTGAGGTCCGTAATCATTCAAAAAAAGTCGACTTTGACTTCGACAGGATAACGAGGCTGTTGTTTTGATCAACACTGCTATTCCTCGTCAGATGCACATCATCGAGTTCACTTTCATATGAGGATAGACTGAGGCTGGGGTCGAACTCGAACATGGCCACTGACCTGATAAAACCGTTGGACAGAAGTAACCCATTGCAACTACCCACCTTGTAAACATTCTCGTCTTGCGATCCGCGGATGCTCCTGCGCATGAAGAAAGCGCCCCCCTTGCGCATGACCCAGCCCAGGAGGGGGATCTGCAGGTTGTCCCCCGCCGCGATGTGCGGCACAGTGATGTCGCGGCTGAATAGGACGTACGACAGCAACAGGTAGTCCACGTGGCTGCGGTGGGTGGGCAGGTACACCACGGGACAGCTCCCCGGCAGGCAAGAAAGCCTGGCAGGACACAGCATGGGCTCTCGAAACATGGGAAGAAAAGCACAAAGTCCTGAACTTCCCAATCGGCAGAGTAATTGTTGACCAGCCACAAGGGCGTCACCAGAGCTGGTTTACTCGGATGTGACAGGAGGAGCGTCGAAGTATGATCAGATGAAGCTAGCCCGCATCAGCTGAGAAGGTGGCCAATCAAGGCAACTTAATTTCAACAGGAAGTGTCCAACTTGCCAGCCTAGACTACAGGACATAGCAGTCTGCAGGGTGGTGCAGTACAATGATGCCACTGGGAGGACTCATCGCATCGGGGTGTACCAATGAAGGCGGGATTGGCGGCAATGACGGGTGTTTCTCACCGGCGCAGCCCTTCCTGGTCGACAAAGATCTGGTCCCGGAAGAGCAGGCGCCAGAGGTGCCCCAGGCCATACCCCAGCATCTTGACCGCCCACAGGCGCACGTCCGCGCTCATCTTGCGAGCGATTGCCTGCGCTCGCCGTCGGACCAGCCATTCTCTTTCTCCAGTTTCCTTACACTGGAGCTTGACGGCATCGTCCACTCGATGGGACTGGAGCAGCGAGCGGATCAGCGGAGATGCGGGGACGGACGGGTGAGAGCTGGAGTATGAGGTGACGGCAAAGTGCAGGATGGGAGCACGCCGCTGGAGGAAGCTAGCGCGGTGTGCGTCCTGACTGGCGCTCCGATTGTGCAGGCCATCAGTCACCTACAGATGAGAGAAGGGCACAAGCTTATCAGTGTCCCGCAAGGTGCATTGGCTAGAGTCCTTGAGTGAGGGCCCGGCTGCTGAATTGGTCAACCACTTACCGGGTGTTATGAGGATTCAGTGCACACGAAGGGTCACTGCAAGCCAAGGCTATGAGTACACAGGCAATTCAACACAGTTTTGGGACGTATGTGGCAGCAGTTGCCAAGCTCAGTTTGGCAGCGGAGCATATCTCTCACAGCAACCTTGCCTTATCAGAAGGACTAATATCACGCACACAATCAAAAGCTGCACAAACCTTGTTGGCAGGCAGGGGCAAACGTTCAGCGGCAAATACTTGGCCATAGATTACTCCCCTGCCTGATCTATCCGGAGGCTTCGGCATTGCTTCTCCCGATAGAACGCTGGGACTTGCCTCGGAAGAGCACCCTACGGATTACGCAGACTCCACATTGCAAACGCACCACCATTGGCAGTGATGTTACATTGTAATACTAACAATGTTAGTACTAGTAGATCTGTCAGTGAAGGAAGCTCGTTTAATATGATGGGCCTGCTTGCCATGAGCAGCGCGCGCGCGCCCCAGCAAGAATGAGCAACTAGGCAGAGAAGAGAACTTGGAACATCCATATTTGCTCAACAGTCTCACACCGTACATTACCGGGGTACGGTGTACGGTGT